ATGCTGAACCTATCAGTTCATTACAGGCTTTTTGGTGTCTTTACGGAAATATAAGTTGTGTTCGAACCCTCCGTTTGTCGACACAATCGATTCCAGTCCAGTTCAGGTCTAATCCGTCGCATTCCTCCATAAGCCCAATACTCCTTCATGAAGAATTGCTGATGTCAATGATGATAATCGCGTGAATCCACTGTATTTCAATGCCCGATCAGGCCTAGTTCCAAAATATTTTCCCAAACGTATTCCTATTAATAAAGGGGAGCATTATTTATTTGTACATCATTGCTACAGGTTTAAACTATATTTTGTCATTGTTGAGTGCATCAATAAATCGAGTACATTTTGTATTTGTACCATTCTTATAATGTGAGGCTTTTTATAGTGTAAGGCTTTCACAAAGGTACTGTGTTTCACAGGCAGAGTGTAGTAGTATCACAGGAGGGTGTGATGCTACTGTGCCATCTCAAATTAGTAACTTGCTGGTGATTTTTCAAAATAGGCAAATATGGACCATGATACTGGACCAGCTTAGCCAATTATATTTTGAAAGAACTCAGAATGGACTTTATTTCAAGTCATTGCTACTATTTAGTGGCAGATGCAGACAAGGTAATTGCACTTTCATGTATTTGGCACATGCACTAATTTCTAGGGATCCAATGGGCACATTTCTCTGGAGAGGTGAGTGAGCAGATCATGATCGGTGTGGGGAGGTCGCAGGGGTTGCATTCTCAGATATGTCGGGTAAGTGATACTTGGGACAGATGGGTGATGACTTCATTGCGTCTCCTGGGAGTGGTCACTCTTTCCCAAAACATGCCCTAATGCTCGGTAAAGTGCACCATAAACATCGTACCATCTGATGCTCGGATCAATGGCAAGTGTCTTCTAAGTCCATTATCGAGTGTGAATATGAACCTGCAGCATCTGCATGCAGTTAAAGGTCTGAATTTTGCATGCGGGGCATGTAATTGATGTTGAACGCGCTCATTTGATATGTTTACAACGATAAGGCATCAACCCACGAGGTCTTGATGCAAGTTTGATGCGAGGATTTAAACACACTTTGCTTCCGCTACATATTTGGTCCCTGTTATCTTTTTAAAACATGATGACCCACTTTTAATAATCTTAGTACAAGTGCTGGGGAGCATATGTGCTGTACGCTTTCCAGGACATGAGAGAAATCCCCTTAACTGGAAATAAGGAAACCAGCATTAAAATAACATCCTCGTCCCTTAGCAGGTATCTCGTACACAAATGGCCTCAGAGACTAAGCACGCCTTTTCCTTCTGTCGAAATATCTCATGTCTAACAACGTCACGGTCCATCCGGCTTGGACTCACTGATACCTTGAGTGGTTTTGTCTAAGCTCGTCGTTAATGTTGAGACCGTTGTTACTGAGTATTTTGACCAGTTATACCCTGTCGCAAGTGTAGTCACCAGCAAATTTTGTTCTAGCAGGGCCTTGTGCGCATTAAGCAGGGTGTATCTAGACTCAGAAATCCGTTGATGGTTCTTTGTTATTTGCCCTTGAATATATTTTCCAGTAAACAAGTGTGTATGTGTGTGTGTCGTGTGGTGAGTGCTGGCTCTGGCCTTGCCAGGCCAGGCTGGTTCAGACATGGTTTCTCCTGGTCAGGGGCTGCCACTAGCTTGTGTACGTCGCTGTATATTATCTACTGACCTTGGGTTTTACTGGGAATCAGAAGTGGGTCAGCATTCATAGCTTTCGCAGTTGGCAAAGCTTGAGCCCAGCAGTAAGGGTTGCTCTCGAGCAGAACAAGGTATGTGGCTTTCCTGCTCTGCTATACATGGCGTGTACTCAAGCATGAATGTGTTCTTATGTGCTTTTTTAAACTTGATTCGTTTAGTTGATGCCACTGTGCTCATAGTCTTTACCAACACCTGCCAAGTGCTGGCAATTGTGTTTAGGTGAAATTATATATTTTTGTAAGACTAAGTTTAAAATGCAAAACGTTTTTTTAAATAAGATCAACGTTTAGGTTGATTGGCAGTGTTTTTCCAACCCACTTGAGAGGCATGCATACACATTTAGAAAGCAAAATATTTAGCTTTTGACCACAGTATTTTTTTACGTGGACTTAACTATTGAAGACAGCCTATCAGTGGCACGAGGACAAACGTTTACCCGTTGCCTGCCGAGTGATAAGACCAAAAGGAGAATCGTGTCGGATGCTGTGCGCAGGCCAAGGATGCGTGGATTTATTTAATGTAGATCAGTTGCAGTCGAATGTGATTAAGAAGCACTGGTGCAATTGTTGAAATGTGCAGACAAAAACGAATGTTTTATTGACAAATGTGTTGTCCTGTTCATAATAGGTATGAAAGGTTGCTGATGCCATATATTACATTTGTAAAATGACTTATATAATAGAGCATTATAGTGTGGCACTAATTTATTTCAGTTGATAGTATTAAAACCATTCGTTTATTTTATCAGTATACTTTACATAACCGACTTCATCAAGTTATTTGATTAATTTTGTAAATAGCTAATGAAGTGTGTTGGTGGTAGAATTTGTCGTGCAGTAATAAAAACCTTATTGCTCAAGGCATTTGGATAATGCAAAAATGCTCTGCGTTTATGGAGACGTTGATTGGCAGTTGTTCCGCCGATCATTGGGCAATAGTGCATATTGTGTATTTCTGAAATTTTATATTTTATTTTGAAAATGCCACACACTATCGCGTAGAGATGAATGGCAATCTCAGGCAGCAGTCTCTCGACAATTACAGCGTGACATTTCATCTTGAGTGACACCATGTGGCGTGGTGTGTGTGTGTGATGGGTTCCGCGTGAATTATTCCGCCTCTTTCGAACTGTTAAGCACAAGGAAATGATTGTCGTATTTTTAAGGGCAGCAGAGAAACTGTGCCTAGCACTAATTAAATAACGTCACTCTCAATCGGGCCCATTAATGAGCTCGGCTCTTGGAAGTTCTGTTCTTTGGCCAGGCAACCTCTAATGAAAGATATCGTGTGTGGTTTAGCATTAAAGTGTGAATAATGGAGCTTGTTTCAGGACGTGAATTCATCGTAACATTTTGGTCATACTGAATTTATTTACTAAATAGGTGCACCTGATCTTGATGATATGAAATCGTTTCATCTCTTAAACTGTAACCGATAGAGAAATTACATTTGGTAAATTAAACAGTGCTCATCCTTTATATGTTTGCGTAGTCTTGGACATTAAAGTGCGAATAGAGGATCACCGTTGCATTTTCTCATCATTAGAATGAATCATCTGGAACTACAGTCACTTGGGATTGTTAAAAACCCCAATTGCTGCTGATTGCTTTGTTGAAATGAGCAATTGAATTACCCTGGCTGGTCAAAGTTCCCCGAGTGCATGCCATCCTCAGTTGATGGCAGCTTTATTGTCATTTGGGTCGAGGCATGGGAGACGTATGCGATGGCTAAGATGACAATGGCTTTGTCGGTCATGAATAGCATAGGCCTGACGCACCCCAAGCGGATGACATCATCGGCTCGAGGCGAGAAAGCGACCAATTTCAGGCCGAGCAGCAGGGTTCGCAGTTGCCTCGGCAACGCGGAGGCGAATTCCTCCTCGGCAGAAAAAAAAGAGGCTGCGTTCGGTCAGCCATGCGCGTACGTGTACGCGTGTGCAGTACGCATCCCCGCCGTCCGTGTCAGGGGTCACTGTAGCTAAACAATGGACGAGTGAGTGCACGCTTGTGTTGAGTGCAAATTGCTCGCTCATAGCGAGACGGTCGTTGGGCGCCATCGACGCTTTGAGTGAGGCATGAGCAGCCGGGCCGTGGGCGTCTGCATGAAAAATGCGAAGGTCCATCTGCGAAAGGCTCTGCTTCCGTGAGTTTGGACCGCACGCACTGGGTGCACGTTCATCGTGACGTAAAGTATTTTTGTGGGTGATGTTAATGCACCGGGTTATAACTGTGAAGTGTAATTTTTTTTGCATCTTCGATGCTATCTGGTTATGGCTCACGCTTTCTGCAGAGAGCGTTAATTTCAGGGCTTGAAAGCGACCGGCGGTGATTGACCGCTATGCTCCTGAGACTGAATGCAGTGTGTTGATGACATGCCCGCTGCCTTTACCTGCAGGCCTGAAAAAGCAGCATTGCCGTAGCAGCTGTATTGTATTAGCGTAATGGAACATGCACACGCCCTGATGCCAGAATATGTTTTATTTTACATATATTTAAGGTAGCTGTAATAGGGAAACAATTTTGATAACCAGCACTTTCCAATGTGACTTTCATTGATTATCAGTTCAATAGGGGTGTACAGTTTCCTTCCCTTCAATTAAGTATTAACCGCTGAGCAGCACATATTTAATTAATCCAAGGACATGTCTTTGATCGTATCAAAATTCACTGACTATTAAGTCTTTGGATGCAGTTTCCTTTCATTATTGTGTTTATTTCTTTGCAGCTTTGTATTATGTGTGAATGCTGTGCCATTGCTGCCTGTGTATGCACTTGGGCTTTCAATTCGTTGTGGATGAATCCAAGTATGTTCTCTCAAACATTTACTGGACTTTAATTTGTGTCTGAAATTCGTCATGGTGTTTTAAGTGCATTTTTAGTTTGATAAACTGTAGCTTTACTTGCGTTGGTAATACCGTGATACTGTATGATGGACCTCAGTGTTGCTATGGCGTATTTTTATAATTCTCATGAAAATATGGGTAGATTTACATATTTTGATTCAATATTTTAATTGTTCACTAGTTGCCTTTAACCGGCGGTTACATATAACTGCAATAACTTGTAACGGTAAGCATTGTGTATATATAAATAAGCAAACGACGTACCTTATCCCGTTACAAAACAAAGGTAATTTTATATCGACACCGTACGGCGAAGGCAGTTTTAACGTCCTATATTTAAAACGTTGAACAAACTATAAGCTTTGGCAGCATACACTGGAGGTAGAGCCAGCGTGTTCATTGCCAGTGAACGAAGCCTTGGTACATTCGTGCGCGTGTGCAGAGAAGGGATTTGAAGAGGACGACTGCCTCGATGGCAACAAGCCGAGCTCGGCCCAGGCGCAGACCTCGTTCCGTGTGCCCACGGCGAAGAGGGTCCCAACAAACACGGCCGGCGCCAGTGCCAGCGCGGCCCCGTCCCGGCGACCCACGCTGCCCACCGCTGTGGTCCGGCCCACCTCTGCTGGTAGGTGCCTGCCTCGCTCATACCTACGGGGGGGGCCTGCAGCACCGTGTGTGGCCCTGCCGCTCCTCGCATTGGGGTTGCGCCTCCTCACTCGATTCTACAGACTGTCGTCGATTGCTCTCGTCCTCAAGAAATTAAGTCCTGGACGTAAATTGGCGTAGGATTATAAGGCTAATGAATGCTGTACAATGTCAAGTTATTACAGCGCTCTTAATGGTTTGTTGATGAGTTGTAATGTAATATGCATCAGTAATTGGCAGTTGATTGGTGCCCAATTTCTCTGGGGAATGGTGCATAAACGTTACTCCTGTGCACCCATATCTTCTCCATGACCTAAAAATGTGCCTGGAGAAAAATTAGCCTTGGCTTTCAGTTGATGTTTAGGACAAGTCTTCACTTTACACCTCGCCAAACGCTTGCCCTTGGTGGTCCACCCACCTGGTGAGCAGCCGTACACATGCACGTGACCTGTGTGAGGGCATGTGCTGCCAGATCGGTTCACTGGAGGAGAGAGAAAGGTCATCCCTCAGGGCCATTGTATATTGCGTTAGAGGGTTGCCTTATTATAATGACTTGCATGGTTGCCTCACACAGCTTCATGTAATCCTTTATTTGGTACACTGGGTATATTATTAAGATATTTTTTTAACTTGTCCATAAAATGCTTGTGCACGTGTACATCATATGCCGGCTTTCCACTCGATAAAAAAAACTATGTTTTACAATCACGATAATACTAAATGCATTCTTTTCCTGGAATTGTACACATTGCCATGGAATGCCACTCATGCAGATTAATCTAGGTTTTCTATCTCATTATCTTAAGCCTTTCTCAGCTGCATGTGCTTGAATGTTAATAACCAGGGAAATGTCCTCTTAGCATGAAATTTGCATTCAAATGACAGGAACATTAGTGCTTGGTGATTATTTTCTCTTTGCATTGACAAATGCTGCTGCTGCTAATGTAATTTGCTGCACTGCTCACAAAGGTTTTTGGATGTCTGCAGTGTTATAACAATAAACATCTAATTAATGTCATCTTTTTTTCCTTCCAAAAGCCACAGCCGGAGCTGGCGCTGTGGACGAGGAAGATTTTACTCGATGCATAGAGGATGTCACTCCCGCACAGGTCAGAGGTTACCCCCCAGCCACCACTAATTAATGAGCTCTTGTCATTCCTGCAGACGGTTATTGTTTGCCAACTGTTTTTGAGAAAGAGCTAATCAACATTGTTGAGGTGTTTTGCCTTTGCCAGATGCGGTAACAGATATGCCACTCGTCATAATGGTAATTCCCCCGGGGATGTTGTTTTTTTCTTCCAGATTTTCTCGACCCGAGACCTAGAGGAAAGCCTCGCCAAGGTTCGGGAGGTCTTGGCAGATGACAAGCATGATTGGGAGCATCGTGTCACCGCTGTGAGTTGTGAATCAAGAATACAATGGAAATGTTTTTTTTAAGTAAATGGCTTCCTCCGTTTTTATAAGATTTGTCATAGAAAAATATCTATACCTCTTTTTATAGCATGCATTTCTTTTTGTTTTCGTGAATGCGTTTACTTATGTATTTTAATATAATCTGCTCCTTACTGAAAATTGCATAGGGGACTTTAGACAAAAGCAATTGGGGCTTGATCTTGCACACACCAGACCTGTGTAGAGTTTGACCACGAACACATCCTTTTTGTCAATATGCACTGTGTGTGTGTGTGTTTAACACAGCTCAAGAAGCTGCGATCACTGGTGATTGCCGGTGCCACGGAATACGACTGCTTCTTTCAGCACCTCCGTCTGCTGGACGCCGCCTTGAAGCTGTCGGCCAAGGATTTGCGGTCCCAGGTTGTGCGGGAGGCCTGCATCACGCTTAGGTAGGTGCTGTGACTCCTGCGATCACCCTGCCGAGTGAGTTCCACTCACACAGAAGCTCTTGCTCTGATAATAGTCCAAAGGCACAGTAGCGATTGCTGACACCGTGTCTCCGTTACCCCCATTAGCCACCTGGCCTTGGTGCTGAAGAACAAGTTTGACCATACTGCGGAAAGCACCCTTCCTACACTCTTAAACCTGGTGGCCAACAGTGCCAAGATCATGGCCACTTCCGGAGTTGTCGCCATCCGCATCATCATCCGGGTGAGCGATTGAGCGTTGGCGCTGCGTGGGTGGCATGGCTACATGTTTTTGTATGCTCCATTCTGTCGTTTGGCGAGCCAAGTGCCATGTATCTGGATGTGCTGGTTCCATCGGATGCACATACCTGGAGCTTACTGTGTCTTTTAATGGCTTGCTTGCTACTGGATGGAATGTTCATTCTGGATTTGAAGTTTTCGTGACTGCAGGGATCCATACTCTTTGGTTCTTTCGATAAAGTCACGTAGGTGAAAAATAAACCCCTTAACTCCGGCATCACTCCCACTTCAGTATAAAATGTTTTTATTGCTGTGGTTGTCACGCCTGATGATGATTGCTTGTGTTGCAATCGAAACGTCGTGATTTAATTTATTTATTTTAATTTAATTTTTTCACCTACATGACTTTACCCGAAAGAACCAAAGAGTATGGATGGTATGTGTTGTAAAAATATTAGTTTTTCTATGTTTGCATTGCAATTGGTCGTGTATTATGTGAGCTGTAGCTGGAGTAAATTATGCCGTGTGAAAAGCTGCTGGTGTTTGTGTGTATGTTGAACTTTAGCAAACCAAGCTAATCGGAGGTGTCTATGGATTGACAGCTGTGCATGCTGTACAAACCGAATGCTGCACCTCGCAGAGTCACCTGTCTTGTGATTTGATGCTTTTTTAAGAACTTGTTTTCCTTTTGCAGAATACACATGCGCCGCGTCTAATTCCACTCCTTACAAATAACTGCACATCGAAATCTGTTGCAGTACGAAGGTATGTTCTTTGCAACTGTAGAGGTATAAAGATTATAGACAGTATATCTCCATATATATAAAAGGCAAAGTTGTGAATATGTGTGTCTGTTGAAAATGTTTAGTGTACTTGCCGACATGCAACAAACTGGAAATTTGCCATGTGGGTACTTTCCAGACTGTACACCATGCAAAAATTATAAAAATACACTTTTGTGTTTTTTTTTTTTTGGGGGGGGGGGGGGGAAGCTCAATAATGCATCTATATTCTTTTTTGCACGGCAAGTGAGCTGTGACATCACACATCTGTCATGTGACCCGCGCATGTGGAAGCGTAACGCATTGTAGTGTAGTGGTTAGCGCACTGCGCTACGAACCCGGCGACCCGAGTTTAATTCCCGCTCACGGCCACCACCGGTGACGATTGTTTGAACCGGTTCTGGGCCTTCCCTAGGTCGACTCTGCCTCAAACGAGTAACTGGTGTGCTGTGTAAACATCGCCACTGGGGGGACAAAGGTGGCCGGGCGTGGTGAATTCAAGTTCCGGGCAAAGCCGGGTAGTAAAGCTCGTCATCTATATGACAGCGCTGCACCTACAACTGCAGAGCTCACATCAGTCACTAGGAGCAGTAGCAGCAGTTGACCATTTTCTGCAGTACTTTACACTGAGTTTTTCTGTGCCTCTTAAAGTGGTAGTCAATAAGTCTGGGTGTGTGGAGAGTCATAGGGTCATGGTTCATCCACTTTGCTATATTGCTGATAATCACTATTTAATTAGTAGCCATGCACACACTAGTAGTAATTAATATCCCAACTTTGCTTGGACCTCTCCTAGCTTGACTCGACCCTTAATTAGTACTCAATGCAGTGTGTGAACATCGGCACCGTGGCTAGTCATAGTTCCTGCCATGCTCGTCCCTCCTGTGCCATGCAGCTTTAATGGGTGCTTCATAACAGCCAATTACTGGCCTTATAGTCTATGAGGCTAAATGAGTGTTTCTGTTTGTGTGTCTGTAGACGCTGCTTCGAGTTCTTGGATTTGATGTTACACGAGTGGCAGCAGAACACCTTGGAGAAGTAAGCATTGACACAGGCTGGCGCATGCCCCGCTATATGAACAGTAACATGGAAACTGTTCATAATTAATGCTTTCTTCATTGTCATGTCTGTTATACTCTATTCTGGTTAAAACACATACTCTATAATGTAAAGAATAAATATCTCCTGAAAGTTATTTTACACTGGTTTAATGTTTTTATTTAGAATTTCCCCAGGCGGAAGGTAGTGGTAGATAGTCTTTTACATCTGTGATATGTATGCATTACATTGGTTGTAGTGTCAAAATAATGTGAGGTATCTAACATTGGCGTGTTAAACAAGACCGCTTTGATTCAGTCGAATCTGGCTCTGCTGATGACACTATGTTAAAACTGGTCCACAGTTTGCTTATATTCAACCAATGCTGCTGAAGTTATGCACTCACAGGAGGCCTCGTCGCTGATGGCATGTGTACAAAATATGTGGAGGGACAGATGTGTGAAGGAGACGTATTGTCTACTTATTTTGTTCTTTATTTGTGGCCCTACAGTAGAATCTAAACATTCTTTACTGCCAGTGATCCCAGTTATTTATTTTTCCTAAGTCCACAGAAGTTCTTTATGTTGTGTGAAAATGGCCATTGCATAGCACCTATTGGTGTTTAGCCACTACGTAGGCGCTTCTATTGATATCACTTACAACAAGACATTGGAAAACCAGTGGCTGATAATATTTGCCAAGCTCGGATAAAATGCAGAAGTGAATGTAGGAATCCGACCCCATATTCACTTGGCACAAACTACTTATTCGCCGATTACACTGCCATTAAGTAAATACTTTGTGGATGGTGCTTTTGACGCCTTAACGTGCTCGGTGTTTTTTACAGACATATCGGCTTGTTAGTGGATACGATCAAGAAGGGAATCCACGATGCCGACTCAGATGCTCGTATGGAGGCAAGAAAGTGAGTGTGCATTACTGTATTCCCTACAAATCAACATTGGATTGTGGTATAAACGTTTACCTTATTCCATTTTAATGGCAAATAAATAAAGTCATTGTGCATTTATTACATTCATTTTACTAAAAAGTATATTTAATTATATTATATTGCATTTCTTACTTGAGAAAAAGTCTACACATTTTAATCGTCAGCCAAATAGTGTGTTCATCGCTAACATCTCCCTTTCCTTCCTTGCCTCCTCCCCTCCCTTGTTATCTCCACCCCTGGTTAAACTTATTTTTCTCTCTCTTTTTGCCATCCCATAATTCCCGCAGAGCATACTGGGGCTTGCGAGGCAATTTCCCGGCCGAGGCAGAGACCCTGTTTGCAGCTCTGGAGCCAAGTTACCAGAAAGCCCTTCAGAGCCAGCTTCGAGGCTCCTCCAGCGTGGGCTCTCTGCCACGCTCAGACCACTCCACCTCCTCCTCCCAGGAGAGCCTCAAGTAAACACACCCAGCCGGCCAAGCCACACGTGTGCAATCTGTACGCATTCTCTGTCATGGGTCTCACATGCTCGTGTGTGTGCCGGCCCTTGAGCACGCACCTGCATGCCACTTTGTTGGCATCCCACAGCACTGACGTGGTACTACAGCAGAGTGTTCACAAAGAGTTAATGCTTCTGCTTGTTCGTGGAGTTGGGTGACCCCTGGAATGCAGTGCAAAGTATTGCAAAATATTTATGGTGGTGTTAAATGTGTGTAAAAAAATCAATGATTCCTACTTGTAAATGTCAAAATGTGATTGTCTTGCAGTAGGCCAGCATCTGCCAAACGCCTAATGAGCAGCCCCTCAGCAAACGCAGCAGGCAGAGGTAACGTGGCACACACTGACTTTTTAATGTTTTACATACGACTGAAGGAAGCATTTTTTTTTTATAATCATGAGTATGTAGTTTTATATGTAGATTTATATTTCTGAAGAGTCAGGTTCAATGTATATTAGAAAAATTTTCAGGCTCTAGGAAAAAGTGTTAAGAAGTGAAACCACCTGTCCATTTCTTGCGTCAAGCCAATGTTTTCATGAGGATGCCCATTATCAAATATATTTTACGGCCCTTTGTCATTTAAGTGCTGGATAAAGGCCTCCCCATGCCTTGTTGGTTTTGAGGATATTTTGCTCATACTTTTATCATTCAGGTTAGGGAGCTGTGAACTCAAGTGAATATGTAGTAGAGTACTATCCACTGCACCACCGCTCCACCCCATGCCTTTGCATCACCCCTTTTTGAATTACATTGGGTTACATTTCTTGGAATCCATTAACACAGCTTGTTAAAAGCAACAACACTGCTTTCATATGCACAGCAGTGACCACCATTTGATACTTAAAAAATTGCCAGGAAGTTCTGTGGATACTTAACGAGTCTACCTTTCCTGCACTTGCTGCTGCTGTGCGTGGTACCGCAGCCTGCAGTAGTGCGTGATTAACGTTCTGTGACGTGGCGCGGCCACGCTCGCTGTGTGTGCAGTGTCTGTCTCCTCCAAGTCCTTGACGGGGGTCCCGGCTACTGGCTCACTGACTCGCTCCCGCAGCGACATCGATGTCAACGCGGCCGCCAGCGCAAAGTCACGCGCCACTCCCCCCTCCTCCTCGGGCGCGCCGCCCGGCCTGGCGTCCCGCAGCGCCGCACAGCCCAGATTTGGTGCGGCAGCCGCCCTACCACCGGGATCCTACGCATCACTCGGTACATCTCGCAAAAGCCCTTACAGGCACACTGCTGAATTCGTTTTGTCGTGTGGACTGGCAGACAGCTTTGCAATCAGGAAGTTTAGAGGAAAAAGGAGGGGGCGCCACTTGAAGCCCCTGAACCCTGTTCAAAGTAGCAATCGCACTGCGCTGTTGGTGACTTATTCGCAGCTTTCACGGAGTGACACCAAGTTTGTATTAGTGTCTATTCGTTATCTGCTGCTGGGGTGGAAGTCCTTGCCCTGGACTGAGTCCAGAGGCCAGCAGCAGTGCCCAGTTAATCCAATAAACAAAATTCTAAACCCTCTGATAACTTTTTGAACAACACTTATTGTGTAAATGTTTTAATTTTGATTCTGCAATTTTTTTAAACAAATGTTTTCATGGAGAGCATTCCAACCGCTTGCACTAAAACAGGCTTTATTTCTCACCATTAACACTAAAGATCACAAGGTATTTAACTCTCATACATGAATGTTTACAAAATGAGAGAATACTTTCTTGACTTAAAGCTTTCGTGACTGCAGGAATACATAATCTATGGGCCTTTCGGTAAAGCCACGTAGATAGAAAAATAATAAAAATATCACGACGTTTCTTACCTGAAGACGATTGCTCGTGTTGCGATCGAAACGTTGTGATATTTTTATTTATTTTTTTATCTACGTGGCTTTACCGAAAGACCCATAGAATAGAATACTTTCTTTATATTTCCAGTATCCCTGACAAAATGAGAGATTACTTTTTTAATAATTTTAGTAGCCCAACTCAGATTGGCTGGCTCCTTGCTCTCTGGTCTGTAAATTAACACCATCTCCTTGCCCTTTGCCTGCTCCCATAGCAAACGGCACACCAGACAATCCTGGGGGTAAGCTGTAAATGAATAGTTGTTCTTTGCCCTGGTGCTGTATTGGTCGTTTAATGTTTGTGGCCCTTGCTTTTTACAAAGTATAGTCAACCATTTCCATCCATTGTGTCTCTATTGGCATTTATTCATTCTCATATCCTCTCAATATTGCATGCCAGCATTACCATGTCATTTTCATGGTTGTTTTGGGAAATTTGGTGGCGGGGGGAGGGGGGGGAGCCAGGTTGGTTTATACTGTTGACATTATTTTGGGCAAACCTATCGTTTTTAATACTTCCAGTTTTAAAGGTGTTGCCACATTTAGAGGCACAATTTTGATGCAAAATATTATTTTGGCTTTGATATGTGTTGATGTACATTTGTGTTTTTTGTGGAAGGTTGTGCTCTAATCACCGCTAAGACCGTGTTTGTGATGTGCAGCATGCGGTTAGCATCATGACATGTGCCCGTTACTGTTTTATTCCCAGACGTAGCCTACGCTGACTATGCGTACGGTAAGGATAGAACAGGAGGCTGCTTTGGTGTTGCTGAGTTGCTAGAGGGTATGCTGTGCATGGAGCCCCAGTGCAGGGTTAAGCACGAGCTACTCCCTTGAGAATCGGTCACGCATTGCAGAGAGGCCATGCCAGGCTCCCCAGTCTTTTTTAGTTGCTCCACATGGAGACAACAACCATTGCCAGTATGCACCACTTGCCAGTGGTGACTTTGCACATGGGCAGCTGCTCGTGCTTATCCCCTTGGAAACAGTTGGTGTTGGTGCTTGGTTGCCATGTGCCTGGTTCTGTTGGGGTTGCTTTTGAGGGATTTTTTTTGTAAGACTTACTATTTTCTGCCATTCTATATAAATATAAAAAAAATTGCTACAAGGGCGTTCCATTTCTGTTTGCATTTTTATCTTTGGAAGTGGTCATTCTTTTTGAAGCGTTGTGGCATCACGATGCTTGTCTATTAAGTGTGTTAAGCATTTTCCTTTCGCAGCCCTAATTTTTAAAAAAACAGACACAGCTTGCTGTGTTTCGCACTTGAACATGCGAGCGTTTTTTGTACTTTCGGATTGTGTCTCACTGGATGTCTCGTGGCACGCACGGCAGGACGCGTGCGCTCGCGCCGCCCCAGCGCAGGCAGCACCCACAGCACCCACAGCACCACGGCCTCGTCGCCCGCCGACTCCCGCGGCCGCACGCGCACCAAGATCTCCCAATCGCAGCGTGAGTGATGCGGCTTCCACCTACCGCCGGGCCCCTCAGTTGCAGCCCACCTCGCCTGTTGTTGCATTCGTTTGTGCGTGCGTTTACGCCTGACAAACTGATAGTGGCCTTTTATCTGACTGACTTTCCCTGCTGCCTGTAGTGATCTTAGTGTGGTATAAATATAACATTCAAATCCATGGAATTTATATGAATTCTTCTTGCAAAGCATGTGTTTGTTGGTGATAGCCTGTGAACCTACGTGAAGTACTTTTTTTTCCTGGAAAAGTTTATTGAAATGTTCTTGAAGAAAACTAACAAACACATAGCCCTGCAGGGCACCTGCCCGCCGTAGCAGTCCGAACTGTGGTAACCGTGTCTGCACTAAACCGCAGTGATTCTGAGACTGCATGGTGTGTTTGCGCAGTGTCTGCCGCTAACTGTATGTTCCTATCCCTTTGACATGCTCCCCCCCCCCCCCAACCTGATTGCTCTCTCAGGATCCAAATCCGCCAATCCTGGTGGTGGTAAGAGAAATTTGAACATTTGGTCACAATCCCACTCGACAAGTCATCCCTTCTGCCAAAATCATATTTGCTTAGTCGCCCCATATAATCTAAAATGAGTTCCACAGAACTTGAAGCAATAACAACTGCCTCAAAATGTCATATGCTTATCATGACCCTCCTCTTGTGAGTCATAGGCTGTTCGAGTTGTACTTAAATCTGAATACAGGGGGCGCTCAGTGCACATCACTTTCCATTCCTATTGGACGCTCCATTCCTTGCCAGCATGTCCTGCGGAGAGATGATGGCGGCTGTCTCCTTCCATTCTTCTTCAACGTTGCAGTGGGATCTTTGCTTACAGCATGATGATGCCGCACATTATTTTGACCTCAATTTGTAACGTAAAAATTGTTTCTACAAACTATGGCTTTTTATACACCAAAGATTATTGTCACACAGCAGAATGGTAGTTACTTAATTACAGTAGACTCTCTATTATCCTCGTGCGGTTTATCCAATTTGTGGATTAACTGCGCACCTGAGATTTTGACAAATTAATAACTCGTGGGTTTTCCCTTAAACCCAAATTAATGATTTCAAAACAGTTATACATCCTTTTTCTTGGAAATGTTTATTACAAGTCAAGTGTTTAAACCGAGCAAATATGTGCTCCAGTTATTCCGAAATCCACATGGTCACCTTTATGGTACATTAGTTGCATATCTTTACAACAGTGGGTGGAGTTTGATGTTGATTGGCGTGGCTCTGCTTTCCACTTAAGTGGGTTGAGTCTTCTGCACTGAAGCAGGAAAGTGTTATCACTGAGGCAGCGCATCGATCGATCGATTTTTTCCTACAAATTATTGTTCATTAACATACTAAAATTTTTTAACTGAAACATAATTTATACTGATATTAGTGTTTTTGGTATAAAGATCATTAGTGTGGGTAATTGAGTCTACTGTATCTGTAAATCTTAATTAGTTGACATAATTAAAAACCTCTCAGTTAATCACCTCCGAAGGTTTGATTGTGATCATCAGCTAAAATGTTTAATCTCAATTGACCCTTGCCTATATTACTTGGAAATTGTAGAGTGGAGTTAGAATCTTCTTAATCCAAAAGAGGGATATATATTTTTTTACTGTTGTTAAATTTTGCATCCAGGGTGTTTATCTTCATCATGGTTGCTGAGCAAAGGCCCAAAGGTCCAAAAACACCAAGAGGCCAGGAACAAACAACACGATTGATAGTGTAAATATAAGAGTTAATGTTTGTCTTACATTATGGTATTTGAGTGTTGCAGTCATTTTTATGTATATGTGCATTTCTGCTTGCTCGCGGTTGTTTGCGCACGTAGCGGGCAGTAGGTCGGGTTCCCCAGGCAAGATGCTGAGTGTGGCGCCGGGCTCCAGTTTATCGGGCGTGGTGCAGCGCGTCCCTCTACCGGCCGCCACGTCTTCGCCGGCCAAGCACAGCCGCATCCCACGCAGCCAGGGCTGCAGCCGCGAAACGAGCCCCAGCCGTCTGTCGCTGGGTACGCACTCGGGCACACGCGTGCGCGCAACGCACGGCCGCTTTGTTTGCAGTGAGTGTGTGAGCCTTCGCCGAGCCTCCCTCTGACTTCCAAATAAATCGTGGATGTTTAAATTGGTGTTGTCAGTTGTGCAAAGCAGTGCTTATTTAAACAAGCTCCAGCTGTGTAGTTCAACGCAGCTGCTTTTAAAGTGTATTTCTTGTCTTTTACATTTTGTGTCTTTCCATCTCATTTTTTACGTGGTAAAGATAAACACTTAAGGATTTAGCTTTCGGTTTTCACCCGTAGAATATATATGTAATTTCTGTTCATTTTTGCATCCATGTTGTTTATTATGGCTCTATTTGATCTTCCTCTTACGGATCGCACGTTAAAGTGTCTTAAACCTTTGCTGAGAAACGTCCTTGGGTGGGGGGGGGGGTAGAAACCTCACTGCTTTCAACACTCACGGCAACGATGTTGAGCATCATGATGTTCAACTCCACAGGCTCCAAAAATTGTAGCAAGAACAGTGACCTTCACCATGTCTCATCATCTCTCTTGTCAGTCTCAAAGTGAGAAGATAACACTATTGTTCACTCAGGTAATATCAAAAATGTTACCTTGCAGTCACCGTGAAGCAAGAAATCGCTTCGCTTTATTTAGCAAGTCACTCAAGCACATTTTCCAATTCAAAGTTGAGGCTAAAATTACATTATGTTAATCTTTAATACATCAAATGGCATGTCACATGTGTGCACTCCACTGACATTTTTTTCTGTTATCCGTGAGGTCACATCCAGTGTTTCATGCCCTACTTACCTTCGTCCTATTTTAATTTTAATTTACATTCTCATTAAAGTGAAACATGTTTACTATTTGCTCACTGCAATTTAACCTGTCAATTTTAACTCATCGTTGACAATTGAGGGAGAAGTTTCTCACTTATAATATGTAACATTCTATATTAAAAGGAGTACACATTAAAATAAGAGATTGTTTATTCGTCTTCATTTATGTTGTGAGGTGTTATTAATGCCATTGTTCGCGATTAATTAGTCAGGTCACCTTTTTAAAACCGTCAGTCTGATTTTTCCTTCCTTGCCAAGTTGCAACTCAAGGCACCACAGACCTATCCCAGTAGCTAAAGGATTAGAGACATCAGCTTATGTGTGCCTGCTGCCCCACCCGCACATCCTCCTCCTGCTCGCGTGCGGCCTATCCCCCACCCCGCCGGCCCCCTCATGCGCCCGTCACTAGCAAGGAGTGGCAGCAGCAGAATTCCCCGGCCTAGCGTCAGTCAGGGCTGCAGCCGGGACAACAGCAGGGACACGAGTCCGGTGCGGGGCTTCCCTTCCCTTGGTGAGACGCACGTAATAGCATGACCGCTGCGTGCCGACGGCGCTTTCCCGCACGTGGCCTTTGCGAATGCTGCACGCAAATTGCCACTGAAGCATCTCGGCAGGACATATGCCTCGATTCTTTTTCTGCTGGGTCATTTTGCAGTTATTCCTTTTTTTTAATGTGTCAAGCTTACTACCGCAATTGCTTTAGTGGAACTTCACTTTTCTCAGAGGTAGAACACCTTTACTGTACTTTTATTGTAAAATGTTTATCATTTGTATTGAGCTTTGCTTTGCAAACTTTCCCTGCTATTATTTACAAAGGCTGCCTACATTTTTTCTGGAGTACATGCTCATTTTTGGCTGAAGATCCCAAGCCCTGGAATTCTCCTTCTGCCTCCCAGACCCTGGGGTCCCTGGGCTTGCTGTTGTGCTGTGGGGTCAATTGACAAGGTCTTGGCTTTGGAAGCTATTGTTATCCAGCTGTACGTGCAATGGAGCAAAGCTGCGTCTGTGGTCATCCAGTTATGTCTTATATGTTGTCTTGTGTTTGTGCTCATGTATCTCTCATTTACCATGCATGTTGATCGCAACGGAGGTTGTGTACTATGCTGCTTTCAGATGAAAAACCCATAAGGTCGGCCTGTTGCTCACAATATCATCAAGTAAAATCATGCTTGGAAGATCCTTTATTGAGCTATACTCTGTCTATAGTCGCAACATGTAGTACTACATGTTGTGACTTTGACTTTACCACAATCAATAAACCTTTAAAATTTACTTGAAAATCTGCTTTAGAAAAAAAAATCTGAAAGCTCATGCAGAATCATATAATCAATAATTATGAGTTATTGGTCTATGGATAGAGAATATAACTTCATAATAAACCTATGTAATACCATGCTAATAAGCTTAAGTATCGAAAAGAAAAGTGACAAATTAATTCAAATTTTCACCTAAAAAAGTGATATACTATGTTAAAGAAAATATTAATATCTCAGCAGGCAGCCATCTTGCTGAATTTAGTATCCTGATAGATTGAATGTCTTAATAGCAGACAGCAGTCATAGTTCAAATAAATAAATAGCCAAAGGTGGTTGTACGTCCCGCACCCCAGTTCTGACGATGTTGGCCGGGGCGTGTAAACCCCATCCCTCCCCCCGTGCCGTATGGCAGCCTCTCGCCACCACTCCCGCTCTACCAGCGCACTCTCCTCCTCCGAGCCGCTCGTGCCCGCAGGTGAACACGTGCCACCAGCATGCGCATCGTAACTCGCGGAGGATCTTTTTTTTTTCTTCCATCCGATTAAAATATATTTCTAGTGATGATGTTTTTTTTCAGTCCTTGAATGGGCATGAATGTTTCTTTCCCCCCTCCCTCTTTTTGCTTTAACTACATCGTGTTTTTGTTGCACTCGTTTGTAACATAGGTGCACCGTTGCCTTCGGAACCCTAGTGTCTGGCCAGTGACTGCCACGTTTTGTGTCCCTGTGTTGTGTTTTGTGAAAGGCCTGTGCATTTTTCTCGTGTAACAGTGAATCGTGTGTGATGAGAGATGGTGTGTGTGCTGCATGGCCCGGCAGCGTGACCTGTTTTAACAGAGCGCATGGGGTGTTTTTTAATTTGTTTAACATGGCCACGTGTCGCTTCTCTGCAGCCACAGCACTGCCAAAACTCTTGAGCAATAGCTCTGTGGTTTTCCTGCCAAATCTGGATCTGTAACCATTAACCAAATATTACTAATTTAATTAAGAGTTGCTTATAGTATTATATTTAAAGGAAGCATCTTAATTAAAATTGTAATTTTTGACAGGTTAATTGGATCCATTTTGGCAATTTGCATTTAGTGCATTTCTGCTTGTGGTGTGTTCTGTATTAGTTAAGGATTTGCCTACATTATGCTTATGGTATTCAATCTGATGATCTTTCCTTGGAACCTATTGGTAATATCATAAGTCAAGGGGACACTGGCTCCTCCTGGTTCTTGACAGCTTGGGGCTTTGTTATAACATTAAATGCACCCACATTGTCATGTCTTGGTTAACCCCATTATTCTGTTACTTTCGGAGAGGGCAGATAATGCAATTGATGTATTTTATTTCCAATAAAAATCACATTTCCTAATGAATACTCGTGATGAGAGGCATCGTTTTTTTCTCAAACAAAGAGCACAGCTGATGATTAATTCTTGGCATATTTCTAACCAGTAAATGTAACTCTCCTGTTGAGCGGCAGTGGCCAACCAGTGAATGGTTCCTGAACAAATACAAGGCTGTGGCTGTGCCGTTGGTTTGTTGAACGACTTGGATCTCACTGCGTGCCTCTTGTGGTGTCCCCCTAACAGACCGGTTTTCGTTGAGCCACTCTGGGCGGCTGCTGGGAAATGACATCGAAGCAGCCGTAGCGGACGCACTGGTACGACGCGACTACGCATTTCTTCGAACCTCTATCTGTTCTGTACCTCTCTTTGCTCTCTCTCTTGCCTCTCACATTTGCTTTCCTTTTCCCGCTCTGTTTTTCTGTTCTTCTATCTTCACCACTTTCCTTTCTTCATTTACTTTGTGCCACCTGTATTAATTTCCTGTACTGCCCCTGCTAACGCTAACACCCGCTGTTCTACTCGCAAGTAAGATGGATCGTCTGTGCTGTTGCACAACTGGTGCTTTGGGTTACATGTAATAACATCGAGTTTAACCTCTTGCCCCATAACCACCCTGCTACACGCAGCTGCTTGGAGATCCTAGGAGCAAGGTACTCCATGTCGGGTTTGCATTCTTCACTTGGCATTGACTGATGTTATAGCTTGTGTTTCAAAGTGCTCTTGATTTTGCCGAGTTTCCACTTTAATTACACGAGCACTTTGGGGTCTATGTGTCTGTTTCACATGTGCATTTGTGTTTAAAGAGTGAATATTTTTTAGTGCAGTAAAACATCTGAATAATTTCTATTTTCTGCTATTGAATGTCGATAACAGCGCGGCCTTCTTTCCTTGGCTCTCCTGTATAAAAATTATGTTCACGACAGCATGTTAAGGTGGTATCTTTTTGTTTTTATTAAAAGGTCAGCCTTTCCAAACAGCTGTTCCTTGTGTTATATATAAATAAATGCTGTAAATATACACTTGTAAATTTGACAGTCATTCTCGCATCTCACGGAAATCGGCACGAGTTGTGGCATCAGTACGGCAGTCCACACGTGCAATTTTTTTTCCATACGCACTACAACATTGGATTTCATAGTCAAGCCAAATTAAGTAAATACAAGCCTTAAACAATCAGCCTTCTTTACATTTGGACTGCCATGTTCCTTGACGGCTTTCCGCGAACGTGCACTGTGAATTTTCAGTGTTCTGGCGTTCTTATCACGCGTGTGCTCATCGTCCTCTCTTTCTCCTGCTCCCCCCCTTCCACTTCCCTTGCCGTCATAGAACAAGCCGCGACGGAGGTACGAGCCATACGGCTCCATGTACTCGGACGACGACGCCAACAGCGACGCATCGAGCGCGTGCTCAGAGCGCTCGTACGGCTCGCGCAACGGCTCCACGTCGCTCTACCTGCGCCAGATGGAGGACGTGGCGGAGCTGCTCAACCGCTGCGCCAGCGCCAACTGGACCGAGCGCAAGGAGGGCCTCATCGGTCTGCAGGCTCTCTTCAAGTCACAGCGCACGCTCAGGTGCAGGCCCCCCCTCCCCTCTGCACCAAAGCCACTGAGCAGAGGACAATTGCAGGCGCATCTCATTGCATGGGACTCACGGATGGAGAGTGCCAGCAGCATCAAATTCCATTGCAGATAAGCAGCAACGTACAAACAGATGCTGTCGTGAATAAAACACCTGCGTTGTACAATTGCAGTCCATGTTAAAGTTGTAAAGCAGTGTTTTATTCATGACGGAGATGGTCGAATGTGTCCTGTACCAGCAACTGTTTGGTTCATCCTGGTTTGTGCCTTTGATCTACTTAACAGTCGCGTGGAGCTGAAGAGACTCTGCGAGATTTTCACGAGGATGTTCGCTGACCCTCCCAGCAAGGTAATTTGACATCACCACTTTACTGGCAGGGATGCATTAATCACATTGTACCAATTAATGCATGAGGTGATTAATCAGTGTGTTGATCAATGAGCGATGCCTGTTGTGTCTTGTGTAAACATCTCAATGTAATATGCTGGATTTTTTGTCTTTTTTTTTTAATAACTCAAATTAAAACTGTTTGGAAATAAAATTCTGGAAGTAACAAAAAAATTACAATAATATATCGAAAAAAACAATAAGTTGTGGAGTTTGAGTGGATGAACCTTATCATTATCATCAAGTGTGTTGTGTGATCTACTCACAACTATGCTTTGTGGTTTGATGTGGGTGACCTAACCGCATATGCAGGGCATGTCCGAGCCTGCCTTGTGGTGCCCAGACTTGTGTTATTCACAACTGTACGACACTGACATTGTCTTCATTTTTTTTTTTCACATTGATTTGCACCCTGCGTTCTTGTGCTGGGACGGAATAGAGAGTAAGTGTTGTGCACTTCCCTGCACGACACTAACACACTCATGCTCACCATTATTAACATGCTCCGTTTCTGCGTGAGACACTAACCCATGCCTAATTCTTCTGTCCGGTGATTTCTTCTGTTGGGAGTAACGGTGTATTGTTGGAAAAACAAACGGAACATCAATCAGTCCCTCCAGAAAAACGCGATTATGCGATCGCAAGATTCCACGCAAAATCAGCCAAAGTCCGCATATTTATGCGGGGGGCGCGTTTTTTCAAATACGCCGCACTTTCGCCGCATAAATTGCAGATTTCCGCACGCAAAATATGCGGGCTTGCATGATTTCATAATCCCCGCATTTTCGTTGCAAAAAGTCACATATATCTTAGCAGAAAGTTGAAAAATGTTGCGTTTACTTCACACAAGCGCAGCCATTTCCCCTGTTGCCATGGGAACGTTATGAAGTGACGTCACTCATTACGCGACATCATTGAAAAGCTGCAAACCCCGCGATGCCAATGAAACCATGATGAAGAGTTTATGCAACTTTACAGTTGTAAGATTGCACTTTTTTGTTAGTAGTATGTAAATTTACATTACTGTAAGACTGTACTGTTACTGTATTGCTTACGTTACTGTGCACTGAAAACACTTATTTTAACAGAAGATGTCTGTTTTGTATAGCTACCTCTGTAAAACAGGAAGCACACATTTTATTTATTAATATTTTATTTATTCATTTTTACAGAAGTTGTAGCATAGTCATTTTGTAAAGCTACAGAACTTGTTCGACTCAATGTTTTGTAAGTTTGAGCCATCTGTTTGTTAAGGTCTGAAATAAAACAAGATGAGAACTTAAATATTCCCAGCACTTTCTGTGATGTAGTATGCTTGCTTATCATAGGAAGTAATAAGAAATGACTCTTTACATTAAAGTAGTAGCCTAGTGAATAGGGTGTTGGGGGAATCACTTTTTTTTCTCTTTTTCATCAAACCGCAGTTTTTGCAAGTTCCCGCAATTTTTGCAAGTTCCCGCAATTTAATCGCATAAAATTGCATAAATATCCCGCATATTCCATCGCATTTTTTAAGAAAACGTGCCACATAATCAACGATTTTTGCCCGCAACAATCACCAAAAAACTCCGCGTTTTTCTGGAGGGACTGATCAATATGCAGTGGTGGAAAAAATGTTTTGTTCATCAGCAGTAGTTTCAATTGGAAGTTTTCAGCTCTCAACTTTTTAAAGTACATTTGTAAATCTTGATTTGAAGCTTTCGTGACTGCAGGAATCCATACTCTTTGGTTCTTTCGGTAAAGTCACGTAGGTATAAAAATAATATACATCACGACATTTCGATCGCAACACAAGCGATCGTCCTCAGGTGGAAAAAATAATCCAAAAGTAGACTGCTGAACACACGGGAGATTAACACAACTGTTGTGCTTGCGTGCGGGGATGGACTCCTTTCCAGCTCAGACCCCGCTTGCTCGCCCGTGGCCAACATATATAACCCCTTGTTGTAGCAGCTCTCTCGCTGTGTTCTTCCTGGTTCAGCAGTTCTACTGCTGGATTATTTTTTTCGCCTGAGGACGATCGCTTGTGTTGCGATCGAAACGTCGTGATATATATGAACCTCGAGGTTTAAGTCTGTGCTAGCATGTATTTAGAAGTACAAGATATTTTAAACTATATGGCTGGCCTTGTCTTTGTATTATTCTCTACCTACGTGACTTTACCGAATTCTTCTGCAGTCACACTTGTTTTCTAAGTAATAATTTTATAATTTCCCGCATACTAATATACAGAGCTTTAATCAATATATTTAGGTCTTTGTGTGTGCACTTAAACTCAGCTGCATTTCGTATTTTCCCCTGATCTGTCCGCTGTGCCCGTGTGTGCCCATGTGCGGGTATGCACGTGCGACAGGTGTTCAGCATGTTCCTGGAGACACTGGTGGACTTCCTGGTGTTGTACCGCGACGAGCTGCATGACTGGCTCTACCTGCTGCTGACCCAGCTCCTCAAGAAGATGGGTGCCGATCTATTGGGCTCCGTACAGACCAAAGTGCAACGCTGCCTCGACGTGACAAGGTAATGGCACATTCTGGCTCCACCGGAAGCTGTGCACTCTCTGCCACTGCTGCCCTTGCCTTGGGTGGTGTAAATTGAGAGCTCAGGTTTACCAGAGGAGGATTAGGTGATGGTAAGGGACCTATGTATCCAACCTCTTTTAATTTGCGGTAGTCACAGTATGGACTTGATGTTTATCTGGCACCTTGAGACATCAGTGCTGGCCAACACTGGTAGTTACGATGTATATGAGCTACTAATGATTGAATTCCTATCAATACTGACCAGCGTGGTGAAGTATAATGAATCATCTCGAATGACCTACACGACGTTGAGAAACATCTAGCAGTGGATTGATAAGTGGCTGTGAATTAAATCTGCCACCTGTCAGTATCTTAGATATCACGGACATTTGTGTACTGCATAATTGCGAAGCAATGTGAAGTGAGTCCAACTGAGTCGCAGACGTTGTCTTGGGAGCAACACTATTTATTACATCAACTCAACACAACATAACGTAACCTACACTCGGGTGTTGAACGCCCACCTAACCACGCTACGGCAGAACTAGACACGGTCCCGCTATCCCAGTCCGGACCACGGGCTGGGTCCCGGACCGCGTGGCTAGAGGCTTCTTGAACCTGACGTGGATCTTCTTCACCAACAACCCGAAGAATCCCGAGTCCCTCACGGGGCCCCGTTATATCGGCCCCGGGCTGGGGCTGGCTCCGCCTCTCGCCTCGCCCACCTTCTAGATCTCTCGAGCTCTTTCCCGAAGGCTCCCGAGAGCTCTTTTAGACCACGTTACCACCCAGCGGCCCCCGTCCACCGGTGGCCCCCTTCCAATATCATCCGGTCACGTGTCGGCAGGTCAACCAGCGTATCACGCCCCAATGTAACCCTGGCTGGCTGATGCTCCCTCTCGCTCCCTCACCGGGAGCCCGCACCGCACACTGTACGTGGTGCCTCTGCGCTGACCAGCGCTCACCCAAGCCCCGCTCGGGCTGCTACTACGCCCAGTAACCAGGCTGCACATAATGACAACATATTATCCGCTGTGGCCTCGCAAGCCCGGCACCACACAGTGACATTCACAGTCACTACAAATGTATTTTCCACTCGCAAGGTACTTGCAGAAACAAATGAGTAAGAACATTTCTTCTCTACTATGTATAGGGACTCATTCCAGTTTGATCAGCAGTTCAACATCCTGATGAGGTTCATCGTGGACCAGACGCAGACACCAAACCTCAAGGTGAGAGATCTGTTGATTTGCATTTACAAAACTACTTGCTTTGTCATGTCACTTCACGCCGTGTGACACACCGTGTCACTTCACGACCAGCTTTCCCCGATCAAAACTGCTTGCTTTGTCGGGAGAGCTGGTCGTGATGTGGCACGGCAACCATTTAATGGGTGTGACTAATGTACCACGTCTCCCTCAGGTGAAGGTCGCCGTGCTGAAGTACATCGAAAGTCTGGCCCTGCAGATGGACCCGGCCGACTTTGTCAACTCCAGCGAGACCCGTCTGGCCGTCTCACGCATCATCACCTGGACCAGCGAGCCCAAAAGCTCTGACGTCAGGAAGGTAAAAGCCGCAGGGAGAGGGGGGGGAACCACTGTATCTGATAGCCAGTGTGAGGAGGTTCTCATCATCACCTGAGGGACTGTGAGCATTGTGTCCCTCTAGGTATCACATGGGGGTATTGCATCGGCCGCCACAAAGAAACTGCTTTTCTATTATAAGAAACTTGTTTTCTTGGCCTCTTTCCTCATTGAAAATAAATGCCACTGCTGTTATGTATTTCCGATCCTTATCCCTCCATGATGCACCTTCCGCATTCGCCCCAGTCGACTGCATTCAGTTGCATATATTTATTTAATGTATAATTATTTAAACAGTATTTGGCACCACATGGATTTACACTTAAGCATTCTAACCCAAAAAACAATTATGAATCCGTGTGACTCATTAAACCACCCGATGATGGATAAATACAGAAACATGGACCACAGTGGGTTTGATCGCATTAAGGAAAGGCGACATTTGTTGGGCTAACGTTGTTGATGTCCACATTTTGTACTAAAACTTCATATTAGTTTACAGCGTCTCACATGAAAATAGAATAGGCTTTACCCTTTTCGGCAATAATACAAGGTGTTCCTATGTTCAAACACGTTTGAACCTATACCTAACTTATACAAACATGTTTGAACATCTCAACACTTGTATTATTGTCAGACAGAGTAAAGCCTATTTTCACAATTTTTAAACCGGTAGATCTGAACACGTATCGTCGGTTTGTAAATAGATGCATGGAACAACATCGCTGTAATATACAATAGCTGTGCGCTGTGGCGCAAGACATACAATGATGCACATTGCCTAGCCGTGGTCGCAGGCCACTGATATTATGCAAATGTAAAAAAGGCTCTGCGCAAACCCACGCGCTAAATAAAATACAACCACGTTACACTCTCAGCTGCTTGCATGCTGGCTTCCAGGAGAGGGCACCCTTTCCCAGTTCGTAGCAGCTTCGAACTGGTCTTGAGTAAAATGTTTTACCTCAAGTAATGCATGTTTTTATTTTGTATATGCACAGCGCGTGTATACATGTTTACAAAGGTGCATCAATAGTGATTTACACTTGAGCGTGGTGTCAGCATTCACTGGTAGCACAGGGGAAATTGGGTTCAAATACTGTTGTCCAAACATAGCAAATTGAGGATTTTTTCTATATGCATTCTTAGAAATGTAAGTGCATATCCGATGTAGTTTTGTGGCACGATTGCAGTTTAAGTTAATTATAAACCGTTGTTGCTGTGGTTTCTTTGGTTGGCGTGGGTTGGCACATGTGTTTAGGTGTTGTGCATAGAGGACATTTGAGCCTACTCAAAGTCTTTTAATTTTTGTTACCGTTCTTCTAACATTGCGCTATGTGTTAACGCATGCAGTCATTTACAGTTTCATAGTGAAACATTTTAACTTTATAATTTTAGTTTAACACGTAGGCTTTCAGTATATGTACTTTGAAATATTAACATGCATGCAGGCTTAGCCTAGGGAAATAAGTGGAGCGTTTGTGTGAATGTGTCTTAATAATTAACCACAAGCATAATTCAGATATGTTTGCATTCAGGTCACAGTGACTTCAAGCTATTTGACCTTGAATGTGACTTTGTTTTACTACCGCTAAATGATACCACAGAAGAACGTGTGTTTGGGAATCGGCAAGCTTACGGTTGTGCCTTTAGGCATTTCTTTTGCTTTATATGTAAACTCACGCAGTGGACAAGTCTACAAATTATTCGTCAAATGGTGATGTTTGTCCATTATTGAACCTTAACCATTTATAAGAGCAATACAATATTAAAATACGTTATAACTTGCATTCATATATAATGTTTAAATTTAAGTACATTTCATTGCCGTATAAAACAGTAGACATACCTATGTTGTAGAGAGGGGTAGTTGGTCATAGGGGTAAAAAAAAAAGGTCTTGAGCCTGGACTTGGAACAGAGGCGGAGTCGACAGCACAGATGGCTGGAAGAAAGGGAGTTCCAAAGAATGAGTGACCTCAGACTCGTTGGAGGCTATTGGGGGCTTTAATAGAAATCCTCGGTTGTTGAGTGGATATGTTACCAATCGAATGTGCACTTTGTCTTGCTGGAAGTAGTGCGTAGATTTTATTTTGGAGACACAAACTGGAAACATTTAAGAAGCTTCAAACATTTTAAATCTAAAACTTACTTTCACATGTTTTCCTTTTGCTAGAATGTGATCACTTAATCTACCGTCATCCTGATGTGTCAACATAAGTGTATTCACAGCAGTATAGGGTGCAATGAAATGTAGCGCAAACTCTACTGATGTGTGGACGTGTGTTCCAAGTGCAGTGTGTTCCCTATGTAGTCCATGACTACTATTTAATATTTAGCCCAAACATAACCACTCACATAATGGCCCACAGCAAGGAAATGGAGCGTTACACATTAGTTGTGGAAATGGTCACACACGTAGATTTTACAACAGTTGACGTTGGGATATGTGGTGTGCGAGTCCTTGGCACTGCGTACATTTTTCTGTCACACTTTCAGCACATCTGCCCATCTGAGAGAACTTCAATACATGCTTGTGTTAATTTAAAAGACACAGCCATTGTGGCTTTCCAAGATTTTATAAACTATACATTTCAGTCTCTCCATCAAATGAAACGTTTTTTCCCTGTACCTTCCCAACCCCACCATCAGACCGCCCCTGGTTTGTATGCCGATGAAACCTTGTACAGATCTTGTTCTTTGGAAGGATCCACAGATGGGCCCTGTAAAAAGGTAGACCACAGGGCAACCGTGCGGCATCACTCGGAATGCCCCTTAACTGTGACCGTCTTGTTCTGCAACGGACATTTTGTGTACCCTTTGCCAGAGCTTGATCTTGAACTCGATTTTTATTGAATGAGATGGTGTAACTGAGTGACTTTTATTTCCAAATGGGGATTCTAGCTGCTGCTTGGTCACCCATTATAATTTTAATAATGTAACAGATAATCAAATATCTAGAAGTAGCGATTTAGGTAAGCCAGCCATCTAAAGAAGTTATGGTTACGGACTGGAATGTTAATCAGCACGTGTGTCGGTTTCCTACCTTGCACACATTTTCCACAATGCATTACACTAAAATGTACAAGTAGCTATAGCTGCAGGACCACACAGCTAACAGCACACAAGTCATCTCGGCAACGACTAGTTACTGCTGAGGAAAACATGTGCTGGATGCAGTATCGAGGAGTTACAGTTTCGGTGTAGTTAAACTTAATATCCATTTAAAATGAAGGCCCATTGGACAAATAAAGACATGAACAATGCACAGTAGAGATCAAGCCCTGGCTGGTGTGATGGGTCGGTTGAGTTTGGCGATTCACCGCGGTGCGTGTTGTGTGGCACGGGCATTTTCTTAACATTTTGCCGTGCCACATCCTCCATAACCTGAGGCAGTAAAAAAGGACGGGTGCTTTGTCCATAAAGTGCTGGCGCGGTCGGTCGGACGAATGGACAGGGACGGCACTGTGTTGGGCTGCAGATGGTGGGTCCTGGCTGATGCGGTTTGCGGCATGGGTTGCTGCGGGCTTCTGGTTGTGTTCGCTAAGGCTCTCTCATGGCACTGTCCTATGCAGCAGGAGGCTTCAAAGCTCTGGGGCTTCTGGGCACTCAATTAAGACTCTCTCTCACCCTCCCCTCATATATTTTGCAGCACCCGACAACAAGAAAGGTTTTGGCTTCAGCTGACAAAACCTCTCTGTTGATGTTGTTTTTGCAATCAATATTCCTTGTTTAACTTCAGTGGTAAGCTCCGTGTAACATCAGTGACATTGCTAATTAGTGTTCATCTGCACCTTAGGCCATCAACATATGCCATTGGCAATCTACGGTGTGTACGTTCAGTCACCATTGTCATTTTACAATTTTAGTTTGTTGGTTTTACTAAGTAAGTGTCATTAGCTGCATCGGTCTAAAATGAAAGGTGACAAGTATGCATATGTTTGATGAGCAAAACATAGTTTTGACCATTAGTGTATACGAAGATTCCCCGTATAGCATTAGCAGGCTATTGGGGCAAGTGCTGTTAGCGAGCACCTATGAAAGACGGCACGGCCCACGAGGGGGCGGGTGACCAACACCACGCCCGGCGGCCATGTTTACACACCGCACCAGGTACTCAGATAATCGTCACTGATATTTACCATGAGCGGGAATTGAACCCTGATTGCCGGGTTCGTAGTGCAGCGCGCTAACCGCTACGCCACCACTCACACACACCCCCACGAGCGGGTCCCTGCCGCCCTTTGCGAAGTGATGCTGATATTGCGTTGATGCGGTCGTTTGCCTGCAGGCGGCACAGGCCGTGCTGATTGCGCTGTTTGAGCTCAACACTCCCGAGTTCACCATGCTGCTGGGGGCGCTGCCCAAGACCTTCCAAGAGGGAGCCACCAAGCTTCTCCACAACCACCTGCGCAACACCAGCAATGCCGGCACAGTACGCCCGTTCACCAGCCACACGCCCGTTTTCCCTTGCGCTGCACCGTAATTATACTAAGGTGCTGTCAAAGTATACTTTCCTTCTCAAGGCAGTGTCCAAAGGGAGAAATTGGTAGTGGAAATGTTTGTGAGATTGTAAAGTCCAGCTTGAAACAACCTAGAAGCTATGTTAGGATTGCACCCCATACATGATAGTTGTTTGTACACCCACTTATGTGCGTGTGCCACTGTTGTGTTTGCAGAGCTCTCCTAGCAGCACGGTGACCCGTGGGACACCACGTGCCTCGCTGGGTCGGGTCAGCCCACTCACCTCCCCTACCATGACCTCTCAGGGGGCCCTCTCCCCCAGGTGAGATTCTCAAAAAGGCACTGTGGTCTGTTAGATAGAGAATCTGTTTGTTAATCACATTGTGTATGCATTCTGTTTTCCACTATTGTGTGACTGAGACATTTTCTGATGATGTGCCAATGTCAAAATTGAGATACGTTTGTATCGACAAGCAATTTAGCTGACATTTGGCATCTGTCTTCATGTGATGCAAGTGTGTTAAGTATAACTTATTTTACGTAATCATATTAATTATACCAGTTACAAATCACATTATGTTTGTGTGTGGCTTTCTTCTTTCCCTTTCCCATTCATTCCACGTCCTTTAAAACCTACCTTAACAAATGAACCTTTACCCCCAATCGCTTGGCAAGTCGTGCGTGGGGCTTGGGTGCTGACCTATCCCCTCGGTCCCTAGCCCTCCCTACTTTCCGCCCCCAGCCTCTGTCCCCACTCTCTGCCTATGCTCCCAAAGGCATCTGGCGTAAATATTCACCCAGGTAATAGCACAGTCTATCCCTGGCTTCTTCTAAGCTGCTGCTCCGACTGCTCCTACTGACTCTGCTGCGGCTGCTGCTGCTCCGGGCTCCCTGGGTCCCCTCCTCTGGGTTGCATGGCAAACACAGTGCAGCCACGGAGTGCTCGAGTATCAGTGGGGCAAGGAAGGGTGCTTTTTGTTCACCACTCGCCTCATCTGCAGTGGCATGAGCGCATGTTGGAACACTGGAAAAAAAAGTATTTGTGCAGCATTACTTGTCACAAATACTGCCGTTTGTGACGTTCACTTTCATGGCTTTTGGCGACAGAAAATTCAGTGTCGTATTCGTGCCAGTTCGTGGTTTGTGCAAAATCTGTGTTGCAATCAGCAGTTCTCAAACTCCAGTTGTCACGCTGCCACACTATTTTTCTTTGTTTACCAACAATCTCCTTTTAAACATTACTTTGGTAGTAATTTACTGCAAACACCTGTTGATTGATAAGCAGGGAACTCCAGAACATTAAGAGGGACTTTAGGACTGGAGTTAAAGAACAACTGATTAGAGAAATGCAATATCAAACAATTATTATATATGTTTGCAGTAATTGGTGAGTTTTTTCATGATATAAATGATCATTTTCTGTTGGACAAATATCTATTACGAATGGATTTTTTCCTCCTCGGATTTCCATAGTTTAGTCTTTGTATTGCCTTTATTGGAGCATGCAAGTTGGTGTGGCATGAATAACAATGACACAAAACAATTTCAAATGTTCTGATATCTAAACAAATTAAATATGAACTCATTTATAGGTGTGCATTTTTGTTACTATATTATATAAACACTTTGTAGCTCTGGTGTACACCAGTAAAGCCAACTGGGGCGGTGACATGGCCTAGCAGTAGCACGTTTGCCGCTTGTTAACCTTAAAAATGCGTACCGTCTGCTTGCGCGTGGACGTCAAAGATCCCGTTACATCATTCACAAGAGTAGGCCATTGTGTGCCGGCGTCATGGTCCAAAATTTCCAGATATAAAAAATTGCCTGCAAATTACTCAGTTGGAATATACATAGCAACCATTGCCCCCCTATTGTGAAAATTTGGCAGGCCCCATCTGAAAACGATTCATGAGACTCAATTAGCCTTTTCTAGCTAAACAATTTTAATTAAATTACTGCAATAGTTTGGCCCAAAGCCTGCCCGAGGAACCAAACAGAAACTATTGCTGTTGACTTGTAATGTCTGTGCCAAAAAAGTAAATAAACGGACACCATAGGTTCCAGTCGGTTAGACTGTTGCTTGTACTTGGAGTACGTCTGCATGCGTGCGAGTGTGCACTTGCGTGTTTGTGTGTCACGATCCATGTCTCATGCATATTTCCCTTCCTGCTCGTGTGCGCACTAACCGTTGCGTGCACCTTGCGGTGTGCGTGCATTTGCAAAAACACATTGCCGGCGGGATAGCCTGCTGGACTACGACACGGAAAACCTGAATGCAGAGGACATCTACAGCTCCCTGCGCGGCGTATCGGAGGCCATACAGAACCTGAGCTTCCGTAGCCAGGAGGACCTAACCGAGCCACCCCGCAAGGAGAGTGACACAGTGAGCAGCCCACCCCATTTCCCATATCCTACACATTTCCCATAGCTTCCCTGTCTTCCATTTTATCCCCATCTCCCATAATCTTTCAAATCCCCATACCCTTTCCAGGCCCTGCACCACTTTCTTAACCCCATAATTAAGGAGAATGGCTGTTATCAACGGGCAGCGTCAAGAGTAGGTGGAGGATCTGTCAAAACAATATTTATCAACGGAGATTAATAATACCTGCTCTGTGGGTGCACACCACAATTTGTGGTTGTAGTCACATTCTATATTGTTTATAGGTTATAATTAGGTGACGAAGGAATAGCAAAACTACACGAACTCTGTCCTGAAGCCCTCTCATGGCTAGCTGACGTCGACATTGGCATTTAGCTCCTGAACATATTAGATTACACAAGATAGAATAGAATTAGGTATAAGATTCTTATTTTGTGAGAGTAACAAGAAGAACATTGGGAAAGTCAACTATGTATCAATAAGATGATAACCCTTATTCAGTAAGATGATCCCAGAGGTCTGGTTATCAACTGCAATTGCCGAGGGAGCAGAATAATCACTGACAGTGACATCCGACAAAGATGTAGTTTTAATATAGTGTGTAAATACACGCACACTTAGACTATGACCTATACTATAAGTAAACAATGAGTTTCCACTTTATTAAATTAAATTATTATACAAATGGATAAAAAAATTGGCTGAAATATTATTTTTCAGCAGAACATTGTATGGAATTGATGTTGGTGACAGCCAAAGGAAAGTACAAATTATGGAAATTTCTGGGGCATTTTTATTTGTTTAAAACAACCGTTGATAGACATACATTTTAATAGTTTCTAGTGTTGGGGTTTTTTCCCCCTAGTTTGTTGCCAAAACTCGTGAGGAATGTTGTCCCCATGTTTATCTTGCCAACACAAGAGGCTGGTCTGTGCTGGACCATTCTTGCATGTGTTTTGTATTGGCATAGAAGTTCTGCTGTTAGATGAATATTGTCGACTGCAATTTGAAGAATTAAATTATATATATTCTGGCTGAGGCTCCTTTACGGACATTTGCCTTGTTTGCTGGAAATGTTTTAACATCTGTTTGAAGTTAAGAATCCGTAGGCACATACCGCAGTAACGAATTCTAGCGACACAATATCAATACAATAATGGTTGCGTCACCCCAGGACTACAGAGGCAAGCATTGTATCGTCACGGAATTTTGCACTTACATTTGCCAAGACATCATCTCTCTTTGGATTGTTAGGCAACAAATTGCCTTGCAATCCAAAGACGAAGCTCCTAACGTATCACCAATCCCGAGCACCCTACCACTTTGCCAGGAGCCAAATCGCCCTTATGTGTCTCCCTTTAATTCTGCTTTAAATAGTCCCATCCTGGCAGAAAAATAACTTTGAAGTACAGCTAAGACATATATATCATGACAAACTGACACACGCATGTTCCCAAAATATACAGTTCTGCCGAAGACTGGTGTGTGTATTTGTAATGTAGGAAAGATGTGTTGATACTGAATGTGATGAAGTTCGACAGTCCTTGCTGAAAGTAGTATTCGTGACATTGTAAAAGCTGTTGTGGTTAGGATGTCTCCAATATCTTAGACTATTCCACATCGACGGCACCACTAGAAATTTATTACAAGACAATGGTGCTATATACATTCACTCTGCCATACGTTTTGAGAAAGGAGTTATGCTGCTTGCACATGATCCTAGATCTTATAATTTGGTTAAACATTTGTATTACACCACATTTTCTTGAATAAGATCATTTCTAAGATTCCCTTGTTTTTTTGTTAGGAAAGCCTCACTGCATTTTAACTTTCAGGAGGGTCCTGCTTTTGAGCTATTTGGCCATTTCCTTCACGTGTATTTGTTCGTGTAGAAGGAAGCTTATGTACTTACAAATAGATCGCACATATAAGGCGTAACCATTGCCAAATCCATTCAACGGGTCTGCAAAACACTCGCCATATTGACGTCTGCTGGCCATTTTATAGCCTGCGTTTAGCACAAGTGCGGCGGCTCCGTGGATAGACACGTGCGTGAGTGCGCTCTTCCCATTCCCCCCCGACAGGCATCGCGCGACAGCGGCATCGCGGCCTCGCTGACGGACGTGCGTGGGCCCAGCTCGGCGGACTCTGTCGACGGTCCGGCCGGCCGCACGGTGCTCGACAATAAGACGTCGTCGCTGCTCAACACGCTGGCCCCACGCCCGGCGGGCTCCAGCTCGCGGCCCGTGCGCGACTACAACCCGCTGCACTACGCCGACACGCTCATCGCCATCGGCTCGGTGCACGAGGACGAGGCTGGGCAGCTTCGTCACGGTACGTGCAGCGGCACTGAAAGCGCTCCGGGATGCTGCTCTGTATGAAGACCACTGTATCAATGGAAAATGTTGTCATCAATATTTCCCTGTTCAGCAACCCGTAAATAAGTTTAGCTTTTCCTCCAAAAGTAGCTTTTTTGATTATCCAGTTTACTTGTTGTTGCATTTTGATGTTTTCGTATCTTTTTTAAACACATTCCTGCGGAGGGAGCTGGTTGGAACGTTGGGTTGCTCGGTCAATGGCCAGGGTCAATGGTGGCGTGGTGTATTCCGCAAATATGCCCGACTGAGGGCGGGCACAAGCCGGCATGAGTAGGTTAAACGTTGAGTTTTATAAGGGTACCACGGGGTGACCAGCCCCTCCCCCACCCAGCCCCACCCCTCCCACCCCCCACCCAGCCCCACCCCTCCCACCCCCCACCCAGCCCCACCCTCCCCAACCAGCCCCTCCCCACCCAGCCCCTCCCTCCCCACCCAGCCCCTCCCTGCACGACGGACGGACAGACACAATAGTCCCCTGTGGGATGGTGTAACCAGGAGGTTCCTACCAGTACCAGTTAATTATCATTGAAACTGAAATAAAAGTACAGGTGTTTTCCTGCTCAAGTGTGGGGTGATAATCAAATCCAATGACATTACTGAGTAATAAGAGGCAATTATACATTTCTATTGCTGGGGCTGATATCTGCATTGAACAAAACTACTGTTGAGTAGCCATAAAGTGGTACTTATTTTAATCACCTTGCCGTGTGTCGTTACCCGCCTTAGCTCTACCTGGCTAGATAATACACCTGCTGGGGAATACACTTTTAAAGTTGTATAGGTATCATGGAGGTGGTCATCATATTTAAAAGATGCATGTGTGTGTATGGTCATTTCTGCGTTAATTAAATTTACAGCATGAGACAATAGAACCAAGTTTAACACAAACATAATTCACCTTCATCATCATCAGCCAATGTCTACCCACTGTTGGATGAAAGCCTCACCAAACCGTCGTAATCCTCCATGGTCCCGCCATGCCACAATCCAACTCCTGCTCACAAACTCATCTCGTCACTCCATCTCCACAATGGTTGTCGGTCTTCTTGGGCTCCCACCACCATCAGCGTCAATCAGCCATGATGCCTTCTCACGCTTAGTCCTGCCCAATCCCACTTATTGTGCCAGCCGATGAGTGTCTGTGATTTGCATTTGTTCCTTCCTCCAAGTGTTTCTTCTCTCTCTCTTTTCTGTGATTCCTAGCGTGCATTTCTATTATGCTTATTTCGTACACTTTTTGGGGCGATTGTAGATACTAATTATTTTTATACAGCAGGTTCGTGCACTGCATAAAATAGTATAAAATAAGAAATATATGCCACCATTGGAACCTCCTTTGCCAGTAGCAAAATATGATAATTGTTTTTTACCCTTTTATCTGCCAACAAAACTGACACCTTTTTTACAAGGAGTCATGTTTGCATTGACCACAATACCTGCGGTCAGAATGCAAACAAAGAAGCACAACTCTGATAATGTATCCACTGTCCTTGAAATTGATTGGTCCACACCAGAGACAGCTTTTCTTAGAGCCTAGTATTGTGGTCAATGCAAACATGAATCCTTGTAAAAAAGGTGTCAGTTTTGTTGCCAGATAAAAGGGTAAAAAATCAATTATCAAGAAATATATGGCTCATTCAAGAATCAAATTTAATAGCTACAGTACAAAACCATTCCTCCTCTGTGTATAATAATAAATACCATAATGCCTGACCTTTATAGTTATTTAAGAGGCATTTAATGGAGTAGAAATTGTCAATCAAGGTTTCGAAACCTAAGGCTTAAATAAAATATGAATAAACACATTTACAATATGGAGTGGCTTCATTGAGATTACATGAAGAGAATAACATGATGTTATGTTTTAATTTAACATTACCTTATTAATGTCAGTGTTGAAATGCGCTTTTATTACCACAGCAGTATAAAATAATAAGTTACGTATCATTTACTCTGGAAGTACAAATATTTGAAGTTGTGTAAATAGTTTTTTCCTGTTTTGCTTACCATAATTGGGTGATTGTGGAAATTAATATCAGATCAATGTATACAGGTAGAATACCAGTGTCACAGGAGGCAATCCACAGGAACATGTGAAAATCCCCAAAAAATCTAATCCATAAATAAAAAGGTGTCTGTCTGGTTTTTCAAGTCGTAGGGTTAGGGTACAGCCTCGCATACAGTTGCATGCAATGATTAATGGTCTGAGGGGTTTCTATTTTTTTTTAAATCCTTTATATTAAGTTCGCTTGCTTGCTTGCTTGCTTGCGTGCTTGCTTGCTTACGACCGTGCAAATCTTTCGGTCGTGTTTTAACCCACTTCCCGTGATCCAATCGAGCTGACGTTTTGCACACAGACTCGTTGTGCGAGACAATTAATGTTCGTGAAAATTTTTTTCAAAAATATTACACTGTTTAGGGAAAACAAATTAAATATTTAATTACCAATTGCTTAATGGTGGCAGACAATCATCTGACCCATAGGTGGCAGCCATCTCAAGCCAGAGGACGAGAGGACTCTAGCCGCCACGCATATAAAGGATTTATAGTGAAAAACTTTGTTTTTACGGGTTTACTTGTTATTGAGCGTGTTGGAATGTTGCTTGAAATAATACCTGATCCAGACACGATCGCAACATGCCTCTCCAGTCATCCTCCCAATTGCAGTGTGTCTTTAAAGCAAAAACCTCAATCTGACAAAAATATGGTCTAATTTGGCACGGTTTACTCGCGTAAACCATCATTGACGAGATTTCAGGCTATACGGAGGTTATTCTATTTTCTCAATCAAGCTCAATCCACTGCTGGATGAGGCCTTCCAATGCCGTTTCTATTTTGGAGATTATTGATCATACTTCACCACGCCAGTTGGTGTAGGTTGGTGAAGGTGAAGGCCTGAACCAGTTCCGATAACGCTCCCCACTGGCCGTTGCCACTCATTTTACTTAGGTGAGTCACAGGAAGTTGCTTAAGTCACACCAGACTGTTTAAAGTATCATAATTCAGCGTAAATGCTCAAACTAACCAAGGGAATTAATGATAGATCCTAAAGAGTAGAAATTGACATGCCTCAAGCTGTGTGCTGCATGGCTGCCTTCCTTGTTGGTTATTTATATTACTCGCGTGTTTACCTCGTCCTAGGACGGAAGCTGTAATATTTACGAAAAAATTTTGCAGAGTATCATTTTATCTTGTGTAAATTTAATGGCAGTGAATCTTGCACGAAAGTATGTCATCAAACACTTCACTGCATTTCACTGTAGCACTATTAATGGCAGTGATTATTGCACAAAACTACGTCATAAAACGCCTCACTTCATGTCACTGTAGCACTGTATATAACTGACCTTCAATTTTGATTTAAAGCTTTCATGACTGCAGGGATTCATATTCTTGGTTCTTTCGGTTAAGTCACATAGAAGGGAAACAATAAAATAAGAAAAATATAAAACAATAAAATTCTCCACAGCAAGAAAAGTTTATTGTGAAAACCACAGCAAGAAAATGTTCTTGCTGTGGTTTTCACACCTGATGATGATTGCTTGTGTGGCAATCGAAACGTCGTGATAATTTTATTGTTTTATATTTTTATTATTTTATTGTTTCCCTTCTACGTGACTTGACCGAAAGAACCAAGAATATGACCTTCAATTTGTTTAAATTCACTGCTCTGAAACTTTAATCTCTTCTGCTTTTGGTCACTGGGGTTGAAATTTATTGTAAATCAATACAATATCTGGAAAATCACCGAGAAATTTATATTTTACCATAATGTAGAAGCATAAATTAGACTTACCTTTTGTCTCAAGTGCTGAATAAATAAATAAAGACACCAAATCTAGTTTAACACGTAGGCTTTCGCGACTAATATTCATAATAAACGTTTTTGGGTTAGATCGCGTTATTTATAAATGTGTCGTAACCCTCCACCACCCGACACGGCCAATCGGCAAAAAAGTGTCACGTTGACAAAAGACAAATGGTTCACTACTTTAGCCCACTGGTGTGTTAAAGAGTGAATCCACAACATTTACAGTTTTGAGTACGACGTTTCGCTGGTAATTACATCCAGCGTAGACATTTATTAGATTCACTTTCAATAAAGAAATCTGCATGAGTGTAAAAATCCACCCACTCGTGAATATTAATGACGGGGGGGGGGGGGGGGGGGTGCGGCATGTGGAGTGACGTCACGCTCGTTACACAAACATACATTCTTGGCTCATCCTAGTAATGGTAATTTTTTTTTTATCAATTTGATGTATTATCTTAGGCGTTATATCAAGTCAGGTGGATCTGATTTTAAAGTATGTATAAAGAAAGTTATTTATTGGTAAATCACTAATAGCCTTTACAGAGCAAGATGACACCATATCTTTTGACTGCAGCAATTAATATTCTTTGGGTCTTTCGGTAAAGTCACGTAGATAGGTTCAAAGAAAATAACAAAAAACTACGACGTTTCAATCGCAACACAAGCGGTCGTCATCAGGAGGAAAGGGTCCTGATGACAACCGCTTGTGTTGCGATCGAAACGTCGTAGTTTTTTGTTATTTTCTTTGAACCTATCTACGTAACTTTACCAAAAGACCCAAAGAATAAGATGACACCATATTGTGTGATAGATACCTCATCACAAAAATAAGTGCAGGAAGTTTATGAAGATCTCTACAGCAAAAAAAAATATATCCCAGGAAAAAACTAATTTCAAATGAGAAGGAAGACATTTCAGGGGTCATACTTAAATAAAATAAATAATGTAACAATAGATTCAAAGCTTTCGTGACTGCGGGAATTACTCTTTGGTTTTTTTGGTAAAGTCACGTAGAAAATCAAATACTAATAGAATACGACGTTTCCGTTGCTACACAAGCAACCATCATTAGGTAAGAATGAATGATAAAACACAGACACGGAAACGACACAGGCAGACACATGCAGAGAGAGACACACAAAGACACACTGAGCGAGACACACACCAAGATAAAACACAGACACGGCAACAACATAGGCAGACAGACATATCTTTGTGTGTGTGTCTCTCTCTGCATGTTGTCTGCCTATCTTGTTTCTGTGTCTGTGTTTCCTTGGTGTGTGTCACGCTCGGTGTGTCTTTGTGTGTGTGTCTCTCTCTGCATGTGTCTGCCTGTGTTGTTTCCCTGTCTGTGTTTTATCATTCATTCTTACCCGATGATGGTTGCTTGTGTTGCAACCGAAACGTCGTATTCTATTATTATTAGATTTATTTTTCTACGTGACTTTACCGAAAGAACCAAAGAGTAATTTAACAAGATATTTCAATTCTAGATTTGAAGCTTTCGTGACTGCAAGGATTCATGTTCTTAGGTTTTTTCGGTAAAGTCACGTAGGTAAAACATCAAAATTAATCAAAAATAAAATAAAACAAAAATCACGACGTTTCGGAGGCAACACAAGTCTCCGGCTGTGACGGTCCCACCTGATGACGGAGACTTGTGTTGCCTCCGAAACGTCGTGATTTTTCACTATGAGACCTCTTTTACCAGTGGCAAAATATAGTAGTAGGTTTTTACCCTTTAAACTGGTACAAAACTGACACCTTTATACAAGGCATCATGTTTGCAATAACTGCAACACAAGCAGTCAAAATGCAAAGAAAAAGAAACAACTCTGATAATGGTAATGATATGTATGCACTGTCCTTGAAGCTGATTGGTCCACACCCGAGACAGCTTTCCTTTCCAATGGAGACTAGGCTCTAAGGAAAGCTGTCTCGGGTGTGGACCAATCAGCTTCAAGGACAGTGCATATCATTACCATTATCAGAGTTGTTTCTTTTTGTTAGCATTTTGACTGCTTGTGTTGCAGTTATTGCAAACATGATGCCTTGTATAAAGGTGTCAGTTTTGTACCAGTTTAAAGGGTAAAAACCTACTACTATGTCGTGATTTTTGTTTTATTTTATTTTTTTATTAATTTTGATGTTTTACCTACGTGACTTTACCGAAAAAACCTAAGAATAAGATATTTCAACTTAAACAAAATAGCAAACACTCAACCGATTTTCAAGTTTTTTTTGTAGTTTTCCATCACAGCTGTGAACGTGTCGGCCAACCCTCTGTACCTTTCCATGACCATTGCTTGTTCTTGTAATATCTGTCCAATTCCATCCTCATCTAGCTAAAGCCAGGACAATGCCCTTTCATCATTCTAACAGGGCTTGGCCGAATCCAGTTCAGGACCAAAATAACTCTAGATGCAGCGTGTCAGATTGGGCACGACCTTATAGGTACAATGATTCCTGAGCCACACCCACTTAACCCACCTACGATCAACACCCGCGAACCCTGCCCTTCAGCAGCCCACATGAAGGCACTTTACATCTATGTTGTGAAAATACACGTCCAGCGATTGTGTGGGGCTGGCTAGAACAGCCTCAATGGACCACACGTATTTTGATCAGCATTCCTGTGGGCACTTCCATCGTCCTGGAACCATTTAGGAATATTCATCAGGCATAACATGGATCCCAGTTCAGTGGACCAATAAAAAAAATGTACTTGCATTCACAGTAGTTCTTTATCTGGAGAGGTCTCAAAACATTTGTGGTAACTTTTAAATATACAATACCAGTTTTTGTCTTTTTTATTTATTGCTTATGTGTCTTTGTAGCTCGAGGGTTGAGTGCATTATCAGTTCACCATACAAGTCAAACACACCTTAAAATAATGTTTTAATATGATGGAGTAAAATTAAACTGTTCACAATTTTTTTGTGTCTAAAACAATCCTCTGGCTTTGTTGTAAATAAATGCGGTGCCTGTTCAGTTGGTTGTAGCCAGAATAGAACACTTTGTTTGTGTACCACGTCAAGCACTGACAAAAACATAACAGTATTTATTGATTTCAAGTAGCCTGTTGCACAAAAGATGAGCTACACATGCACAGACACACAGGGTGAGTCTTAAGTAAACACACATTCCAATTGTGGAGCAGTTTAAGCTGGGTTTGGGTTAGAAATTGTGAGGATAATTTTCTTTGTCACGTGTTTATGTTGTCATTGAGACTCACCTTGGCTAATGGAGCCGGCGCTGGAATGTCAAGGTATATCACTAACAACATTGTGTCATCTTGACATCGTCTCACTCAAAAAAACTGGCTTTGCAAATATCAGTGTGTTTAAGAAAGCGAAGTTTAATTTCAAACTCGTATTCATGACAAATATTATTACTCGTATTTGACGAAGGTACAATGTCTTCACAATTGCAAATAATTAACGAAGATGCATGAGGCTTTCCTAGGCCAAGGCAGGCAATTATGATTCAAAATATAACACTATGTAACACAATTTTTGTTTCTGGGTAGTAAGTGTTATTTTCTAATTGCTTATGCCTCAAAGGCATAGAAAATGGCTATTATTATTCCCCATAAACCTTGCTTTTGTGTCTACAACACTGTTTTGTCTCATTCATATAGTGTTCAAATAACATCGCCCCCCTACTCGCAGACTCATGCCCCATATTCCTCCTCTTGTAATTGAGACCATCCCAGTTTCTTGAGCTCTCATTTGGTTAAATAAAATTAACTTGAAGTTGGAACATGGTGCAGGTAAAAAAACACCTGTCTTTCTGCTTCATCCTTCAAACTGCTTGGCTTTGGAATTCCCCCTCATCATATTTTTTTCCCCAAGCGCTTATAACCATGCTTAAGAAACGGGTAAACTCTTTATCTACACCATTGCAACTTTAATTGTGTTGTTTGTTGCTAGCAACTTGACGTTTTGGGGGCTTTGGACCTGTGCTCAGTGCATGCCAGTAAGCCCTGATTCCCAAGCCATGACGGTTTCCCACGATCTTGCCGGCGTAGGTGACATGTCGGAACAGTGTGCCATGGTTTCGGACATCCTACGGGAGCTAGCGGCGGATGTGGACGGCAGCCGCGGGGAGGAGCGCCGCACGGCACTGCTGGAGCTGCTGAAGTTGGCACGGGAAGACGCGCTGGGCACCCGCGACGAGAGCTTCAAGGCCATACTTGTCACGTTGCTGGACACGCTCAAGGACGCGGACGTGAGGACACATTGCACCACACCACCTCGCTTCCGTCACCTTAAACACTCCGACAATTCAAACTGCATGCAGCCTGCATTCTACATGGGTACTGAGTAAAGCGGGGGCGGGGGATAATAGTGCTCGCGTGTGATCTCTGCGATCGGACTCTCGAGGAAGCGCGAGCTCCGACGTGTGTCCGTATGCAGGTAGTCTTGCATCACCCATTGAACGTTGTGTCCTGAATTGGACTGACCTCGGGATGAGGTTCAGAGGCTGTATGGATTCGGTTCAGAGGCTGTGTGTTTTCAGTAAAAGTACAACTTTAAAATTACTTTAATCACATTTATTTTCGGGTGCAACTCCAAATGTTATTTCTTTTGGATGTTTGCAAACAAAACGTATCAGTGCTCTCAATTGCATGGTGCATCTTTTTGCATAATCACAGACGCTATGTGTAAAACAAAATTGGCATTAACTAAATTTGTATGCAGAGAATATTCCTATGGCAGTAAAACTGCTTATAATATAATAGTCTATAGAACACCTGTAGCTTTTTCCCACGTATAATCGCTCATGAATTGGCTGAAAACGTCTTGATTTATCCACAGCTTTGACAATTGTTGGTGCTGGCTCACTGCCTGGCTGCCTTCCAGTTTGTCTGTGGTTCCTCAGCAATTGTGAGACGCAGTTTGTACGAGTAATGCGATATAAAATTAAACATTGTAATTATTGCCATGTCATTTAAGGTGTGAAATGACAAATCTGTATCCTAATTTGTGGAATTCATAGATAAATGGCAAGCAGTGGTTATGGTTTAAGATCAGTCGAATTTTCATTATACTTTAATGAAGCGTAACATGAAACACCATAATTAGGGGTGCTTTAATGATATATTAAAACTTTTTCAAAGTTGAATATGGCAAGGAGCGATATGACAAGGTGTGAAAAAGTTGGACATTTTCCATGCAATATTTTATCCATTTGCATTCACTATTTTTGCATTCAATAGGTGCTTTATTTGTGAATTGTACATATTAAATCTGCTGATGAAAGCAATTATAGTGATGGAGCATGGAGCCATTACGTTGACACATCGGCTGTGGTGTGTGCCCGTGCGACTCACCGCATGCTGTTCTCACTCTGCGAGCGCAGTACACGGTGCGGACGCTGGCTCTCCGTGTGTTGCGGGAAATCGTGCGCAATCGGCCCGACCCGTTCAAGAACTATGCCGAGCTGACCATCATCAGAAGCCTGGAGGCGCACAAAGACCCTCACAAGGAGGTGCGTCTTTTGCTTTGAGCGGTGTTTTCATCGTTTAACGTTCACCAGGTGTGCTGCTGCCTTTGCCTATATTACATTGATTTTGAGGAGGGGTTGGTGAATCATGCATAGATCCAGCCGGCTTTAGACACCCACCTACAGGGCAATGAGGGCTCTAGGGAAGGCAGTGCAGTAAGTAGGTTTCTCTTATATAGCTATCTGCGCTAATTATAACATTGAAGCCAATTTCGAGTGCCTGAGTCCAAGCCCAAACCTACACCTGCGACGTGCAGCCCTGGAGTAAGGTCGCAGTTTGTATGGTTGCGAGATTCATGTCGATTTAGAGTGACATTTGGTTGAGAGGCTCATTCTGACTGTGCTATCACGATACTCAATACAAAGATGACCCAGCCACACTTAGGGTATTTTTCAGGCAAAGCCATTATCGAAAGTTCCAGTGTGTGGGGTTTGGTTTCCACATCTGTCATTGGCTTATAAAGGGAGAATCTGGTCAATTTTGTCCCCATGAGCAATTCAAGGAGACGTTGTAAAAAGGTCCAGAAACCACAATGACAAAGATCCCCCGTATAGCCTTAACAGACTGTTGGGGCAAGTGGGTGGCCAGGACCGGTTCAGATAAAAGTCACTGGTGTTGGCCATGAGCATGTTAACCGCTATACTATCGTTCCCCACAAGAAACCACGCGCACTTGCTGACTGACATCACACCAAACTAAGTTTAGCAATCCGCTATATTAACGGAGCTTTTATCTTGAACTGTGGAGCATGGTGGGTGAATATAATTTTAGGGATTGCTGCACGATATTAGTCGAATAAATCACCTGAATACAGTTGATGGATTTCTTTCTGGCATAACGTAGGCTATATTGAACTTTTAGATCACTTTTATAGAGACTTTTAAGAAAATCTTCCTAAAAATAGCAAAAAGTTATAGGCCCAAGCTCTTTATAGATGCAATTCGCTCCTGATGACAGTTGGTTTTGGTTTCTATATACTGAATTAAATGTTTCAACAAGTAAAACAGTTAAAATTAATTAATTTAGCTCCTTTAATTATTGAAACTTTGTGTGTGCTCTTTACACTGCATTGACACGTGCACAATATAAAATAACCTTCAGTGTTGCCATCGATAACGATCAGTGTCATTCTAATAATATGGAGATTGACGCTTTCTTAAACAAGAAATCCGAACTGACACCGTGCACCTCCACCCATATGAGTGTACACGAGCGAGTGTTGTGTATGACCTAATGCAAAGTTTTGTAAACATTGTTCTTGTTGCTACAATATCGATTTACATAATTTGACATGAAGATGGCCTGATAAGTTGTTGAAAAATGTTGCTCTGTCTTGGCTGAATATTTTTTTTTCCTATTTTTAAAGCGCTTATTACTTTGTTCTAACCTGTTCACCTCCTGGTGCCAGATTCTGAGCATTCCTTTTGGCTCCTATGTCCACTGCACACAAGCGTCGCTTGAAAGCAGCCCTGTGTCCTTTCAGGCGATCCCACCTTTCCGCCAACAAGGGGGGGGGGGGGGGGGGCAGCATCACACATGAACTGTCCAGAACACATATCGGCCATGTGACGCTCACATCATGTGTCAAAGGGGCACCTCAGTGTGATGGGTCAGAGCGTCTTGCTGAAGTCAACTAGTAGTTTTGTGACATCTTTCTTAGACATACTCTTTGGTTTTTCGGTAAAGTCGCGTAGGTTAAAAGAAAAAAAATTAATTAAATCACGACGTTTCGGAGGCAGCACAAGCTTCCGTCTTCAGGTGAAACCGTCACAGCAAAATTGCTGTGACGGTTTTCTTTTAACCTACGTGACTTTACCGAAAAAAACAAAGAGTGTGAATCCTTGCAGTCACGAAAGCTTCAAATCTAGAATCTTTCTTAGAGCGGGTAAAAACATGTAAGTGTACATTACATTGGATGACACTCTTCAGCCCTATGGTAGCTTCTCCCATATAAATAAATTGTCAGCCATGTTATTATCATTACTAGATTAAGGCCTACCCACCACACCATTGTCATCCTTCATCGTTCTGGGATGCCGTGTATTCCATCTCACTCCTGCACATGAGCTGATCTCATCGCTCTACTACTGCGGTGTGGTCATCCTCTGGGCGGTGTTCCCTGCTTTGTTATTTCATCGCCAATCTCGTCTCACCTATTGGCCATTATCCCTTCTCGTGATGTTTACTATATAAGCCCACTCACTTACTTTTCTTAAGAATCGGTATATTGTCTCTGTTTTATGTTTGTTTCCCGATTCATGTGTTGCTATTTGTCTCCATGAAGTTCCAGTCATGCACCTCTCCATACTTCTTTGTGTATTATTCAGCTTTTGTTCCATTTGCTTTGTCAGTGCCCATGTTTTTTTATGCTCCCATGTTTTATATTACAACCAGTGCACTTTAGCTATTTCCTGTGGATAATTTCCATTGGTGGTTATCGTGTCAATTCCTGTTCTATTAATAAGATAAATATTTAGAGAGTGGCAAGTGTCAGGAAATGAAGATGCGTTGTGAGCAGTTGGCAGACAGCAGAATGTGCATTTTGCCACTTAATCGCAGCTGGTGCCAAAGACAGAGGCTCAAAAAGCCAATGTGTGTCACCTGACGGCTGGTTCATCTATCTCCCTGCCTGTCTCACACGCGGGCTCACGGTAGTAGCAGGAGAGGCAGCAGTCAGCTTGGGCCTTTGCACCTTTCGTTTTATTTTCTTTACCTGTGTAGAGTGTTGGACTTGTGCATACTTTGTTTACATTCAAAATACTGTGTACGTGTATACCCCGCTCAGACGATGGGTCTTGGTCTGTAGAATCAAATGCGCACCCTAAGTTGCCGTGACTTAATTTTACACTTACATTCAGGGAAGCGGTCTGTCCCCCTAACTTTATTTATTTTCTCTTTAACTCTATTCATTCGATTTCTCCCCACTTCCTTAGTTTATTTACATGTCCTTTAAAAAAAAGATCTTACATTCAGTTACTTTTAATTGTTTTAATAAAAAATATATATTTAGGCTTGATATTTACAAGAAAATTATTTTGGCTTGATCTTTACTAAAAAATTTTATTCTGGATTTGCTGAATATCCTCATGCACCCCAGCTCCATTCAGTCGTATGTGGCTTCTTCAGTGTTATGGTGATTACACTTTTAATCCCGCCTGGCTCCACTCTTTGCAAGAGGAGCCACCGTTGTAGGTGAAAGGGTTCAATAAAATGCATGAAGCTTTCTTCGGTTTGCAATACATTGCACCAAATACCGGCCACGGGACTGTGTTTGCGTGTTTACACAAGGGGCAGGGGGTCTTTGCCAGCATGCAACTGCCATCGGAGCATTGTTTTCACGTAGATGTGAACGGCCTTGCATCATGATCTGTATGCAAGGTATGTCAATACAATGATGGCAAATTAAAGACCAAGCAGGAAGGTGGCAGGATAAGGATGAGCAAAAACTAAGAGGTGCATGATTAAGATATATTCTGTATGGATATGTGGAATGGAAGTGAAAGATAAATGTTTACCGATTGCTTTCAAGCTATTCCATGGTTATACTTTTTCAGTAAAAACTGCATATTGAGCAACAGTAGAAATGTGAGTAAGACAATTATATTAGTTTGCAATTTGCACTAGGCCCTGGCCCACACTTATATTTCCCCTGGGTTATGCAGTTTAGGTGCTCCACATGGGTAACAGAAGCATATTTATCACTGCTGAATTATGGTAAGGCACATGTAAAGGGTTAACAGCTCCTCTGCAATTCAATGTCATTACACTGACAGTGTTGGTTAGGGTTGGGACACTGTTAGCAATGGAGTTTGCAAGCGTGTCTTCATTGAAGGGAATCTCGGCATGCTAGAGCATATCGCTTTTGCCAGGTGAGACTGTCAGCTGGAAGGTTAGTATGTCCGTGCACACTGGGTAACAAACCGGACCACTTTGCGCACGTGTCAGAAATTCCAAAGCAAGGCAGTCGCTCACGCCATGGCATGCTGCCTGGCTTGTTCCTGAATAATTACATGGTCTATCCCTAAAACCATCAGTTGTATGTTATCTCAAAAGTGGCCCCATTGTGTTCTGTACTGCGACGAATTAGTTGACCAATTAACAGGTGGCAAATAAGTGGTAAACAGGTGTTAGATTGTTTTTTTTGTTAGTTTATTTTTAATATAAAAAGAAGCCAACATTAACGAGCTAAGAACACCTCTGACATCAGGAGATTGTGAAGGTATTTTGCGAATGCCCCTTGACGTCCAGATATCTGTAATCTGCTGTTACTCAGAAGACATCGATTTGGGTTTTGGCTGGTTCGATGCAAGGCCAGCCTGGATAGAAGTGGACAAAGAAGGCACTGGTTGTTTGTTATGGTAGAAATGTATGTTAGATCATAAAGATGAGCAGCTCAAGATTTTTTCAGACTGGGGTTGATGGAACAGGGTGGTACCAGAAAGCAAGCCTGCTGTGTTTTGTGCAAATATGACCAACGTAGTTTCAGCAGAACAGCAGATGCTCGTGTTTTAGCCAGATATGTGGGAACAAATTATTTTTAAATTAGTTTGTGACATAGATAAGGAGCTTTAAATTCATAGCTTTTCAGTTCTGTCATTTAAAAATAGCACCCCCCCCCCCATCAGTCTTGATGGCAATGGGTTTGTGACTAATTAATAAGACTAAGTACACGTGATATTTGTTTGTAATTAATGCAGGTTATATTTCAGACCACAGTGTGTATTTACAACGGAAATTGTAACTTGCGGTGATATTACACAATGTTATCGTGGTTGTTAAACCTACTGTGAGTCAAGGAAAAAATAAAGCAATTATTCTGCTGCTAAAATAAGTTGATCCTAAATGGAGAGAATGACATTCTTTGTGTGGTATCATTCTCTGGCAATTTTAATTGTGTTTATATCAGGTAAATGTTTATACAATATTCACAATCATGATGTAAAAATTATACTTTTAATTATAAAGTTAAACTTAAATAACCGCATTGGCAGTGGAAAGTGACAAATATAAAAGACCAAACTATAAATAAATTAGTACTACAGTAAAACCTTGGATTGCAAGTAGTAACTTGGTCTGTGAGTGTTTTGCAAGACGAGCAAATTTTTTAAATAAATATTACTTTGATAAACGAGCGTCACGTGATCACAACTGATATACGAGTGCTTTGGATTACAAACGTTTCCGGAACGAATTATGCTCGCAATCCAAGGTTTTACTGTACTTTATTATTGCCGAAGGCAGAGTGCCAAATGTGATATTATTACGCCATTTTTAAAGTTACTCTATTTTTTTTGGACTATTACCATGAAGAAAGTTACAATAAACTTAACAGAAATGGAGTAAGGCAAAGATACATATTTTCACCAAAGTTCATATTATTTATCTTGTAACAGTAAATAAAAGTCGTATTACACTCCACAGCATTCATTATTCAAATATGCTTGGCATACAAATGCAGCTTTTACGTCTTCATTTATTTTATCCTTTTTATAATTGCTCGAGTGAGGCCAATGCAGTGGAGCCAATTCACAATGAGACCTATTTGTATTCTTAGGTTTTTTCGGTAAAGTCACGTAGGTAAAAAATTTAAATTAATGAAAGTAAAATAAAATACAATTATTTAAATTAATAAAAGTTAAATAAAATAAAATAATTATTTTATTTTTATTTTACTTTTATTAATTCTAATTTTTTACCTACGTGACTTTACCGAAAAAACCTAAGAATATGAATGCACTTACGAAAGCTTCAAATCTAGAATTGAGACCTATTTGACTGTACCATATGTGGAAAACAGTTAACGATAGTGTAGAGGTGGCTGCAAGCCCTCTTTTATGCCCAATATATGCAGCAAAGTGGCTCATACTCTCCACTTGCCCTCACCGTCATACTTCAGCGTTAACGCACGGACATCACCACCCTGACTCCCCCGTGTAGGTGGTGCGTGCGGCAGAGGAGACGGCCATGGCCTTGGCAACATCGATCCAGCCTGAGCAGTGCCTGCAGGTCCTGTGTCCCATCGTGCAGACGGCCACCTACCCCACGAACCTGGCGGCCATAAAGATGCTCACGCGGGTGGTGGAGCGCATTTCGCACGGGGACCTGCTTCCGCTGGTGCCCGCAGTCATCCCGGGCCTGCTGCAGGTACGACCATTGGCATCGTAGCATCGCGTCTACAGGCCACATCTCATGAACGTACGTCATCGTTCAAGAATTTCAACGAGTGAACGCTTTGGCTGGAGTTTGTTTGCGTGGAAGCAATGCTAAGCCGCGCAGCACCATTGTCAGTACTAACTGTAAGAGTCATGATCAGCTTGAATTGTGATGGTTAGAAAGGTTATGTTGCTCAAATATGTGGAATTGTTTTTTCACGTCTTATAGTTTTAGAATGAAACAAGATTGGATATTATTTTTTGATGTTACCTTTCCACCTTTGTATGTGGGCTATAGTTTGTGCAGAAGTACAAAATGTGGAATACCATTCCCAATTAGTCACAGAGATACTCTGGGGGACTGCCTTTCCCTACCCTGTCAATGTTTCAGTATTAGAATGGTTGCGAAGATCGAGTGTAATTGAAGTACGCGGATGCTTGATAGCTGACAAAGTCTTCGCCGTTGTTTCTTCCATTAACATGGTCAATTTTCCTTCAATAAATCTCCTGAAGCAGAAGATTAGTGCTGGATACAACTGCATTTGTAAACGTTATTTGTGACTTCCATCCTTACCCATATATATCGATAATTCAATTTCAATGTGCAATTTTATTCGGGGACTGTGTGTTGTCTTGGTGTGGTCTGGAATTTTTTTTGCAGTTGTTTTACTGCCTTGCTCAAGCTTTGGAATTGGTGTACTTATGCAATTTGAACTTGTATACTTTATCTATTTGTTCTTTTTATTTGTCGTGATTTGCTTACTGTCAATATACTTCGTACTCCTATCTGTTTTTGTATTGTTTGTTGTAACTTTCTGACCCGCCCTTACTGGGCATCTGTGAAAAGGAGCTTCATAGCTGATTGGATTTCTCCAGCATAAATAAAGATTCTGATTCTATCGACACCACAATGCTAATTCGCTGCCCACTGATTTCCTATGAAGTGAACTTGTCACGTTAATCTCTTATTCACGGCATGCGATCTGGATGGTGTGCGGCGGCCACGGGCATGCCGTCGTGAACACTGCATTAATCGGTGCAATTCGTTTATCGTGCTGCTCGAGAACAACTACGTACGGTCGGTTGTGACGGTTGATGGTTTTGTTAGCAATCGTGTTTCCTCCGCATCCTCGAGTAATTTGCGTGCCGGTGTGGCGGGCTTACGTGCGTGCGTGCATCTGCATGCAGGGATACGACAACACGGAGAGCAGCGTGCGCAAGGCGAGCGTGTTCTGCCTGGTGGCCGTGCACTCTGTCATTGGGGATGACCTCAAGCCGCACCTTGCGCAGCTCACAGGCAGCAAGGTGCTCTCTCCGATTCCATATTGTATGGGCACCCCCCCCCCCCCCCCCCCCCCCCCGTGCCACCTAGCTCTTTTGTATTGATACGTACATCCCTTTTTATTAATGCGCATACAACACGTAAAGGTAGCCAATATGAGGGACCTGGTTAAAGTGTTGGTGGAACAGAAGTTTCTGCCAGCTAAATTGCAATTGTTTGGTGTTAATTTAGTGATAATGAATTGGAAGCAATTGAAGGGGTCTCAGAAGTAGTTCTGTGAAGCCACTTTCTAGAAACCATTGTCTAACAGGTAGTGGTGCACTTCTTTTGCAAGAACTCCCGATGGAATTTCTTCATTTCATGATGCAATGCCGATAACAACCATTGAAGTACTATTGTTAAATTAGATGTTTAACATGTAAAGTGGAATCTTTCGGGGGTTCGCCCGATTTGGCGAGCTGGCATCCTCTGTTGCTGTGATTTTATGACTCAGTTGAACTATTGCATTTTCTCAGTGCTCGCACTAGTGTAGTTATGTTCGGTGTTTGATGCAGTTTACTTTCACATGAGTGACTTTGCACCACAGAATGTGCTACATGTGACCAGTAGTAGAAATGGCAGCTGTGGCTGGTCCATGATGTCCCTTGGCAGCCCAGTCCATGAACCCATGGTTGCCAATGCATTAGAAATAAGAGACTCCTCTGAAGTATGAAGTTGTAAGTTTGGATAACAACATTTAATTTAATGTGAAGAAACGTACACTTGAAAAACATTCATTAAATTCACACCTCCATACACGTTTATATAAAACATTAAAAATATTCCGAAACGTCACAATCATTGATATTTACTGGCCTGCGTGCTCTACATCAGAGGACATTCGCCTTGTGCAATATCATCGCTGCTTACATTGTATATATTCTATTACGCCATTTATTTTATTGACACTTTTCAATTTATTTGCAATGCAAACATGAAAAGTAGTCAAACATTTTTTGCGCAATTCACAGAAGTGGAGGGGCCCTCAACCACCATTGGATTTACAGAAGGGCTGTACATGTCCATCCATTAGGAAAGCTTACGAACGTGTATTTATCTGTATTATAACTGCTTTTTGTGTTTAGTTTCGTTGTCCTTCCCCCACACCTCCGATTACTATGGTTGGCTACATACGGTACGAAAGAAGTTCAACATGCATACATCTGGCCATGACCAAAATTTGCATAATGTTATGATTAAGAGAAGTTGACTATCAACCAATGGTGGAGATCAATGGACTTTTTCTTACGATAGGAATGCGACATTTTCACCGTTTCGGCCATCGGTGGATATGAGTGCATCTACAGCACCCAAATCCTTGAGCGGGTACAACCTGGACATGTGCACTGAGCGGCAGAATGTCAGAAGCGTGAACGCCTCATCCTCATCTCAATCACCCTCTATAACTCTTCAGTGTTTCATCGACCTGTGTGCCTGGTACAGAGGTACAGCTCACTCCCTGCAATTGCTCTGACCTGTTCTGCCTTTCAGATGAAACTGCTGAACTTGTACATCAAGCGTGCGCAGACAGGCAGTGCCGGCAGCAGCGGGGACACCCTCGGCCAGTGCTGAGCGTTGGCCGGCCAGCGCGAGGCGTCTCCAGGTTGCTGCCGATGAGCGACAGAGCCGCAGCAGTGGCGAAATGGCAAAGACTCCGGAATGAGCTGTCCTGATGAAATAGAAGAGGGAGCCCGTGTTGTCCGAACGTGTGCACTGCTGTATCAGTTTTAGTGCCCATTGCTGTGGATTGTAATGGGAAAGGGGGATTAAATGAGCAGCCGCTGCCTGATGCTGCCTGTTAGGATATTTTTTCGTGCTCTAAGATATTAATGTTGAGGCCAAACCACGGAATGGTATTTTGTGCACCAGATGTTTGAGTGCAATCGTCTATTTTTTAAATGCGGTATGCTTCCGAGTCAATGCCACGTCTCCAGTAGGCCGTTTTCATCAGGCTGCTGCATTTCAGTTGTGTAACTCGTTTGCTGGTGTTTTCACACTCCATGCCACTCCACATAAGGTACATGTGTTCACCGTTGCTGGCCTCGTAATGTGCGCGCTGTTACCTGCACCGTCCAACGGCCTTCTGGGCTTGCCGACGGGTGTAAACACTGGCTTGGATTTGCCGCCTCATGCATGCACCACACCGATCATTTTAACACTGTTATCGACGTTTTTACCCGAACTTTTGTACAAGTTGAAGCATTGTGCTGGATATGCAAGTGGTTATGATGCTGGCCTGCTCCTGACTCCAATTATTGCTGTACACTTGGTGTGTGTTGGTTTAATAATCACCTAGGGCCCAGAAATGGCGTATTCACTGCATAATGATTCATTTTTATGGGCGAGTGCAGCACAGTGTAGTAGAATAATGTTAAGGCACAATGTATATGCGGTATTAGGTAATGACATTTAACATAACCCGCCCGCCACTACATACTTTGCTTACATAGGTAAAACATCGTGAAATATTTAACGAACATTCACATCACTCTTTTTTTCACCAATGTTTCATTGCGCTTTGTTGAAAATGTTGTAACTACTTGATGGATTTAATTCAGACATGCATCCATTTTAAACAATAAACTTTAACGGACATAACAGAGTCTGCAAGAGTTAACAATGCTCGAACCCAATTGTCACGTGGGCCGTTTACCACTGGCCTGGCTCACAACAAAAATACATCAATTTAAAAGTTTTAAAAGTGCATCCAATAAATACTAACTCAAACTTCAGCTTACGGCAAGAGGAGCCAGCTTGGAGATTGATGCTTTGCTTGGCATGTCTTCTCTTCGGTGCTGTTTTAACTGTCTCTATAGCGTGGCAAAGGCACGGTCGAGACAGGCACGGGGGGGAGGGGGTTCCTTAAGCCTGAGTCCCCTTAAGCCTGAGTCCCCTGTGATCAGGTGTTGGGCAACCGCATGCCACGGCCGCCTCGCAAAGAGCCGGGTCGCACGCTGGCTGGTTCCGCCCAACTACACGCGCTATTAGCCGAAAATAAAATAAAAATAGGTAAAAAAAAGTGCCGCCACGTGCGAAAGAAGGGCCGGGTGGATGGTCTCGCATCAGACGTATAAATAGGAGGCAGTGGCCGGGCAGTATGATCCGCTTAGAGGCGACGGCGTCATGAGTGCAGACTTTGAGCGCTTCGACTGTAAGGGCCAAGCTCCCGCAGACGTCGGATTCAAGGATGTGTACAAGTATGGATTTTAAGTTTGTTGGGGTTTTTTTTTTACGAAAAAATATTTCTTGGTAGTTCGTGAGCGCTTTTATGGTTACACCCTGGGGGAGTAATGGAATAGAGAAATTTTGCGACTTTTGTCAAAATAATTTTATTTCAAATGTGGCTGTCACCGATACGTGGTATAACAATGCCGTGGGCAGGTCGCCCGAGTCGGAGCTCCGCAGGGGGCGAGAGGGGTGGGCGAGCTTGTTCATTTCTACGCGTGGTAAACAGATAAGTTATTGTGCAGTAGATTGCTCACCGCAAATTGAGTATTATACGTTATAAACTAACTACTATACGTGGCCAAAGTGTAACTCTATGGTCTCTTTAGAGTCCAGGATGATTTTCAGTATAAATGAAAGAGCCTAAATCACTGTAAAGTTATTTCATCCGAGTGCGTGAGAAGAGTGTGTTCGTACAACTGTCGAATGATAAGTAGCGCGTTAATTACACACAGTCTGAATCCGGGCCGGTAAATGGTAAGTGTTGTTTTGTAAGAGCTGGGACGCGGTTGACTTCAGATGTTACCTTTCGGGTGACGTTGAGGGCCTTGAGGTTGGGGGGAGACGGGATTCCCCAGCACGTGAACCTTACCCGTGCATGCGGCGGGTTCAGTACGTTTTCATTTCGTTATTATCTCTTATGTATTTAATGCCTTTATTTAGCACCTTTATTAAACTGTACAGAACATCAACAAAAACACAGCGCTCTCGTTTTTTTTACATGCGAAATCTCGGCTTAAGTGTGTGTTACTATTTCGATGCACGACCTCTTTGATGATAAGATGCGCGCTTGCGTAAAAGTATCGCGTCGTGATGTTGCTGCAGTTGATCTTTATTTGCCGTTCGGTCGATTGAACGAACATTTTTAACGTCGCAATAATACTTAAGCAATTACTTGATCGCACTCTGGTTTTTGTGTGACGGTAACACTGACCTCCGGATGTTGTCATATAAATTAGTGCGCGCACATTGTTGTTGTTGCGCGTGTCTTTTAATACGAATGTTTTTTCACAACATAGCCGTCGCGTGATGACTTGTGTTTAAATAACAGTTCACAAATGTTGTACGGATAGTTACGATTTCATGACCGTCGGGGAAAGGCATCTGCTGGCCGTTTGACAGCCGTGAATTTTTGCGGCGCACGTGTACAGATAGTCCCCGAGTTACGATGGGTCCGACTTACGATATTTCGATCTTACCTTGGCGATACGACAAAAGTGTAAAATACGTAACATTTCGCGCGGCATGCAAACGCAGCAGCGTACGAATCTTGGTGAGTACAATATGATACGTTACGTTCAATGCATGTATGATACGTAGCTTTCGCGATTTCATTTTAGTGTTACCACGATACGATACGTTCAATGCGTGTTAAAGTCCGTTTAAAGATGACAGACTCGCTCTGCTCACTCATCTTCACTGATATCATCAGCCCTCGTGGACATCTGAGAAAAAGAGCTGCATAGCTAATCGGAATTCTCCAGGGTAAATAAAGATTCTGATTCGTGACATAACAGGACTGCAAAATGCGTGCCGTTATATTTCCTGTAGATGTCTGGATACTTCTGCGCAATGCGCCCACGTCTCGTCACTAATACCTCACGTAGGTGAAAATAATAAAATAAAAAAGCGAAAACAACTACATTAAATCACGACGTTTCAGGCGCAATACAAGCGTCCTTCACCAGGTGGGGGGACCACCACAGCGATTTAATTGAGTTTTCACTTATGTACTTCTTTTTTATTTTCACCGACGTGACTTTACCGAAAGAACCAAAGAGTATGGATCCTTGCAGTCACGAAAACTTCAAATCTAGAAGTGTGAACTACATAATTAAATTCCATAGACATACAGACGTGCAGAATGGTGGGCCGACACACCGTGTACTGTACCTTAATTTGCGATAGAACACTGTTTACACAGGTGTAACCATACGCGTTGCATCCATACAACTCACCCGGTGGTCGATTTGGTGTAGAATTGAGCGGCTTGATGGGAATTCATAGCAGTTGTGTCAGATTAAGCACCGGCAGGTTAAACATCGATTCACATATTTGTAAAACGACTGAAACACTTCGCCTGTCATTTTTATCCCATCGTCGACAATGGAGACATCGGCGCTTCTCCAAAAATCGATCGAAATTGAATATTCACCAACAAAATAATCAATCGGGGGCTCTCCCTATTGCGCGATCCGCTGCTTGCACATCTTTCAAGGACGCCCACGTGGGAGTGCAATCTACATTTAATCAATTACACTGCATGTGGTTTGCTTTTACACGGACCACAATGGGTTGTCACCGCAAATAATATATATCTGGGATTTACGCACGGTTTGGTTTTAAGGACAGACCCTTTCTGTCAGCGCGTCGGATTTCTCATAGATCATCATAGCTCATCGGATTTCTCCAGGATAAATCAAGATTCTGATTAGAAAGATTCCCTTTTTTACACATCCCTTTAACTCACTCTGTCGTTGTTGTCGTATCCTCAAATCTTGTAACTAAATTTTAACCGACTTCCCAATGTGGTATCGATTGCAAACTTGGTATACTGATGACAATACTACATTGTATCATAAAAAAAAATACATTCTTTTTTTATATGTTATGTTTCGGCTTGGGTCTAATTCATCCACGCTCAACTCACGTTGGCTGTAATTGGCCACGGTCTCTTACGTTATGGCAAGCTTCGGGGCCACTTCCTGGAGTCGTGGACTTCTGCCATTACTAGTACGTTTAATAAAAGCGTGTTTAAAAAAAAAGTTTGTTTAAAATATTACTTAATTCTCGACTTTCATTCGCGGAACTGCAGTAGGCTCGGCACTGCACCGGTCGCTGCGTGGCCGTGCGCGGCCCCGTTCGACCCTCCCCGTGCGTGACGCGGGCCACGTCAGAGCCCCGCGTGAACTCCCGGGGGGAATAAAGAGGCGAGGTGCAGCCGCATCCATCCGCGCGGTCAGCCGTGTCCTAAATCCGGCCGCGTGCTCTCTCTCTCTCTTGCTGCTGCCTGCATCTCCCTCCCTCCCTCCTCCAGCGACTGCCCGTCCGAACGGTCCCTGCAAGCGAAGATGCTGTTTTGGCACGCCCAACCGGAGCATTACCACCCTCACCACCATCACCAGTACGCGCCCGCACCCAACAGCTACCTGCGGTAAGCGTGTTCGTCGTCGTTTTTTTTGTGTGTGTGTATGCTCTGCAATGTCACTTGTTATGCGTAAAGGAGATACTTTTGTTGTGCTGTGAGGAAGGGTCATTGCCAGAAACGCCAGTTTGTATGTGTTTAATGTATGCGTATTTTTAACTCCGTGTTAATGGTGAATGTGTTTAGTTTATGTTTTTTTTTATAATGGAGAGGCAGTGCGCGCGGGACTGTGTGCACCAGTGTCTGTACATGTGCCATGTGTGCATTGTATTGAACGTGCGTCTATGCTACTCCAGGGCCGTGGCCAACTGTAATCGCCCACCCGTCCCATATAGAGTTGATGCAGCCCTTACCTCTGCTAAGCCTTTAACTGGCGTACCGTGAATAGTTGATACGGCGCGACGACGTGAAGTAGAATGTAGAACGTCACCGAGATCTTCTCCGGTAGCCGGTCGTTTGCGTGAACTTCAGTTTTCCGCCTCTGGGTGAGTTGCCACCTCTGCCCCCCCCATGCATCACAATTCATATGAACTCACGATATTTATATCCGACCCCTTTACATTAAGTTCGTTCCTGTAAGTTAGGTGGTAGCCCAAGCTGTGCATTACATGAACGTGCGTGCATGATTGCGTGTAGGGACAGTTTTGCCCGCTCTTAATCCCAATCAAGCCATAGCGAGCGGCCCCACAGCACGTGGTCCCGCAGCACATGCTGCTGCTGCTGTTGTATAAAATACCTTCCCGCAGCCGGCGCCACGTGTCCCGAAATCGCCCCCTACTCTGCCCCGTGCACTTGAGTGGCCGTGTAATCGGCCATGCGCACAACATGGACAAATGCATCGACGTATTGGTGCTCAACGCAGATCACTGCAGGGGGAGGGGGGCTCTCGCTCTTTTTTTTATTGTCCAACGCGATGTTTCCTGAAGGAGGCCAGGTGACCTGAAAAAGTCAATGTTTTGATAATGATTTCAGATGACGATCTCCGTCGGAAATGGTTTTGTTTTGCCTCCTGAGAACAGGTATAGGTTTCTGAAAGTATCCGCGAGTTTGTGACCCATCTGTACCGACATATCACTTATTACTACTTGACGTGTGGGGGAAAGGTAGAACAAAGTAGAACCCTTCTTGAAACGAGTCATGAGACTCTGTAACATAAACAGTAACTTATCATTACTCTCTGCCATACCACCCATGGACCAACTTGGTGAAGTATGGTTAAATAACGTCCAACTACCCACGAACGGCATGGATTGACAACATATATGTCTGTGCATGTACATACCACCAATAGGCTGGCGTGAATTAATAGCTTATCTTATTATATTTATAGCGCAGCTTCACTCAAGGTGATTGGCATAGTTAAAAACTAAATGGTGACAAAATACAGGGTGTTTGAAAAGGATGGACCCGATTTGAAATCGCTATATCTCTGCAACCACGAACCGCCCATGAATGAAACTCTTACCACTTGAAAGGGCGGGGCATAGAGAGGGCGGGGCATAGATTTTCTAATTATTACCACTAAATTCCTCTCCCAGCGCACAAACAGCCCCTAGCCTTAGTCATTTGCAAGATGGTGACCCCGCTACACAAGGCGTTTTGCGTTCTGCAGTTCAGCAAGACTGAATCCGTAATTGCGGTACAGCGTGCGTTTGAACGGCGTTTTGGCATTGATCCGCCAATGTCAAAGAGCATTCGTCGTTGGTACCGACAATTTGAGGAAGCAGGCTGTTTATGTAAGGGGAAGAGCACAGGGTGACCACGCACCTCAGAGGAAAAGGTGAGAAGAGAGGCGTTTGGGACGAATTCAATTATCGTCTCGATGTTGTCCGTACAGCAGGTGGAGGGCACCTAGAGCATTTATAAAATGGTTACTAAAACCGTTGGTAACTTTTTGTGTAATTGTAACATGTTGCCATCGTGAAATATACTGATTTGAAATTGGGTCCATCTTTTTCAAACACCCTGTAGAATGATTTAGTGTTCTGCATGGCATGCTTTCACTCTGGGTACCGTAGCTTTCACCCAGGGGCTAATACAACAATGCCTCAGGGAATTGGGTTCCAACAAGTCAAACGGGACTCGTCTCAAATGGGACCCATCTCAAAACTATTCATTAGACCTGGTTGTGGATGAGGCTTATATTTGGAATGATCGTTTTACTGGTAGGAACCTCCTGGTTACACCAGCCCACAGGGGATTATTGTGTCCGTATCCAAAAATGGGAGGGGTGGGGCTGGGTGGGGAGGGTGGGGAGCGGCTGAGAGGGGCTGGGTGGGGAGGGGCTGGGTGGGGAGGTTGGGGGGGTGGAGGGTGGGAGGGGTGGGGCTGGGTGGGGAGGGGCTGGTCACCCCGTGGTGCCCTTATAAAACTCAACGTTTAACCTACTCAAGCCGGCTTGTGCCCACCCTCAGTCGGCCATATTTGCGGAATACACCACGCCGCCGTTGACCCTGGCCATTGACCGAGCAACCCGACGTTCCTACCAGCTCCCTCCGCAGGAATGTGTTCAAGCTCGCACCCATATGCAGGGGGGGATTGTCTCGTATTGTATATTGGTTAGATATTATAGTATGCATGTGTAGTGAGTATAATGAATTCGGAGTAGATCAGTGTGTACACAAGACATTCAAAGTGCACTTTCACATCTATACGAACACCTTCCCCCAACTAGTTCTGCCTGCCATTTTTTTCCAATAAGCCCTCCTCACCAACGAAGAGCGAATGCCAGCAATGCGTTACACTCGGCATAGGTTTCATGGAACGAAGTAGTCGTACTTTCGTGCCCGTGCTTAATTTGTGTTTCGATTATTTACCTTCTAAACAAATCTGGCCATGCCTCGCACCCCCCAGAGGGTGCGTAAATCCCAGGTTACGAACCACTGCCCAAAAGAGACCCCCACCACACTCGTGCGAGGCCCTTCCACACGAGCATTGGCAGTGAGCGAAGCCGTTGCAGGGCTGCCCCTTTACCCGTTTTGAGCATGAGAGTTTCCCCCCCCCCCACCCCCCGGGCCCCCGCGGTGACGGCATAGTTGCTGACGTCATTTCCTCGTGGGCGGGGCCAGACAGGCAGGGGGGCGGGGCCAGGCAGGGCTCAGCTGTTCGCTTGCTGCGACGACTCGGCACTTTAAAGCGCAACACGCGTACGCCGACATAGACACACACACGCTCTCCTATAGACACACACACACACACTCTCTCTGCTATACAACCACACACATGTTCCTCTCATACACTCGATACATCTACGGAAACATCGACACTGCTTAGTTCATATACTTATTACACACTCGTCTCGAACACGTGTTTTTAAACTACCGCATCACCAACACGTGTACCCACGTAGTTCTTTACATTCACGCGCTAGGCAGTAATTACACAGTCACCGCTCGCATTACACACAACTGTGTCGTGGCACACAAAGTGTGTTGAGTGTGAGCGCCTGTGGAGTGGAGTGGAGGAACACGTGTCCACGAGTGGTAACGCGGGCGTGAGGCGCTCACTGCACTGTACACACTGTACATACTGTACACACTGCACTGTACACACTGTACCCACTGTACTACATTCACACACCTCGCCCGCTTGCAACTAAAGTCCGGTTACTCCGGGAAATATTTGAGAGGGGAGACCGGTGAGGAAGAGGAGAGGAGTCGTGCTTTGTAGATGAGGGCACACAGGTGATGAAGGGCGACTGGCAGGTGATGAAGGACGACTGGCAGGTAAAGGAGGAGGCTGATAGGTGAGGAAGGCACACGGGGGAGGGGTCGACGAGTGAGGGCGCAGTGGAGAGGGGGCAGGCTGGTGGGGGGGGGCAGGAGGGTGAGGGGGGGGGGCAGGCTGGTGAGGGTGAAGGAGGCTGGTGAGGGAGGAGGGTGAGGGGGGGGGCAGGTGAGGGTGAAGGGGGGGGCAGGTGAGGGTGAAGGGGGGGGCAGGTGAGGGTGAGGGTGAAGGAGGAGACAGGTGAGGGGGGCAGGCTGGTGAGGGGTGAGGCAGGTGAGGGTGAGGCTGGTGAGGGTGAAGGAGGAGACACGTGAGGGTGAGGGGGGGGGCGGGTGAGGGTGACGGGGGGCCTGGTGAGGGTGAGGCAGGCAGGTGAGGGGGGGGGCTGCTGAGGGTGAAGGAGAAGACAGGTGAGGGGGTGAGGAAGGCTGGTGAGGGTGAAGGAGGAGACAAGCCCGGCCATGGCGCTGTGGGCTCTGCGTCTGCCCCCGGTGCCGGGGGAGACGTTTGAGTTGTCGCTGTCTCACGACTTCGAGGCGAGTCTGTCTGGCATCGGACAACACCTCGACCTGGACGCCTACAGCATGAGGTGGGGACGGTGAAGGGGGGGGGGGACACGACCCGAGATACGGAGACACAAACCACTCATCGCAGGGACGCCGCCACCTGGCAACACCTCAACACACCTCGACACAAGCAGAGACGCACGTGGATACGCCAGTCATAAACCATATGAACAAGCACAGAGACACAATCGGAGGTACGCATGGATCACCGCTGGTGGACACGCACAGGGAGACAACCAGGCGCCAGAGACAATGAGAGAGAGAGAGACGGATGACACCAGAGCCAGAAGCTCCCATTGACACACAGATGATGCACTTCGTACCAGAGGTGCCACTAAAAACCAACCAGACACACACGACAGGAAAGTCTTTTGGGGGGGGGGGGGGGGCACAACTTGACGCACAGGACGACACCGCCAGGGACACGCACATGACACTTTGTAACTCCCCTAGACTCCCCCTGGGGGAATGAGGGGCAGTTCTTGATGCTTGGCTCTGTCCTGGAGACTTGTTTTGAGAGGATCGTCATCGGGCTCGTTCCTGGGGTGTTTTGTGTTGTGCCTCCCTTGGTTATGCCGTCGGTGGTATTGATTTGCATGGCGGTGGTTGTTGCGTGCCAAGGTGGAGGGTGGTGGCTGGATGTTGTTGATGGTTGTTGCGTGGCAAGGTGGGAGGGTGGTGGCTGGATGTTGTTGATGGTTGTTGCGTGGCAAGGTGGATGGTGATGGCTGGTTGTGCTTGCGTGGTATGTTGGTGACTGGTTGTATTCGTGGTTGTGGTTTCTGTGGTACTGCTGATAATGTGTACATCTGGCACCTACCAAAGAGTGTGCACTCGTGGTCAGATCTCAACCAATATTGGTGCATATTAACTCGGATTAAGCCTCAGTTTTGAGTACTTGCTGTGTCAGTTATTCCGGATTTCGTTCGGCTTTCGTGGCGAGTGGATGCAATGGCTGTTACATATTTTATCAGATCCCCATGGCATATAGTGTCGTCTCCAAATCGTATCAATGCTCCTTCTGACCTGTGTGCTATGAAGAAGGTCCATTGCCCGAAATACCAACTATTGCAATGTCTTTGCCTTCTAGGCAGTGTTATTAACGAATGTGAGTTGTTGTTAAATGTTGGATAAAATCCCACTTTAAATTTCGTAACAAACAATTGCGTGTTTTATCTGGACCGTTCTCCGTTTAAGGTGCGTTTTCCTATTTAATATCCTTCAAAGTTGCCAAACGCTGATGATTAATTGAGCCAGTTGTCATGTTGTGGCTTTCACCCGATTTTATGGATCGGTGAACCCGCCAAGAGCTTCTGTCTTTGATGCTAGTTCATCTGCGTGCTGTCATCTTGCTGTGCTGTGTACCTGATCCCTCCTTGCGCTGCTAACGGCCTGGCATTTTGGTGTGTCCATTTTAAACACTGTTTTATGCCACAGCCGTCTTGGGTTTCCACTGCTGTACCCAATAAACAGCAGCTGATGTTTATTTGAAAAGTAAATTCTACCTCCCACACTTATAAGCTCTGCAGTTGTTTTGCAAAGTGTTCATGCTTGGTCAGGGGGGGGGGGGGCTTAGTTCATATTTACTGGCCTACAGCATGGACAGTTGATAATTGTTTTTTTACCCTTTTATCTGGCAACAAAACTGACACCTTTTTTACAAGGAGTCATGTTTGCATAGACCACAATACCTGCAGTCGTAATGCAAACAAAAAACACAACTCTGATAATGTATGCACTGTCCTTGAAGTTGATTGGTCCACACCCGAGACAGCTTTCCTTAGAGCCTAGTCTCACATGGTGTTGGACCAGATGACGCCAAAAGGCGTCCTTGTAAAAAAAAAAGGTGTCAGTTTTGTTGCCAGATAAAAGGGTAAAAAAACAATTATCATATTTTTGATTTTGGCAAATTAGGTTCCAATGGAGCATGGACAGTTGTTTCTATGCAATTTTTGTAAAAACGGCAACAAACATTCAATTTATCGGCTGAAAGAAATTTGACAGCCTCGCTGTGCAGGGCACGTCTCCATCACTCAGGAACGTTATATATCTTGGTCTGGCGGCGTCTGGATGTGGAAATAAACTTCCGGCGTGCTTGTGATGTGCAGCGATGTGCTGGCGCTGCCCATCTTCAAGCAGGAGGACTCGCATCTGCCTAGCGAGCCAGAGTCGAAGCTGCCACCATTCCAGTATGTCATGTGCACCGCCACGTCGCCCGCTATCAAGCTTCACGATGAGACTCTCACCTACCTGAACCAAGGTGAGAGATTCCACCTGTATGCGCACCGTGCCACCGGGCCCACAAGAGAGCTCAACTGGTATAAGCCAAGGTTAAAATAAATTTAATTCACATCTAAGAACGAGTAATAGTGTGTCGAATATCAAATCCTATAAGATAAGTTTTTCGGTGTACGTATTTGTTGCATAATTCATAAACTACCATTGTCAGGCCCATACCATTAAAATACCAGGAAATTCTGTTGCTTAGATTTTCTCAGTTGTGCCGTGTGGATCTCCGATGTGATTTTGGGTTGTGCCACGTGTTGTTTGGCATGATGTTCATTGCTTCTTTCCATGCTTATAAAATGTCCGCCTTATCTTGCACTTTGTATTTAAATTCCATTAATGATTACTAAATGGCGATATTGTTGGTGATTTATTTATGAGCAGGTGAGAATTCATTGAGACGCTCTTCTTTTCAAAGAGATGCCTATGAGAAACTTCATGGGAAAAGCAGCATAATTTGTGATGTAAAACTAATTTGGTTGCAATTCCAAACCGGTGCTCGATAAATACTACCACCACAACACCGCCGGCATGGCCTGGTCGTTATTATGAATTGGAGGCTAAATTAAAGTTTATAAAATGATTATGTATCTGCTTGTGTTCATGTCTGTGGGCCCTTCGTAGGAATCGCTAAACTCCTTCACCATCGATTGAATGTTCCTTGAAAATGTTCTGGCTGAAAAAAAAAATTGGGCCCCCATCGTTAAAAGAACATGATGTTTTGGCAGAAAAATCAACTCCGTAGGCATATCTGACGTTATGTAATGTGTGCACCCGTTGTATTGGCTGTCTGTCATAGTCGTAGGGACAGACTAAAAAAAAAAAATTTTAGGAGATGTTCAAACGTTTCCAGTTAGGCATTCCCGATTTCATATTCAGCTAAAACTCATGTTATCTTACTGGACCTGTGACATGGGGTGGGTTGACATGAGCACCGTAAGGAAGCATACTGTGACAAATGCAAGCGCGGCATTCTCGTTCGTGTCTGCTGAAGCATGTGTCAATGTTGTCAACTTTTTTCTACACTCAGGACAACCGTACGAAATCCGCATGTTGGACACTAGAAAGGTCGGAGAACTGCTAGAGGTCAGCGGAAAGTACGTCAAGGTGAGTGTAAATAAATCAGCTCTGGTCTCAGCTGTTGTCAGGCACTGCATTCTTTTGATTGCAGTAGATTGCACTTGAATAGTTGGCACGGATCTGTAAAGGTCTCTGTGCAAGCTGACCTGTTCCTGCAAAGTGCTGTGTAGTTTCCTTTAGTCTATGGGCCAAAACGGATGTTGGTACCACCTTAGGTGGCAAAACTCTAGTCGTACTGATTTCATTATACGTCTCCTAACAGATAATTATCATTTCATAACCAACTTCTTTCAGATTGGAATCAGATAATTCACTGATATTGGCTTCATAAAGTAATTCGAGCTACTACATTTATGCTACTACATGTGGTATCGCCAATTGAAGTGCCTGCTCTGGGCTCCATGGACTGTTTCCCATATTGGCATAGCAACCCTACAGTTTTTATAACTTGCAGAAACCCCAATGCAAACACGTTTATTGCATCATGCTTGGATTTTGCAATGCATCAATTATCATCATACCCAGTGCACAGCACAGGTCTTGATGCTTAGCCCACAAAATGTATTTGAAAATCTATCATTTCCTGTAAATCTATTACTTCGTGACAAAAATACATCAGGTATAAAATCAATGGAAGTAGATAAGCTAAAATATAAGCTATAAAAAACAACCACTAAAACACAATTACAACAATTCTAATTGGATTTCAACCCACATGCTGTTTTGAACCACTGTTTTAGAGCTGGGCTGTCCGATTGCCTTAGTAATCTATTCTAGCAATTATCGGTCTGATTACTTGACTAATTGTAGAACACGAAAGTACTGTCATACGATTGGTCATAGAATACTCGTCATATAATACGAAAAGAGTTTGACTAATAAAAGGTCTCCCCTCTCTTTTTGCATCTGACGCTGGGCAGGAGGTAACAGAGGGGGTTTTACATCGGTATCAGTCGCGTCATGCTGGGGTGTAGGTTGTTGGGACTGCTGGGACTGCTGCCATTTTTAATGGGGCATGTGTAATCGACCATAAAAATGTGGTCGATTTTAATTGTTGGCTTTGAATGGACTTCACTCAGTCCCAGCTGAACGCTGTTTTCTCGCCGTTGATACGTGGTGTCGTCTTTGTGCCGACAGAGCATCGTACGCGTTGTGTTCCACGACCGGCGGCTGCAGTACACGGAGCACCAACAGCTGGAGGGATGGCGATGGAACCGCCCGGGAGACCGCATCCTTGACATCGGTGTGTGTGCAGTGTGTAGCGTGCACGTAATAAACAATAGCAACTTAATTGTGAATAACGTGGTGCAAAATGCTGCGTGCTCAACTTGATGGACAACGTCCAGGAGGCCTGTCGGTCAAAACATCAACGACTTTTCTCAATTTTTGTCATCCGTGTGTAGTGGATATACTGGCAGACATCCATAATGAGGTTCAAAGAGGCAAGATACACTGGCTCTGTGAAAACAATATTTGTGTTTTAATATGGAAAATGCTATGCCTAACATTAATTAAAATGATTGCTTGAAAGATTGTAGCTTGACTGAAAAGTTTTGGTAAGATATGTAAGTTGCTGAGAGATGGCTTGAGAGAATTTCTCATTAAAACTGGTGCTTACCTTGTGTTGGGGTGTACCGCGGTCGACTGGGGCAATTTTCTTCTTATAAACACATTGACTCTGTGCCGAATGCTCGCTCGCACGCATACGGGTACACACTGTGCCTCCATTTGGCATTCGTTCAAGAAAAAACTTGAGCAGCTGTAAAGGTCAGCTGCAGTGCACGTGCGTCGTAAGGAGGGGTCTATTTGCGCGTGTTTTGATACCGGGCAACATGAAATTATGTCGCAGAGATCTTGCCATGCGATTTTTACGAAGCGACGATTTTATTGTTGTGATTGTGCTTTGGCACTTTTTTATTTAAGCTTAAGATAGAGAGCAGATTGTACTGCAAGAAAAATGACTTGACGTCATTTGCCATGGATGTTTGGCAGGATGCAATTTCCTGTTTTATTCAGAGTGCATGAGCACCACATTAGTGTTTAAAATTGTGGAAGTATAAATAGATTATAATTTTCCATATTTGCAGCATACGGCTACAACATTGAATGAGACATTTTGGTTATCCATTAGTGTGACGCACATCATACGTTAATGGGCAACGCTCGTCGGAACAGCAAACAAATACACAGAAAATTTGTGAATTAACAATGGTCTGTTAAATTTAAAGTTGACTGGTGTTATTATTTTACCCGCTCGAATGTTTATATATATATGAATGTAATTTTGTTTTAAATTCTGTAGCACATTTTTTAGAGATGCCTGACTTTAATCATAAATCATTTAAAACAACGAAAACCCCATTTCAAAATCAAGTATCCTACAAGGAAGGCTGTAGATCAATTTAAAGACAAAAGAAACATAATTGTAGTTATTGCATACAATAATAAAATACTATGGAGACCAGCCAGCTGCATTAGAATCATTCTGAAAAGAGTTTCTATATTCAGTGTGTTTACAATAGAGGTAAAACATCAGTGTTTCCCCGCATGTAATGAGGCTTGTGGGATGTCGATTGCTTGCGGTGCGTTACAGACATTCCACTGTCGGTGGGGATCGTGGATCCCCGGGCGAACCCCACGCACCTGAACACGGTGGAGTTCCTGTGGGACCCGACCAAGCGTTCCTCCGTCTTCATCCAGGTACTGCACCCACCGTAGGCTGCTGCTGGTTGTTGCTAGCACTTCCAGTTGCAGCAATGAGACGGAGTCCTCCTGATTTCCTGTTGTTGCTATCGGGACAATATTTGTCGGGGGTAAAGGCTGTTTTTTCGTGTTTCGTTTAGGTTGTAATTGCCTGAATTGCTTTATTGTCTCACGGAGTACTTTACCAGTGCAGTCCTCCCGAGGATTTTTTTTTTCTCCAACAGTAACGATGAGTACCGCTCTGCTGACAGCATCCCCCCAAACTGGACTACCAGGCCCCTGTGGCAGCCCTGAACTGCTTGCGTTGGCTCGCGGATCTGAGATTTTACAGTTTCCCTAAGAAGCCCAGATATCCTGACTGGCGGGGGTTATGGTCTTAAAAAACTCCCATAAATAAGTTGAGACTTTCATCGAACAACCAAAATGAAAACGGTCTCTCATGAATGGAATTGGTCAAGCATCCTAATGCAAGACCCTCCATAAAAAATCTTGAGACTGATTAATTCCAGGGTAATTAAAGGGCAGTGCAGGAGAAACGTTAGTTGTACTGTACTTCAGTGTTCTAATCTCTATACTCCTCACCTTCTCCAACCCACACTGATCAAGGTGGTGAAGTATGGTCGAACAACCCCCACGATCCACACAGCGTAGGGAGGCCTTCATCCAGCAGTGGATTAAGAAAGGAGTGGTAATTGACATGATGAGTTGGTGTTCGGAGCCGGGCTTTGTATATATTTTGTGTTGCATTTGGCGAGGGTTGATTTGAAGCCGTTATTATTTAGGCTCGCAGCGTAAACTTTATTTCAGGTTGCGCCCCATCTGGCGAGACGAAGGGTAATGCTTGCCTGTCGTGCTATGCCACCCTCTTCAGGTGCACTGCATCAGCACGGAGTTCACACCTCGCAAGCATGGGGGAGAGAAGGGCGTCCCGTTCCGCGTGCAGATCGACACCTTCAAGCAGAACGAGGGCGGGGAATACACGGAGCACCTACACTCGGCCAGCTGCCAGGTCAAGGTGTTTAAGGTAAGGTTAACAGCTGCACTCTCCCCGTTGCCTGCACTAACGAGATGGGCGCATTTGAATGGCAATTAGAAATGCAAGTTGGGGGGAAAGGCCAAGCGATGTGATCAACAAAACAATTGATATTCTGAATTATTTTTTTATATGACTGCTGAAGCACTGCTCTGAGTCTGCAAGTCTCTACTAAGGAAGGCTCTCTTGGAATGTTGGGCGAATATTATTGTTAAATATACGTGCGATGAAATCGGGAGGTTTTCTAGAAAGCCTGGGCAAAAGAGGGGATAACACTCAAATTCTGCACCAATTGGTCACATGCAAGAGGGATGGTTTATACGTATGATGGCTTGATCTCTGTGATCCAACCCAACTTCCCAAGTCACTGGAGCAGTAGCTATACAGACCTGAAGCTTTTCTATAGCCATCAAGTACGGAGAGGCAGCGTGCAAACACACGGGTTTGCAATGTGGGTCAGCCTGGAGCGAAGCCCACATTATTGATCACAACCTCTCACACAAACCACGTCCAGAGAAATGCTAGTTTAGTCCCGAGAAGCCAAATCCTCATGCTTTTTCGTCCTTGGAACTTCCTGCCACATTGCCTGCCACTCCCATATTTGGGTGACTTCCTGGCACAGACCATATGTTTCACCACTGATAATTTCTGCTTGGCACTGATAAAGAGAATAAATGGCACAGCTTTGGATTTGGATAATGCGGTTGAAATTAATGTCAATACAATCCCAATCGCATTTCACATTTTCTACATAGTGTTGCTTTCCAAATGGGAAACGCGCAACAAAGAATGCTGCCGGGACCACCTTCAAGTGCACTAAAATTAAATTAATTGCCTCGTTAATTTTACAGCACGAAAAGCGGTAAGCTTTTCTGCACTTGTTTGAAAATGGCATGGCCTTTCATTGTCACGACTCAATAAGTTTTGGATTCAAGCCCCCAAGGGAAGGTATTTAATAATCTGTTAAGAAGAGTCAAAACCTTTTGGTTTTTGTTTCCTCCACCCTGTGCAATGAAGTACTTCCAATACAACTATGCACATGAAGCTAAAGCATGCTTTTGCCTTGCCCAGGCTAAGAGCTTGCCAATGTTTACATTTTACTGGCAAGCAAACACACACGTGGGGAGGAGAAAGGGGAAGTCTGTCTGCATCACGCACTAATGTGGAAAGCTTGCACAAATGTCAAGCATGACCGATTCAGTCTCGTGTGCAAGTACAATCTGATAAGTGTGTGCTCTGCCATCGGCTCTTTGGGCACAATTTGTCCGCCTATTTATTTGATTAAATAGTACAGATTTTCAACTAAAGTGTCGGTAGTGTGCAATGAGTGGTGATGAATAGGGACCATGTCATTTGGATGATGTGAGAAAGGTCATTCTTCACAAGACAATTTGGATGTACATACCATTGAAATACAACTCCATCTTAGGATGCTATATGAAACATTGCGACATGGACATCCTGGGTGAAATGACGCTGTTATTTATTTAATCGAGATAAAGAGGTAGTTACAGTGAGATGAGATGCAGGCGATATTGAGCATGGGCTGAAACTAGGGCCGAGATTGAACAATACGGATTTCTTGGAGAAGAGCATAGGAGAGAGGGAGCAATCTCCCACTAAATAAAGGTTGGTTAGGAGGATTTTCAATAAAAGGGGTCAGTTGCTGAATGAAGCAGGGGAGAGGTTTTGATGTTTTCCTTAAGCAATGTGACCACGATGGGGTTAAATTCTACATACATGCCCCCATGCTGCCACCTTAGCCCAAGGGCGCTGACCGCAAGCAGAAAACGGACCGCGACAAGATGGAAAAGAGAACGGTGCTGGAAAAAGAGAAATACCAACCATCATACGAGACCACCATCCTGACCGAGGTACTTGCTGTGCCGTAACTGCTGGGTGGTAGTCACCCCGACGCTAGGAAGTGAATGGGGTGCTGCACAGCGTCGTGATAGAATGTATGGAAACCGATCACCTGGGGACACCTCACAGCAGAGCATTCTGTTCTCTGTTTTCTAAAACCGCTGTTTAGGCAAATATTCTTGATCAATGGTGATTGAATACTTTGGCAGGGTTGGGAATATGGGGGTACCAGGATTGTTGTTGTTCCGCACAGTTGGGTCGTCTGTAAACAGGCTCAATGAATGGGTGGTTTTAAGTTGCAGGTGTTCTCTACTACAACGTACATTTTATACTCTATTGCAATCTCTGTTTTAAAGTAATTTTATAAGTTTTGTTTATCGATATATATTTGCATTCTTTACTTCGACAGTGTTCTCCGTGGCCTGACAATTCTTACTTGAGCAAGAGCCCCTCGCCCACACCAGGGTTGGGGTCCACCACCCAGCCTAACTTCACCATGTCGGAGACGTGAGTGCTTTTCGTGCAACGCATGCAACTCGCGCAGTGCACGAAGTGCAAACAAACATTATCCGCGGACACTCAGACAGTCAGTCGGCATCATTTGTCTCACGGCCACCCCAATGACAACACCAGGCAGCGCAGCAGCAGCAGCAGCAGCAGCAAGTGTATCATATTGCCTTGAGCTGTAACAGGCCACATCAGTTGTCAACTCTGCTTGGTAAACCTGTTTCCCTGAGGACCCGGATTAGTGTGCTGTAATCTAGCACGACTGTTCATGATGGGAAAAACGCAATGGCGAGCAGCTCTTTCCAACTTCATAATGAAAATAAATTGTATTTTATATAGCGTCATTCATGCTAATTGCTGGGTGACAATTCCACCTCGACACAAGTGCGATGTGTTTTTGCGTTTGTATTGCCCGCAGAGTGCTTCCTCGCTGGGAATGTTACTCGCAGCCAGCTCAAGACAGTCAGTTTGAATATGCATGGCAAACTTATCAATTGGCCACATTTTAATAAAGCAAAGGTGTTTCACCACCTTCTTGTTATGTATGGTCGAATGGAATGGTTGACAGATTGCACTGATTGGATGTAAAGGCCATTGTTTATTGATTAAAATTATGACATGATATACGAGGTTGACTGCAGAATCCCTTTGTGTGATGATCATAGCCATGCAATATGACTTTGTTACATTTGTGACATCCTTAAGGCGAGTAAGGTAGTCTAAAAATATTTTTTATTTGTAGCCCACCAGGGTATGTTTATTTAAATGGTTAAAGAGATTGAATGTTTTATTTATTTAGAATGTGGTTGTATTTAGACTCTTAATTATATAGAGTACATTTGCATCTTTTTTATTCTGTCTGGTATTACTTTGTAAGACACAACAGTGTGTTAAAGTAAAAAGTTATTTTTTCCAAAATATTCAGGATGTGAATTGGCATTCTTAAATTTGTTGAAATTGGAGCAGCCTTACCAACCCCTTCCTAACCAGCTGTTCCTAATTGAAGCAGTTTCATAAATGTCTGGTTTCCTGGTTAAACTATGAAATTCACATGATAACACTAATTTTCCACATTATTTACCGGGCGTGTTTTTTGATAGCGTGTTATCATGGTCGCTCACAGAGTTGCACTGTCTATTTTCTAGGTCTGGAAATTGTTCATCATCACCCACACATCCGAGTGAAAACCTTCCAGCCCCCACTGGAGAGGTAGCCCTCTTACGCATTAATTTCTTTGCGATGATCATCCTACACAGCTTAATACACAGCTGTTGCCATCGACACACGGATACTGCGAAACCCTTCCTATGAACCTAATTTAAAATTGTATTGTGGAGGAACATATATTTCCTCATTAACTTTGTTCTGTTTCCTATTAAGGGGTGAATATTAATAATTTAGTTTATGATGTATACGCATTGAATGGAATATGTAAGAATGGATGTTCTTTTTTCCATTTAGTGTGTGGTGTTTGTAATCCCAGCAACAGTGAGAGGCTGCTGCATTCACCACAGTGTTAAATTTAATTGATTGAATTTCGATTTAAAGCTTTCGTGACTGCAGGGATTCATATTCTTGGTTCTTTCGGTAAAGTCACGTAGAAGGGAAATAATAAAATAATAAAAATAAAACATAATAAATTAAAATTCTCACGACGTTTCGGCCACAACACAAGCAGCCGTTCATTGGGATGCTGTCTTTCCGACAGCTCTGTTCTTCACCTGAGGACGGCTGCTTGTGTTGTGGCCGAAACGTCGTCAGTATTTTATTTAATTTTCATTATTTTATTATTTCCCTTATACGTGACTTTACTGAAAGAACCAAGAATATAGTTAATTGATATATCAAATCGTGACCCTCCTTCTGAGCGATTTATCGATTCTCTGTATTTGATAAATCGTTACGTCCCCAATGCCACTGGATAATCTTTATATTCTTTGGGTCTTTCGGTAAAGCCACGTAGATAGATCAAATAATTTAAAATAATAACAATATCACGATGTTTCGATTGCAACACAAGCAATCGTCATCAGGTGAGAAATATCACGGGAGAGCTACAGAGAAATAATCTTTCTCTGTTTTTATTTCTCACTTGACCACTTTGGCATTGTGCTTTATTTATTTTCGTTCTTGCAGATATCTCTCAATTCGCGCTTACTTGGTTAAATGAAATATATACCTCTGTTAAAAAGCACGTGATTTTTGTGTCCTTAATTGTAACTCGTGTTGTGTTTGTCAACTGGGCGATATGCCCGGGGGTGAGGTATTGGGAGCTCGCTGTGCATCGCTATCTCTGCTTGTGTCCACGTGCATCACGCTCACAGCAGCTGCCCCCGGGGGCTTCGATCCAAGAGACCCAGCAGTGGCTGCACAGGAACCGCTTCTCTCAGTTCTCAAGACTCTTCAACAACTTTGCAGGTAGTGCCCGTGAGAACTCTCACAGCCACATGCAAACCCAAGTGGGGAGATTCAAATCAATAGCATATGCAAAAAGGTCTTGAGAAACCGCTCGGGCTTTAAAGCTGCTCACACATTGTATAGCTTTTGGCAATGTTTGTCTTTCTTGATCACGATAAATAAAATAAAATTGTATCCTCCTGTAAGTACGTTTTTTGCGTATTCATTGGAAGCACTTGGTGAAACAGAGTTTGTTGATAGTGTTTCACTCATTTAAAAGTCTATATTGTATTGTGCTGTTTCTTCAATATGCATGCCACATTTCCTTGATTCATAAAAAATATTGCTTACTCTCACAATGCCTACATCAAATCATACTGGTTAGCATCAGTAATATTTTCATATATGCAAAGTATAGGCATATTATTTGCAAGTGATATATTTCTAGAAAAATGTATTCTTGAATTCAGACTGACCCTGAATCTTGACGATTCTGCGAATCACGGAGGAATCATTACGTACCGAGTGGATTTAATTTACTGCTTGAATTTCCCCAGGCACTGACCTTCTGAAGCTGTCACGAGACGACCTCATCCAGATCTGCGGCCCAGCAGATGGCATTCGCCTGCACAACGCGCTCAAAGCCAAGTAGGGGTGACACCTGTGTCACCGTTTTGTATTAATTGCAGTTATTGGGTGTGTGGGCCTCGGAAGGCATAACTTGACTAAATTACTCGTGTTTCCTTTCTCCCCACGCACCCAGATCTGTACGGCCACGGCTGACCATCTACCTCTGCCAAGAGCCGCAGCAAGGTAGAGTTACATTTTTTCAACGATTGTCAAATTTCAAAGTCGACCGAGCACACAACTTAACTCTATCTGCGAGAGAGATGCATTCGATCAGGGGCTGTCCCGTTGTGAAGAGCTCATTGAATGAGCCTGTTAAAGGGGCTTGGTTTGTGTGTCGTGTTGCAGTGTACCATGCCATATACCTGGAGGATATGAACACACTGGAGCTGACGGAAAAGATCGCTACACTGTTCAGCATCCTGCCCCAACAGATCAGCAGTGTGTACCGGCAGGGCCCCACCGGGATCCACGTCCTGCTGTGCGACCAGGTGCCGACCGCAGTAACACCGTGCCAACGGTGTAAAGTGTGTGTGTGTGGTGTACAAGTGATGCATCAATGTAAATATTGATTCTTAAAATCGCAATAAGTGCATCGAATTGCATGTCTAAGAAACCAAGTTTCCCGATGGTCACTTGAGTCCACTTGCATTCGCTGTAATGTAACTAAAACATTTTCTTGAGTTAAACCGCGACCATGATTCACAACCATTGATGTAAGGGGGCTGGAGGAGTATAGTATAGCACCTCTCATGTGTTTGTATATTGTACCACCCCTTTGAGTGATCTCTTGACAACAGATGCGATTACAATTATTTTTAATAAATTATTCATCTTGAGTCCCAATGTGCTGTACACATCAATCCACTACACTTGTACACATCAATCCACTGCTGCGTGTGGGATGTGGGGGTTATCTTGACCATGCTTCACCACAGTGGTCATTACGGGTTGGTGAAGTTGGGAAGCAGAAATGGGAGCATAGAAGTACAGCACAACAATGGCTTTTGCAGTACTGCCTTCTACTGCCCACCACGTATCCCTGCAGCCGATACAAGCCTGGTTACCCCTCATCCAAGCACTAACTAGACTCAAACCTACTTGGCTTCAGAGACCTGACACGATTGGGTACATTCCAGGTGATTTGGTCACGGCAATTGGACATTTTGGGCCAAAAAATGTTCAACCACGGAATCCTGGCCGCCCTGCCACACGTGCTCAGCAGGGTGTTTCGGGAGCATTAAGCTTTTCCAGCAGAATAATGGATCGTGGAGAGGAGGAAAGTTCAGCGAATAAACGTGCCTTTAGGAGGTTGCTTAATTGAGAGTGCTACTTAGTTACAAAAAACACTTTTGGGAGAGCTGTGCAGTGCACACTGGAGCATGTAATGGGCGTGTGCACTGGATTAAAAGTTCACGAGGAACCCCATTGTAATTAAATTTTAAATCTCGCTCCAGGCAATGGTGTTGTTAATGATTCCGAGGCTCCATTCTTTTTTTACCTTTTACAGGGCTTAGAGTGCTACAGCGTGGCACCAGCTCCCAGTGCAGTTGTAAATAATAACCTTTCGGTGATGTACATAATTTAACTCGTTGCTTTTTGAACACTAGATGATCCAGAACTTCCAAGATGAGGCCTGCTTTGTCATCAACATGGCAAAAGGTAATTAACTGGTTTTCCTCCTAAGACAGTGGCCTGGTCGAGTCCTCTTTATAAACACTCAAGCATTGTTCGTGCGATGTCTTTACGTTTTGTGATTCAGTACCGTTGTATTGATAGCACTTGATTTACATTACACGTGAGTCACATTCTGGATGTTCTAAAACTTTTGTTGCAGACCTAGGAGATGCCACAGTGTAAGGCTTTTCACGAGTAGGATATCAGTATTCTGACAGAAGATAGCAGAGTCTTAAAGGAGATGGAGATGGAATATCCATGAAAAAAACTGCATTCAGGAGGAAATGGGAGCTGCTGGTTAGACAGATGCGCATAACATTGCAAAATATACTTGTAAATACCCTCGTATGGAGCAATGATATACATTTTTAGCAGAGCGCTTGACTTGGTCATAAGATCAAAGTTCAAATCCTCGTTGGGGATTGACTCACCCCAGCTTTCCTCCATATTCAATGTCCAATGGATAACTTGATCGCTGCGATAGAAAGTTTAATTTCCACCACGGCCTCAGAGCCACTTGTGGATATCATCACTTAATGCCAGCTTGAGCTGAGAAATGTTTACCTTTAAAGTTGGTTGTGGTTTACCTTTGCAGATGAAAGTGGTGACTGCTATCACGTGATCCTCAAGTGAATCGTATTGAGAAGCTTGTCGTGACCACGGCCGATGCTTCTGTGGACCCTGACCAGGGATGATTACAACCTCCTTGTACAGAATGAAAGAATGCCTCGTGGGCGAAAAGAAAAAAAACAAAGATATTTAATGAGCGCTGATGAAAGGCAGCTGATGGGAAGGGATTCATCATTGTTATCTCCGTGCTCTTGACGACACAACTATGGCGTGGAAGCAAAAGGAAGTAGCAACAGAGGCTGCCTCTGACATTCCAACGGGTTCTGACACTGCATTGTATAAACACATTTTGAGGTTTTTCCACTACAGCAGATCCTTCAGATTGTACTTGTTGCTGTATTTGGTGTACATACTGCCATGTAGTGCTTCTCTAACACTGTCTCAGGTTTTATACGCTCTGAAGTGAAGTTTCTATGGTGACAAATAGACTGTCTTACTGCCAAAAAGAAATTTCTCTGAACTGTACATTTTTGTGTAATTTGCTTATTTTTGAAGAGGCAAACTTTCAACTGACTAAATATCAAGTAAACATTTATACAAAGTACATATTATGAACAAGATAAACATTTGCACTGTTATTTGTAAGTGTATAGTTTAATAGGGGAGGGGGGGGGGACTCACACAAATTGGGATGTGGCATAGGCCTAGTTTGGTACTCGACACTCGGATGAGCTGAATTGGTAAATTCCCACAATGCACAGTGGTTTGCCTTAAGTGACAGCCATGACCTAAAGTGAACTTGGGAGCAGAGTGCATTTCATTCATTCAGACTCTAATGCCATAATTCACGTTCAATCGCTTAACGTAGAATTTCACAACTCGCGTCAACTCTTTCGGTTGTAATTCCCCCTCTTCTTTTAACTCAGGTTTAACGATAAGGAGCAATTATCAACAGGCGCCACTGAACTTTTAGCGGAAAATCTGTATTATTTGCATAGAAAATACTCCATCACAGTGCAGGTGATGTACAGATGAACAGATTGATACATGTCCTCCCAAAGTTGTGTACTTTTGTAAAAAGTAAAGGGGGAAGATGGTAGGCGACTTGTGGGGATGCTTGCTGTCAGCGGTGGCGTCGTGGGATAAGATCGAGGTCAATCGGCAGTGACCCAGTGAAACATTGCTTTTCTAGCTTGAACGTCTGCAGGTGTATTTCGAGTCAATACAATTTTTTTTTCCTGGGCTTCAGTTTTACTTGCACACGTGATGCCCTTTTGATAATGCAGCTTGCAGGCTCGTTTGTGAAAACATTGTTTTTAAATGTACAAAAAACGTCTCGGTTTAAAACATTCTAAATCGTTGAGCAATTAACCCTGGTCTAATTGACGCGTAATACATATTGTCATCTGATTTTTAATTGTGTAAACACTGAAGCAGCGTTGGTTAAGCGGTGCTGCCATCGACTGGCTTTGTGAGGACTGTTTTATTGGCAATGAGAAGTAAATGGAACTGCTGCAAGACCAACCGCGTTGGGCAAGTGTACCATAGATTCATACCGTCTGGCCTCGACTTCAACTCGTGTGTTTGTTTTGTATACAGATGATGGCATTGTTGACGCGTGCTGCTTGTGGTCGCGTTTCACTCTGGCGTGAGCAGAGGTGGGGTAGGGGGGGGATGAGTCGCCGCCTGTATTTCTTGATTTTCCAGTTGCATTTTACCTGGGTACACGGCAGCGCAGCAGAGCTTCGCAGTGAGAGTGATTCACGAATGACGGCGTCGGCCCTGGAAGATTGGCGCCTCATCCTGCCAGAGCATCTTTCCTCGTTTGGCTAAAGATGAACTTTGGTCGAATTACATTGTAATTATTATTTTGCGTTACATAAAACACACCGCACGTTGGTGTTTTTACGTAACCAAACGTACAACGCGGGTTTGTGTGTTGACTGCGATCTCAAATAACTATATCCATGTACCAAAGTGAATGCCTGTATGTGCCTTGATCTGTGTTCCAGTGTCACTGTAGTGTGCAGAGAGTAAATCCGACAACACGCGATGCTTCTTGTAGGTCGCTTGTTTCCCGTACGCTCGTTTGTGTTTGTATGCGCCGTTGGGTTTCATGTTTCTGGCCGACTGGTACCCCACCGCCTCGTTACTTTGTGAAGACAATAGGTCCCACGCGAGGGAGTCGTCTTGCTGGGAACGCCGCGATCCCCTTGTCCCGTTGAGTTTGTGATGAAACGCGAGAAGCGAAGTGGGTGGGAGCGCTCAGGAATAAAACCGCCCGTTCCTGATCACAGCAATAAAACACACACCCTCCAAATGTCATCTTATAATTAGTGCTTTCTTTTTTACTGTCAGTGGCTGGTGGTAGGTAAGTGGAACGTGTGTGGATGGTAAATTGTGCGCGTGAAACGGCTTGACTTGCCGACTGCGTTTTTCGATCTTGTGTTTCCACTGTGGTGAATGTACGAATCAAGTGAACCAATCGCATGACCTAACTCAGTGGTCGGCAACCAAAATAACGAAGTGCTATTTTTGGGGAATTTGATTAAAACAATTTTTGAAGAGCCGCAATGCATGTGAATAATGTCACGAAGCAGTTCTTAAAGAGCCGCATGCGGCTCCGGAGTCAGTAGGTGTGTCGACCCCCATCGTGGTGGAGAATATACGTAACAATAGATGGGCAGACAATGTCTCTCCACAGACGTATCTACATAACAAATACAGATATTTACACAACCCATTGGTCCCACGGCCTTCTGGGAGTTAATTTCAGCAGCATTGATTCAGGACAAGCAAACTGGTCCGGTGGCAAGTCTCACCGGTCAAGATTGCTGAAATCAATGCTCGTGAACTTCCAGATGTTAATGGCAATGATCTCTTGAATATATGGTTCCTAGTTCGACGCAATATGTAACGTAACTTTAAATACATTCATTACAGTACGAAAATCGATTCGTCCTCGCACGATTCGACATGTATTGTGAGCTGAAATATCGACTTGTCAATGAATTGATGCATCATTGTATGTGTAATGTACAACTCCGGAGACAAACTGTAGAGGCACCTTATTTATTACTCGTAACTCGCACTGTTCCACTCGCTAGCACGTAACAACACTGACTGCCTAGCGACGATGACACTAACTGACCAGATAGCTGGCTAACCATCTAGCAGTGGCGACGACGAGGACGACCCTGACTCCCATGACAGCCCTGAGCTCCCTCTCTCGCGCCCACTTTTATCCTTCCAGCGGGGACTGGCCCCGCCCCCCTTCTGGAATCATCGCAGCTGGTTCCTGGGAGCTTGATGGATCCCTTGGATGACCCTTGCCCCAGATCTTCCCCTTGGGTGGGCACACCAATAATTGCTACTTCTGGTCGCCAGTCAGCGCTGCTACACTACAAGATGTATCAACTATTTGGATGAATAGGACATCTGAGGCGTACTGTCTCGGCCTTGCTGTGTGCTGCGTTGCACCACGATCCAAGTAGTTAACCTCGCAATCAATAAACCTTCAGAGCCAGGGTGAGCATCCGACTCCAAACGTATTTAATGAAATAGATCGAGGTAAAACTGATGGAAAAACAGCGCAAAATACAGCATCTATTAATACTTGCAATATCGATACAATGGATTAACACAAGGAGTATCATCACATTGTCTTAGATAACATGAAACTCCACAATAGGTCCTGGATGGACCAGGCACCTACATTAGCACTGAATAGCTATACAAGAGAATAAGCTACTTTGTTGAATAAGGTCACTTCGTGTAATCACCATACTGCAGCCTAAATGTCCAGCGCTGCACATAACACTGAACTGTGGATGAGATACTTCTTCATCCTTGCTCTCTAGATCGCATTAAAGTTACATGGGTGCAAGTCTGACTCGACTTATTAAATTACAAGTAACATTAACAATAATGCAAGTGGTAGGCTTCGTTGTTAACTCGGCCTCATATTTATCATAACAATTTAACAGCATTATAAATGCATTTACAGCATTATAATGGCAATCCTAACATTATAACAGCATTCCCAGTATTATAAGAACATACAATAATTTACAGACAATGCTTCTTAAAATCCCACAATGAACAGATGCACCGGTCTTCACTGAGACGCTATTTGTGCCTCCATTTTGTACTCTGAGTAATGGCTGACACCCTGCCTCATGGCTTAGAGAATGTCAAATCGTAACTTCCTGGTCACATGACCAACTCAACACCATATCAGGAAATTCCTGTGTAATCAACACCCCCATACCTGCCATGGGGCAAAACACGGACATTCGTCCAACCTACATCGTCAGATTAGAACTAATGTGGTAGGGAATTCATTTTTTTTCCTGAACGAAAATTAACATTTCGTTTTTTGATATTAAATTTGGCAACATCCTTTATCTGTTGCATAAATGATATGGTGCAGTAACCCATCCAATGTTATATTTACTGCCAGTTTGTAAATCTACTGCTTGATGACGGCTTGCACATGCCGTGAAAACAGGGTCATTTGAGCATACTCCACCATGCTGGTCAGTGCGAGTTGGTGGTGGAGGGGTGCAGGGCAGGACCTGTTCAGATGTCACTCGCAAGGGATGTTGACCGCGACCAGGATTCAAACTCAGGTCATGGGGTTTTATGGTGCAGCGTGCTAGCCACTGCGTCACCGTTCCTTCCCTATGCAATTGTACCTTTTTTCACGTCATAAGGATTTTGCATAACGTGTTGACTGCCTGGTAAGTGCAAACATTCTTAGGGTTTATTCTTGGGGCTCCTGTTGCTGCTACTGCTGCTGCTATTCTAATGTTGTGCCTGTATCCCTCCTTTGTAGTGTAGCGGGTAGCGCACTGCGCTACGAACCCCGCGACCCGAGTTCAATTCCCGCTCACGGCCATGGGTATCCCCTAGGTCGATGCAGCCTAAAATGAGTACCCGATGCGATATGTAAACATCGCCACTGGGGAGACAAAGGCGGCCGGGCGTGGTGCTGGCCTCATGTGCCGTGCCGGCCTTCATCGGTGGTGCTACTTGCTCACAGGACTTGCCCCAACAGTCTGTTAAGGCTACACGGGGTATCTTTGTATTCTATGGGGACCTCATTTGCCAGTAAAAATATGATAATTGGTTCTTTACCCTTCTATCTGGCAACAAAACTGACACCTTTTTGCAAGGAGTCATGTTTGCATAGACCGCAATACCTGCAGTCATAATACAAACAAAAGAACATAACTCTGATAATGTGCACTGTCCTTGAAGTTGATTGGTCCACACCCGAGACAGCTTTCCTTCGAGCCTAGTCTCATATGGGTTGGACCAGATGACGCCAAAAGGCGCACAACTCAAGGACAATGCACCATCAGAGTATGAGAGCTCGGGGCAAGCATCTACACTATGGGGACCTCATTTGCCAGTAAAAATATGATAATCATATTTTTACTGGCAACTGACAAATTATCATATTTTTACTGGCAAATGAGGTCCCCATAGTGTAGATGCTTGCCCCGAGCTCTCATACTCTGATGGTGCATTGTCCTTGAGTTGTGCGCCTTTTGGCGTCATCTGGTCCAACCCATATGAGACTAGGCTCGAAGGAAAGCTGTCTCGGGTGTGGACCAATCAACTTCAAGGACAGTGCACATTATCAGAGTTATGTTCTTTTGTTTGTATTATGACTGCAGGTATTGCGGTCTATGCAAACATGACTCCTTGCAAAAAGGTGTCAGTTTTGTTGCCAGATAGAAGGGTAAAGAACCAATTATCATATCTTTGTATTGTTGTCCAGTTTTTTAGGAAAAAAACAGTGCATGATGTCTGTGTGTTGTTGAAACTAGACGCCCATATATGTGTAACCCCATTGCTCGTATATTAAGACTCATTTCCTGAGAAGCCGCGTGTCGATTGCACCACAGATGAAACACACGGACGTACGGGAAATTAAAACATTGCCATGCGCTGTCTCATGCACCACGCCCGTCAGCGTCGTCGTGTATTTATTAAAACACTTAATAAATACATGTTGGAAGCAATTAATATATTTTAAGTTCTCATCCTCGATTAGAATATATAGAGCAGTTCATATTTTTATGGTATCATGTGGTAATGCCCCATCACATGTTTTAAGTCTATTACACAGTGAATATTGATCCGAAGCTTGACTTAAACAAATTTAATCGCAATGTCAGAAAAATCGCAATTAGATATTTTCCCAAAATTGTTCAGCCCTAGTTCACAGCAAGGCCGTAGCCATGGAGTCAACATTGGGGGGGACCAAATATTCCAGGGTGTCTGGGGTAGTCCAAACCTAGAAAATGATCTAAATTTGAAAACTAATTTCCTGCCTAAAATATAAAAAATTCACTAAGACATGGGATGGACTTTTTATTGATTTTTTACAATAATGTCTAATAGTGTATTGTATTACATTGCTTTGTTTTTACTTTTTTACCATTGCTTGTTTCATTGTATGTAACGGCAGAGATTAGGGATTAATAAAATACAGCCATAACCACAATCATATAAACAAAATATATGCATTGATTTACATGAAGACAAGTCCAGATATTGTGGCCAAGGCTTAGCAAATTGTTGTTTTTATTTACATAGCATAGCAATAATATATTATAATTACGGCCTTGGTTCAAAGGCGCTGGCGTGGCGAGATTACGTGACTGGCCGTCTTGGGTTTAGCCCGCACGCAGCTTCCATCCTTCGCGGGAGGTTTTGACTATATCCATCCAACATGAATCGTCTCGACGTGTTAACGCTGTGCTAATTGCAGCGGCCACCAGCGGTTGAAGCGGTGACGTTACCCCTTGTACAAAATACAACGTACGAATGGAAAACAAAATCTATTCTTTTGTTAGTTGATGCAGGTACAGTATGGTGAGCTTGAGAATTGAATATTAATTCGTGCAAAGAGCGACACGGCCATTCCTCTATTTACGTCCATCTATTGCCGGAGACTTCCATTCATTATAGGCTGTGAATTATACATGCACATCCCCCGGCCAAAACGCTTCGCTGTCGATGACCGTGCAGGTTCACAATGTAAACTATGCAGGCCACCGCAAGTTATTCACCTGCGCGCCTTGTAACGCAATTCGTTGTGAGCCGCAGTGGTGGGCCGCGCTTTCAACGCCCGTTTTTCCATTCACGATATGAAATCGATTTTGTGCAATCGATTTTACTAAAGCATACGAGTCTTGATCTGCTTTATTTCTTAATTTTCCGGATCATGACCTCTTCCCCCCCCCCCTCCCCCTATCATGCGGAGGTTTCCACGCCAGGGGCTGTTGATCTCTCGTATGTTGTGGGGTTGTACCGCGGTGCTGTTGGGCATGACGCTTAATGTTCGTGATGCAGTCATGTTTAGTCTGTTGATGGTCGGCGATGCGGCTATCGACTCTTCTCGACGAGCTGTACACACGATGCACTGTGGTGCGTGCGAGCGTTCAGGGTTTCAGCGCAATCGTCCTCGCTGCGTTTCAACATCACGGAGTGTAGCACCGATTCCGGATTGATTGGTACCAAGGCCGTAGCCATGGAATCAACATTGAGGTTGACCAAATCTTCCAAGGGGTGTGGGATTCCCCCCCCCCCCCAGAAACATATCTAAATTTGAAAACGAATTTCCTGCCAATTCCTGCCGAAAATATAAAAAAAAATTCACTAACACATAGGATGGACTTTTTAATGTCTAATAGTGTATTGTATTACATTGCTCTGTTTTATCTTTTTTACATTTTGTTTCATTGTATGTAATGGCAGAGATTAGGGATTCATAAAGTACATCCATAACCACAAGCATACAAACATAAATCTATTTTATAGCAATATATTGGGGGGGGGGGGCATTCTGAGCATATTTGAATATTGGGGGGGGGGTGTGTCCCCCAATACATATTATAATTACGGCCTTGATTGGTACCCCAGTCGCAGAGTTAAGTACACCCCTGGAAAAAATAGTGCCCCAAAAATAAAATATTTAATTGCCTCGACCATTTAGTATTATTTGCTACCCCGGGGTACCCCCTCCCCCCCCCTCCATAAGGATCATTTGTGTGGTTCGGTCCGACAACGCATCAAAGAGTTGCTTTCTCAACGAAATTTGATCAAAGAGGCTGCGATAAGCACCGTGCGTTTCTTTCCTTTCCACGGGCACAGGGAAGACATCCCGCGCTGCTTAGCGCAGGAGAAAGCATTCGCCCATTCATCCGCGTCGCGCGTGTGAGCCTCGTCCCTTTCCCCTTAGCGGGACACGGCGTGGGACCCACCGGGGGCGGGACGACGCATGTGTGGTGGGGGGGTGGTGCTGGTGGAGGAAACACGCGATGGGAAATTAAAGGGCACACACGGGGAGGGGAGGGGGGTGGCGAGGGGAGGGAAGCGAGTCCACTGCTCACCGGGGGTTCGCCGGTTACCGGGAGGGAGCGCAACGGACGCACGGACAGACGAGTCGCGACCGACACCTCTGCCAGCCGAGACATGTCTGCCCCGGGACGAACCGGCGAGTGAGTGACAAAGCTTCGTGTTATGGACAGCGGTGTTGTGACCGGCTGTTGTCGACGGTGACTGGATTGTCGTCAGCTGTTGTTGTGGTGGAGACGGAACGTTGCGCCGATTCGGCTGTTACGGTGGTGTGTTCGATGTGCCGGTTGAATTTGATGAATGTCGGTGGATGTTGTCGGCTGTCGTGATGGTGACCGGGATGTGTTTGTCTGCTGTTGTGATCGTGACAGTCGGTGGGCATGTCTCCACTGTACCGGCTGCTGTGCTGGACGGAGGCTGCGAGTGATGCGCGTGGTTTGTGGCTGTTAGCCCCGACAGTGCGTCACGGTGATTGTTGTTGGTGGTGGTGGTGATTGGTGATAGTGGTTGTGGTGGTGGTAATGATTGGTGATAGTGGTGGTGGTAATGATTGGTGATAGTGGTTGTGGTGGTGGTATTAATTACTGGTTGTGGTGGTGGTAATGATTGGTGATAGTGGTGGTGGTAATGATTGGTGATAGTGATTGTGGTGGTGGTAATAATTAGTGGTTGTGGTGGTGGTAATGATTGGTGATAGTGGTGGTCATGATTGGTGATAGTGGTTGTGGTGGTGGTAATAATTAGTGGTTGTGGTGGTGGTAATGAATGGTGATAGTGGTTGTGGTGGTGGTAATGATTGGTGATAGTGGTTGTGGTGGTGGTAATGATTGGTGCTAGTAGTTGTGGTGGTGGTAATAATTAGTGGTTGTGGTGGTAATGGTTGGTGATAATGGTTGTGGTGGTGGTAATAATTAGTGGTTGTGGTGGTAATGATTGGTGATAGTGGTTGCGGTGGTGGTAATGATTGGTGATTGGTGATAGTGGTTGTGGTGGTAATGATTGGTGATAGTGGTTGTGGTGGTGGTGGTAATGATTGATGATAGTGGTTGTGGTGGTGGTAATGATTGGTGATCGTGGTTGTGGTAATGATTGGTGATCGTGGTTGTGGTGGTGGTAATGATTGGTGATAGTGGTTGTGGTAATGATTGGTGATCGTGGTTGTGGTGGTGGTAATGATTGGTGATAGTGGTTGCGGTGGTGGTAATGATTGGTGATAGTGGTTGTGGTGGTGGTAATGATTGGTGATCGTGGTGGTGGTAATGATTGGTGATCGTGGTTGTGGTGGTGGTAATGATTGGTGATAGTGGTTGTGGTGGTGGTAATGATTGGTGATCGTGATGGTGGTAATGATTGGTGATAGTGGTTGTGGTGGTGGTAATGATTGGTGATCGTGGTGGTGGTAATGATTGGTGATAGTGGTTGTGGTGGTGGTAATGATTCGTGACGGTGGTGATGTTTTTGATGGTAGTGATTATGATTGGTGGTGGTATGATGATGATGGTGGTAATGATTGGTGATAGTAGTGGTGATGCTGGCAATGATTGGTTGTGGTAATAATTGTTGGTGGTAGTGATGGTGGTGGGAACGATTGGTGATGGTGGTAATGATTGGTGATGGCAATGGATGGTGGTGGTAATGATTGGTGGTAGTGATATCATGATTGGTGCAGGTGTGTTCGTGATGGTGGTAGTGATGGTGGTGGTAATGCTTGGTTATGGTGGTAATGATTGGTGCTGGTAGTGATCCTGCACGTAATCCCAGGTGGTGCTAATTATTGGTGGTAGTGATCGTAATAATGATTGTGCTGCGTGTGTTTTACCCCCATCACGGCACACTCACACAATGCTGTTATCGCGTTCGCCCGCATTGAGCAGAGCCACACGCGGTTCAGGAGGGAGCAGTGCACATTCCCCTGTAACCCACGGTGACACTCCCCCACACACACACACCCCCGATACGTCCTTGCGATATGAACACGCACATCTCGTTATCGGCCCACCGCTGGATGAGGGCATGGATCGGCCACGGCGTGCGGGTCGTGGGGGTTGTTTTGGCTGTGAAGTTCACCGCGTTGGACGGTGCGGGTTGCTGTGAGGGACCCCGAAAGCATCGAGGCGAGTGCGACAATGACGACCCGTCACACATCACAATGCAAATTCACACGGATTTGGGCAGGGTGACACGTGTGGATTTTAATCACGCATGTTGTAGGCCAACTACATGTACGGTCACGTCGCCTGAGCTAATTTCCCCCTAGATTTGAAGCTTTCGTGACTGCAGGAATCCATACTCTTTGGTTCCTTCGGTAAAGTCACGTGGGTAGACAAAATAAAAGAGCACGACGTTTCGATCGCAACGCGTGCGACCGTCTTCAGGTGAGAACTGCTGTGTTTGTCTCACTCGCTTGCGTTGCGATCGAAACGTCGCGATCGATTATTTTGTCTACCTACGTGACTCAACCCAAAGAACCAAAGAGTATGTGTCATTTTTTTGCCGTGTGCTGTGGAGTACAGTAAGACGATGATACGATTATTGTGCCAAATATGTCAGGAATGGAAACACGCGTGCTTTGCGAATGCGGGCAGAACAGATTCACGTGACTTCAAAGGGCAGCCAACCAGCCTAATGCCATGGAGATAAGTACGTCTTATGGCCTTGCACCATGAACACGGTCATCTTAGGTCGGTAACCGACCATTGCTGACATCCGTGGTCGTCATCTGAACAATCCCAACCCCCTTGCCCGCCTCATCCACGCCATCCATCTCTTGACGAACCCCGCACAGACCGGCGTGGTTTACCAAACGACCCTGTGGCTGACTCGGCGTGCAGAGAGGAGAGGAGCACTTAACAGCGGATGTATAAGGGGTCATCTATAGATATAAAGAATGAAAATGTGTGAATGAGTGTCTGTTCGAAATGTTTAGCATACTTCCAGACATGCAACAAACTTGAAATTTGGCATGTGGGTAGCTTCCAGACTGTACACGATGCAAAAAGTATAAAATATATTTTTGTATTTTGGGGGGGGGGGGGGGCTCAATAATGGATATATTTTGCACGGCAAGTGAGCGGTGACGTCACATATGTGATGTCACCCGCATGCGGCAGCGTCACGCAGTGTGCCTGCTGACGTCACGCATCCCCCCCCACCCTACACGTGGGTCGTGTATTAATCCAAGACAAGAATCCAAGTCCCGGGCGAAGCCGGGTAGTAAAGCTAGTTAATCATAAGAAAAAACACTTTTTTTTATCAGTTACATACACATTGTTACGACAGTTTCCAGTCACCTTGTGGGGAAACAGAACTGCTGAGCAGTGGAATTCTGAGCCGGGTCGTACCGTGTGTGTGAACTTCGCTCGCTGGGTGCTGCACGGAAGGGAGTGTGCTTGGTTTATACAGCACGCGTTCCTATCACACTGAACGACTACGGTTAATTTGTGACTTCACATGCCCTTGAAAGTACAGGTGGTAGTGACTATATGCAGCTGGCCTGTAATCCAGCACTGTTGGAGGCAGCGAGGGGTTGGCGGATAGCACAGATGTTGTGAAACTCCCTTCCCCGTTGGCGTCGAGGAAGGTGCTATAACCTGGCTCGCCAGGAGAGGGCAGTGCATGAAGTGGACTAATCGCCATTGGTTTCCGTCTGTACGGGGGATAAAGTGTTGTTCCCGTGGATTTCCTCTCCGGGTGCTCCGGCTTCCTCCAACTGCGTATAACACTCTCTTTATTAATTGATTGAAAACAACTAATAAAAAAACCCAATGCACGACCCTCATTTGAAACGAGTCCTACAACTCAGTGTGGCTTTCCTGGATAAGTAAATAAAGAAAAAGTGATTCCGGAGTGTAAGAATACCTTACAGAACTCCCTTTGTCCCTGCGCTGCAACTTGAAGGTCTCGACACGTTGTTGGCCGTGGGGGCTGTTTGGCCATACTTCACTACGCTGGTCAGTACGGGCTGGTAACAGGGCAGTGTTTAGACGGCACTCGCCACTGATGTTGGTCGTGAATCTGACTCAGGCTCTCAGGTTCAGTTATTCGTAATTAACTAATAATTGTATTGCTTTATTTTATATTAGTATTTGCCACACAAGGCGGGTTGAGTATAACTGCCTACAACATCCAACACAAGAGTGGAAAAAGCTGACATCGTGAACCATTGTTAACAACTCCATCGGAAACCGCTCCCAACAAGGCTCGTTCATCCCATAATCTCTGTCAAAAAATGTTGTTCGCCCATAACCACTCCTCGAACGTATTCAGTTTCAGTTTCATTTATTTGGTATAGCCCTGTGAGCCATTCGACTCTTGAATCGGGCACAACCGCAACAAGCAAAAAACTAAAACATGAACAAGAAAACATCTTAAAGTGACTATGCGCAAACAGAAAATCCAGGAAAAAACTGAAAGTCTTCCAGAAAAAAAGCACCGTACACCAACGCTGTGCAAAAATCCCAGTGGGATGCAAGTCAAACAACAACCACAAGACAACTTAGATTAAAGCCATCATTCTAACTCCGTACTACAACAAACAGACATGGCCAAACCAAAAAACTTTTCTAAATCACCAAAATAAAGCCATAAGCAATGTACAATGATCATAGGAACTGTGACAGAAATTTCACAATAAACGACATGAACAACATGTACCACCAAACCCTGCAGCCATAGCTGGCTGCATGAGTCACTCAAACAACATTGACAGGGACGCCAACACCCTGCTCAGACCCCTCTGCCCGGACCCGCCCTCTGCTCCGACATCCTCCCCCACCTCTTCGCCTCCCACACGCAGCCCTCTAATGAATGTAGCGCATAGAAAGCATTCTGGGTCACGCTGACCCCACTCCCTTCACTTACTGAGCTCCTGCGGATGCTGCTGGCTTTGCGTGTGAGACGGAGAGGATGAAGAGGGCGGCGGCGGCGGTGGTGGTTGGGGATGGGTTGGGGTTGGTTGTGAAACGAAGGGACCGCGGCTGAATGCAAGAAGCCATATCATGCCTCCCTGGAAATTGCGTAAATCACGTTGAACTTCTTTCGCACTGTACGTAGCCAACCGGGCCAATAGAAGGTACGGGAGAAGGACAACAAACTATACACAAAAAGCAGTTCTAAATAAATTAGTTTTCCATGTAGATGTTTTAAAGTACATAGCTCCAGTGGCTTCCTAATATCGGCATGAAGAGTGTTCCAGACGGCGTGCAGAAGTGCATTTGAAAGCGCGCGATGCAGTGGCCGTCTTTTATCTATGGTCAGCCAAAAGCTGCTGCGAGGATGACCGGAGTTTGCGTGATGGTTTATGATCCTTGACAAGATCAGAAAGGTGTTGTGGTTCATTTGTGGCGAGCACTTTGTGTTGAGTTAAGAGCGTGATGGACAGTTCTTGAGCAGCTCACACAAAAACGACTAATTGGTACCACGTAGAGTGGCAAATACTAATTCGATCATCTCTAAATTTACAAATACATATCATAGCACCGTCACCACAGTAGAGTACTAGAAATGCTGCTTTTAAGGAAGGGTATCTTGGTATGTTCGATATCGAGTGTATCGTTTTGGAAGAGCGACAAATGCGATAGTAAACATCCACGGAGTATGAAACTAAAAGTTAAGTGTGGCTGTAACTCGAATAGTTTGGTATATACCAGGGGTCGGCAACCTACGGCTCCGGAGCCGCATGCGGCTCTTTACGGGCTGCTTCTTGACGATGAGTACGTATGTACTCAGATGCATTGCGGCTCTTGAAATACTGAATTTTGTACCGAATTGGAAAGAAATGGCTCTTCTTGTTATTTTGGTTGCCGACCCCTGGTATATACCATGGGTTTTCTTCTGCCCATGGTGGACCGGTAGAATTTGCCTCCCCAAGTGGTACCGACCAACCCAGCTTGGCTCATGTCACCGCGCGAGCCCTTGACCCTTGACCTCGCGTGTGTCGGGAGCTGTTTGTCGCGATAGTTTAATGGCTTATTGTCTTCTCTCTAATGTAAGATGCAGTACGTGCGCATTCTTTATAGTTCACATGTTCCACATTGTTACTCATGGAAACGTATGCATCATGCAATTATTACTGTTAAGGAAAGTATGTGAGTTTCGGCAGAGTGTGCTGCTTGGAAAAGCAAATACTCAACTATTCCTTATTTTACCAGGTAAGGCCCACTGGGCTATGTAGCTCTTTTTCAGAAGCAACCAGGTCACAAATGATAGCTCAACGAAGTCGCTTATCACGTAAGAATGTATAGCAGCCAAATACGCAAGTTGATTTTAAACGTGGAGACCTGGAGAAAAAATATACGCGACCACGGGGAGAACGTACAAACGCCAAATACACAGGCGTCATGGTCTAAATATACACGCGTCAGGTTCGGGACCGAACCCACGACCTCCTGTATTACAGGCGAGGTAGTTAACATCTCGCCACCGTGGCGGAAGGCATCGTGGACAGTGGTCGAGACTAATGATGGAGTGGCAGCACATCGAGTGAACACACCCGGCGGGCACACCCACCACGGAGATGGATCAGCTCATACGCAGATTCGAGACGAATTGTTGCATCCCAGATATGTTATGGATGGCGACGGCTTGGGAAAGGAATGCCTTCATCCAGCGGTGGATTGATCATGGCCAATGATAATGACAATGATTGATGTCATACCACTGTGTGGTTGTCCCGTCTCTTGCAATGAGCACCGCCCAACCTGGTTTTTTGAGGTTACGTGCTGGCTGTTTAATGACGCAATTGCTCAATTTACATCAGTGCTTCTATGCTTCAAATATTACTGTTGCTGTGCATGAATGTGGAATTGTACCGCTGACGCCTGTTAAATAAATAGCCGTTGATGCCATAAAGAGACCCACTTAGCGAGTGCCAGGTGGTAAATCGTTGAATTGCACACCTCTACAAGTGGAACACCTGTGTTGGCTTGCCTCTCCAGGGAGGGGAGAGATTGTCGCTCGTCCTGTCACCTCACTTGATAATCTCCATCACCCTGTTTCTGGTCTGCCCTCTCACCCCCCTCCCCCCTCTCGTACTCAGTGGCCTCGTCAAGGTGATAAACCCTCACCTGGCCTCATTGCAGGATGACGTCCTCTACCACTTCGGCCTGGCCACCAAATCCCACGACCTCCCGGCCATGTTTGGGGACCTCAAGGTGGAGTGACTGACTGACGCGCACACACCACACAGCGTAGTAATGTTGTTCCCCTGGGATATGAGGATATGACCCTCACAGTATCGTAGGAAGAGCGGCAGAACCCGAGTTCGATTCCCGCTCATGGCCACCAAACACCAGTGACGATTATCTGAACTGGTTCTGGGCCTCCGTTAGGTCGACTCAGCCTCAAATGATTACCTGGTGCTGTGTGTAAGCATCGCCAGTGGGGAGACAAAGGCGTGGTGCTGGCCACCCACCCTTTAAAGGTGCTCGTTAAATGCTCTTGCCCCAAAAGTCTGTTAAGGCTATACGGGGGGGATCTTCGTTTTTGTCTTTGTGCCTGCGTCTGCCGTGTGTGAATCATGTGTATGTGCGCGCACGTGTCAGTTTGTGTGCGTGGGTGGCAGCGCGTGGCGGATGCTGGCCTTCGCGCGTTACATCGCCAAGGAGTTGGAGCTGCCGGACCAGGGAGATGGGCCCACCAACCTGTGCGAGGCCACGGACCGATACTGCATGTACAAAGTGGGGCCCGTGCTGTCCGTGAGCGTGAGTGGCACCTCCCTCTCTCCGGCACCAGCGCCACTCCGCACGAACGCAGTCCTCAAATGCGTCACCCTCATACTCAATTTCGGACGGCCGAAGACAGTCTACTAATATTTCACGAGTCGCGTTGTAAGCCATGTCCAGTTGATAGACTCAAATGGGATGTCTAGATGCAACGGCATACCGTTGGCAGCGTGACGCTTTTGGATTCTCGATTGTATCTTGGGCCAAGGGACTCAGAGACAGACACTTCTCCCATTGTTTAGCTGGTACCTGCTGACCCAATTCGACACTCTAAGGTCTGCGTTGAAATACCTGTCATTACCTGTGTTGCTACATGAGGGGACGTGCTCAGAACACGTTACCCGTACAAATGTCTCGCTCACCTTGGATGTATCCCCAATGCACACTCCTCCACGGAGGCTCACTGCCAAGTTGTAGAGAATGTTGCGGTGCCGTTTGCCTTCACCCCCCCCCCCCTTCCACTTACCGCCACCACCCCCACCACTGTCGCCACAGCACGGCATGGGCGTTCCATCTATCGGCATCATGCTGCACGAGCTCATCAAGCTGCTGTTCCACGCCAAGAGCCGCAACGTGCGAATCTTCCGCATCGGCACGTCCGGCGGCATCGGTGCGACGCGCACCCCTCACTCCGTCTCAACGCCAATGTGGCCTGGCACTCAGCAGCACTGGCTCGCCTTCCGCTCGAGAAATTAAACCAATTGTTCGGCGGTGACACTAAATTCAGCTGTGGTGCACGAGCACAAATGATCAACACATTCGTTATTGTGTGTATGTGGGGGCTTAAAGGGAAACATATCACAGACGACGTTTCGGGCAATGACCCTTCTGCATAGCACATATATAGAAAGGCCAGAGGGATAGAGTGAATAAGAGACTGCAGCGTGGGGCCTGATAAGAATACGATTTTGCGTTCAAGACTTACAATTGTCCACTTCAGACAGTCGACAGAGTGAAATATGGTCAAAGAACCCCCCACGACCCTCATGGTGCGGAGAGACCCTCATGCAGCAGCGGATTGACAGGAGGACTGTATATCAGCATGGACTCACAGTCGTGAAAATCACAATTATCATGGTTCGCAACGTAGAGTGGGAAAGAAGTTCTCCATGCATACTGGAGCTCCTTGCAGTCGAGCGTGATTAACAGTGCACGTGAGGACAAAAACGTCAAGGCATTAGCCACGTGAATACTCCAATCCCTGTCCTCTGATTGGCTAATCTGGACCTTTCTATGCATCATTCAAACCTCAGGCTTGCTGAACATGCGGCGAATTTCAACAGGAGACACGTCCGGTGCTTAAAAATATTCGACCACAGAGGGCACGTTCCGTCTTCCAGAATCTCAAAATTTCATACGACTGTCCTGCTTCATTTGATTAATTTTCTCATTTGAAAAAACGTTATTTGTTCATTTAAATTTACATTCAATTAATACATTCCAATTGTATATGGCATTCTTGTACGACAGTACTCCAACATACACGGCTGGCATGATGCACCGCTGGTGATTAAAGCCGTGCGCTGCATACACAAGACTCTTATTTGTGGATAGCGTCCAACACGAGAGGATATCCAGACGCTGGATGACTCTTGACCGCCACACTTCCATCGAGTTGACGGCTGTCACCGGTTGATGTCGCACGCTGACCGTGACGCACGGGGGGCTGGGGAGGGAGGGGTCGGAAGGTCATGTAAGTTTCCCATTTCGATCCTCGATCTCCTGACCGCGCAGGGCTGGAGCCAGGCTCCGTGGTGGTGTCGCGCACCGCCGTGGACGAGCAGTTCCGCCCCGAGTTCCGCCAGGTGGTGCTGGGCGAGGTGGTGACGCGTGACTCCGAGCTGGACGCCGAGCTGGCGCACGAGCTGCTGCAGTGCGCCAAGGACTTCGCCGACGAGTTCCCCACCATCGTGGGCGACACCATGTGCACAAACGACTTCTATGAGGGTGAGCAGCAACGCCACGCAGGCGTGAGCGACACCTGCGCGGCAGTGGGCATGCTGGCGACGGGGACCCCAGTGGCGCAGCGGCGTTGGCATGGGCTCTGGTGTGAGGAATTAAATGGGACCCCTGTTTAATTTCTACCCCCCCCCCCCCCACCAAACCCGCTCTCTTCGTAGCCCGGTGCCATGTGGCCCTGGTGCAGTTACACTGCCTGCACACACGATAGCTGCAAGGTAGTCGAGAGAGGGGTGGGTCGGTGAGACATTTGGGTGGCCCTTATTTGGCAGTAGCTGGCACGTTGCTCAGAAGAGGACCGTTGCTCCCTGTCTCGAGATCACAAGGTGAATGAAGTCTTTGTCTGGACCAACTGATCTCCACCATCATCATTCCAGGGTTAATTAAGTTAAGTACCTCCTAGTAAGCATCGCTCAGCGGGACGTCAGTTTTGGTTGTCCCGGTCTCTGCTGTGGAAGCCGTGGAATTCCAACACGGGCACAGGACTGCCAATGAGCGCATGTGCGGCCCAACGCTCGTCTGAGTTTTGAGTCATCTCTTTGTTTTTTTATTTGGTTCATGTTGGTCCCTTACAAATCCCAGGTTTATCCTATTGCCGATTCACCGCTGGTGACCTCCCTATGCTTGTGACCTCTCTGTGACCTCGTGCTTTGACCTCTTTGCGTACGTAGGTCAGGGTCGACTGGATGGGGCACTGTGCTGCTACACGTCGGCGCAGAAGCTCGAGTATCTGAAGCGCGCCTATTCGGCCGGCGTGCGAAACATCGAGATGGAGTCGTCCATCTTCGCCGCCATGTGCAAGCTCTGCAGCATCCGCGGTGAAGCCCTCGCGTGGCCCAGTGGTGCCGATGCCGTCGGCTCGATCCAGAGACGTTTTGGGGGTTTGTTAAAGCGACTAGTTTTGACAAATCTCGGAGACTTTCTGGGATGAGGAAATTATGCAGATTTAAGAGCGATTCCGGGTGTGTGTTGAGGATCGTGTATTAGAGTACGACGTTTGTTTAATTTGTCATTTGTCCAGAGATGTTTTCGAGGATGCTGGAAAGTCTATCGAGTGACATCTACCGATTCCTCAATGTCCGTTTGCCTACTTTTCGCTTTCACGGGTTGGCAACGCTGCACATCACCATGTAAACACGCCTATGGCAGGGTCTTCAATTACAAAACGGCACAGCACATCTGGGTTGAGAACCCCAGAATGGGTACATCCGACTGTAACCGTACACCCGACCATTTATAGATTATACGTTTCAGTGTTCTCCCCACATGCATCGGGTTTCTACAGAAATTAAGATTTCCTTTCACGTTATTTTTAAAAGGTTAAATGTCCCAAGCAGGATCATCCTTCTGTAACTGTGTTGAGAGTTTTTTTCGAAAATAATTAATATGAATTGGTTGTAACAATAGCAATATGTACCAACTAAAAACAAGGGCATTTAGAAAACCGTTGTCATCAACGTTCTGAAAAACATTGGGTAGAAAAAGCCTTGATGCATCAGGGTCTCGGTATTACTTCAAGCAGAATTCGTTATCGTCCTTTGCCTTGGAAGTGATGACGATCATAATGATCATGAATAGATTAGAAGGTAATATCAGGTGATTGCACGACCCTTGCACACAATTACGGTGATGCTCAGACACGTCACCCGAAACCTTTGTAAAAAACAACAACATTGAACTCTTCGTGACCTGGCATCGTAGCTACGCATGTGTGCGCCAAGCGTGCGCCAAGCGTTCGTGGTGCCACGGTGGTGTCCCACTGACCACGAGCAAGCCGAATATCCTGTGTTGCTACTCAATTACAAACCAAAAAAATATTTTGCCACCATCAAGATTCGCGTGGCTTTATCGCTGAAACATATGCAGGAAGTTAACGTTTTGGCCAACGAGCCCTTATTCAGAGGAGGAGGAAAAATTCATATTTTTTATTGTAATTGGAGCACAAACCTTACTTTGTCGTGCTGAGAACGCTGCCAATTTTGAAAAGAGCTGGTTTACGAACAGTTCTCTGTTAGTGGACACTGACTGACAATCCTTCAAGCAATCTTCAAGTGATGAATTAGTTTACGTGACAAACCTTACTAATTCGCTGTGTCAGGTGGCAGCGGGTTTAACGACACATTTGTATTTATGCGATCTAACTCCCCAAAAAACCTCTGTTATGGATAATATTGGTCCCGAAAGCCTACTCGTATTAATCTAACATTTATGTGCGTTGTTTAAAAACGTTTCGTTTTCCGGCCTGCGCAGTTTTCTTCTGCTTCTGTCACGATCAGCTTTGCTCGCCAATGACCGACAGATTCGCGATTTCATGGCTCAAGATTAAAGCGCACGAGTTGCAGTACCACCGTTCACCCGGCGGGTGACGCTACCACCCCCTCACTCGGCAGAGGTCCCCGCCGGGAAGCAGTGGGGGGGAAGGGAGCCCCTTCGAGTTAGCAGCCGCTAGAGGGAGGTAGCCACCCGGCACTGGAGCGGGAATTATTCGACTTTTAGAAGCCATACCGCGTGCCACATCCCCCCCCCCCACACACAGACTGCCGCTCCGGGAATAGCCACGATTTTGGAGTCGAAATTCCGTTCAAGAATCCACGTGTTGTTTTCTCCTCTCTGCACCGTGTCGTTTGTATGAATGGCTCGTCTGTAACTGCCTCCTTTTGTGCCGTCCAGTGTGTGCTCTTGTCGCGTTGCAAGTACGGTCAAGTGTTGTCGACGGACGGCCAGGTTCAATTGTGTCAGTCTCATCGGTGACGCCTCCTAAATGCTGCTGCCCCTTCCGTTCTTCGCGTCCGCACTTTTCTGTCTCGTTGGTAACGGCCTGCAGTCGTCTCTATTGCTGTGTATTGTTTCTATTGTCTCATATACGTGCGTGGTGTGCGTCATGTGTTTCGCAGTGTGCGGTGCGTGGTGTGCGGTGGTTCGTGGTGTGCAGTGTGGTGATCCTCTGCGTGCTGTGCGGTGTCCGCAGCTGCCGTGGTGTGCGTCGTGTGTTTCGCAGTGTGCGGTGCATGGTGTGCGGTGGTTCGTGGTGTGCGGTGTGGTGATCCTCTGCGTGCTGTGCGGTGTCCGCAGCTGCCGTGGTGTGCGTCACGCTGCTGGACCGCCTGGAAGGGGACCAGATCAGCAGTCCCCACGCCGTGCTCTCCGACTACCAGGAGCGGCCGCAGCGACTCGTGTCGCGCTACATCCGCAATCAGCTGTCCAGTGCGAGCGGCCGAGTGCATGGCCTCCGAGGGCCCGGCTCCAAAAGCAGCAACGAGGCCACGGCTCTTTGAGTCTCCACTCTGACCGGTCACTGTCTCAGCAGCGTCACCCTTTACCCGAGGACTCTGCTGCAAGTTCAACCCTTTACACCTAGAATGTTGATGCTAGTTCTACCCTCTACCCTAGAACTCGACCTCCCTGCCAACTCTGCACCCAGCACGCCCCACCTTGCAGCACTCTACCTCGAACCTGATTCCCAAACCCAGCTCTCCATAACACCATCCGATACCTCCTATGTCCCGACTCTCCACCCCTGAACATCCCACCCCGACTCTCCACCCCTGCACTCACTCACCCACTTCTCTTCAACTCTCTACCTCTTCACTCACTCCCCCTACATCCCGACTCTCCACCCCTGCTCCCACTCCACCCCGACTCTCATCAATGCACCCACTCCACCCTGACTCTCCACCCCTGCTCCCACTCTCACACTCCACCCCGCAACCTCTCATGACTCATGTGGCCCAGCCTGTATCCGTATCACTCGTGAGTTCCTGTGCACGAATAACTTCAAGGCGGGGGAGCGGGGGGCTCCCTTTGTTGTGGGTGCAGGTTACGCAGCAGTTACCCCGTGGTTACCATGTGGTTTCCCCATGTGCTGTACGCTCGTAGTGTGTCGAAGACTGTTCAACGTGTTTTGTCTGTTCAAGTGTCACTGTTGAAGCGTACAAACAAGAGTTTGCTCGTTCGTTTAGTATTTATACTCAAATTAGTTATGTGCATTTCATTTGACAGTGTACGTACTCAGGCGCCGTATGCTGAACTTAATACGTCACAAAGAGTGTTACTGTGTGTACACGTCTATGTATGTGTACACGTGTTAGGGTTTCACTGTGTGTACACGTGTATAGATCACGATAGCGATGGATACTGGTGTTGTAGCTAGCGTCTAGGACATATCATAGAGATGAATGCAAGAGTTGTATTTTCATTTGCGAAAAACACAACACATTCGTCAATAACACCTTGGCCGTAAAAATGACTACTATAATAAGCCAAAAATGTGTTTGTCCCACGCATGACGTCACTCCACGAGGCCCACCTCCCCCGCGTGACGTCACTCTACATGAGGCCCACCCCCCCTCATTAATATTCATGAGTGGGTGGATATTTACACTAACGCAGAGGAAGGTCGAGCTGAATTAAATAATTTATTACGCAAAGTCACTTCAAATATGACGTTTCTTTACAGAAAGTGACGATGAAAAATTAATATACGCAGCACACTGCTACATCCGTGTGTGACGTCACTGCAAAAGAGGTCCCTCCTATAATTAATAATCAGTATTTTTACACTCCCGCAGAAGGTCGAGTGGAAAGAAATCTTACGCAAATTCGCTTTAAATTTGATGTTTCTTTATTGAAAAAGTGAATCCAATAAATATTTCTACGCAGCAACAAAGTGTGGTGTATTCTTTGGATCTTTCAGGTAAAGTCACGTAGATAGGTTCAAAGAAAATAACTAAAAATAACAAAATTACGACATTACGATCGCAACACAAGCGTTCGTCATCAGGAAGAGGGGGTTAGCTTCTAAAAGTCAACTGTTTATAAAGGTTTGAAATGGGCGTAGCCCAAATGTCAGCAGCCAATGTTAATGTAAGTGGTGGGCAGCAACCGTGACGGTGGTGGGTTTTCCCACCAATCAAAGGTCTGCCCAGCAAAAATGATCATGATAATGTAAGAACGTTGAGAGGCCTCCACAGCGAGCGCCCTGAGGTGGCTATATTAATGTGAGATCGCAAAGCAAAAACCTCCAACTCGGTGAGCGAGGTGGCTGTGTTAGAATGAGAAATGCAGCCTGTTCATGTAAAATCAGAGAGCCGAAAGTAACAACTAACATCAGAAGGTGGTAGGATGGGAACATCACAGCTAGTTATGACTTAAACTGGTTCATAACGTTTTTCCAATGATTGCTCAGTTTATACCCATCTTCTCGATTGAAATTGTGTCTGTGTCTATATATATGGTGTAGATGTTTTAATCGAAAGGAGGCCAGATAGCTCAATGAGACTGTCTACAGGAAAGCAACCCATACGGATGCATATCTGAAACTTGATTCCCACCATCATCCTTCCCAGAATTCCTTCATCAAAACTCTACACCATAGAGCTCGATGTATTTCCGACCATCATCACCTAGCCAGTGAGCTGGAACACGTACACCAAGCTTTCAAGATGAATGGATATTCAGACTACACAATCTGTAAAGCTATCACCCCAACCGTTGGGAAAGAACCATCTGAGGACCAAATCAAAAGCATCACCTTGCCATACATAGCAGGGGTCACCAAAAATATTTCCAAAATCATGAGCAAACACAAGATCCAGGTTCGATTTAACACAGTACATAAAATGTGTGATCTGATCCCATCTGTGAAGGATGTGGTCCCGGCGTCTACAAACTAAGCTGTGTCTGCGGCAGTAGTTACATTGGGGAAACTAAGCGACATGTCTCGGACCGTGTTCAGTGAACAAAAGGCAGATCTGAAACACGGTAGGACCAATACCTCGGCTGTGGCTGATCATTGTTTTAATGTGGTGGGCTCACACAAAATGTATTTCTCTAAGACGAAGGTACTTTGCAAACCCACTGGCTATCAACAAAGATTTGTTCATGAAGCTATCCATATACAGGGTGTTTCAAAAAGATGGACCCAATTTCAAAGCAGTATATTTCACGATGGCAACATGTTACAATTACACAAAAAGTTACAAACGGTTTGATGAGTTATCAAGTTTTACTAACAATTTTATAAATACTCTATGTGCCCTCCACCTGCTGTACGGACAACATCGAGATGACAGTTGAATTCGTCCCAAAATCTATGCCCCGCCCTTTCAAGTGGTAAAAGTTTCATTCATGGGTGGTTCGTGGTTGCAGAGATATAGCGATTTCAAATCGGGTCCATCTGTTTCAAACACTCTGTATATAGACACAGACACAATTTCAATCGAGAAGATGGGTATAAACGGAGAAATCATTGGAAGGACGTTATCAACCAATTTAAGTCATAACTAGCTGTGATGTTTCTATCCTACCACCTTTCGATGTTAGTTGTTATTTTCGGCTCTCTGATTTTACATTAACAGGTACAATTTCTTACTCTTAACACAGCCACCTCGTTCACCGAGCTTGAGGTTTTTTCTTTGCGATCTTCCATTAACATGCTAATCTCTCTCATTAACAAGCCACCTCAGGGCGCCCGCCGCAGAGGCCTCTCAACGATCTTACATTATCATGATAATTTTTACTGGGCAGCTCTTTGATTGTTGGGAAAACCCACCACCGTCGCGGTCGCTGCCCACCACTTACATTAATGTAATAAAGGACTCTTAGGCGATGTTGGTCTCCGTCTGTCCTTTATTGGGTTCTTGTCTCGCACCCCGCGATGTCCCCGGTCGGACCCGCACCTCTTCCGTCGCGTGCCCCCCCGCACGCCGTTCGAGTCCTCCGCTCTCTCTTCAGCCACACCGCTGCCCGTGTGCCCCGCACACTCTGCAGCCACCCCGCTGCTCCGTGTGACTCCGCACACTCTGCAGCCACTCCGCTGCTCCGTGTGCCCCGCACACTCTGCAGCCACCCCACTGCTCCGTGTGACTCCGCACACTATGCAGCCACCCCGCTGCTCCGTGTGACTCCGCACACTCTGCAGCCACCCCGCTGCTCCGTGTGACTCCGCACACTCTGCAGCCACTCCGCTGCTCCGTGTGCCCCGCACACTCTGCAGCCACCCCGCTGCTCCGTGTGCTCCCGCACACTCTGCAGCCACTCTGCTGCTCCGTGTGCTCCCGCACACTCTGCAGCCACTCCGCTGCTCCACGTACACCGCTGGCCGACGGTGCCGTGACTCCGACCACGTGGCAATTCATGCCACTCCTTTGCCAGCACCACGCGTGGCTTCTCCTATCTTCACTCTCTCTCGACTCCCGATCCCCTTCCGGTTCTCACCCTATATCCTCCTCCTCACGTGACCCTGACTCCTCCTCCTCCTCACGTGACCCTGACTCCGCCCCCACTCACCCCGACGACCAGGTTCCACCTCCCCTAATACTCCAGCCCGCGTGAGTGGTGCGGAGGCAGCGCCCACCCTTTCCTTGCTCGCATTACATTAACATTAGCTGCTGACATTTGGGCTACGCCCATTTCAAACCTTTATAAACAGTTTACCTTAAGAAGCTAACCCCCTCTTCCTGATGACGAACGCTTGTGTTGCGATCGAAACGTCATAGATTTTTGTTATTTTTTGTTATTTTCTTTGAATCTATCTATGTGACTTGACCAAAAGACCCAAAGAATATGAATTCCTGCAGTCACGAAAGCTTTAAGTCAAGATTTGTTTGTGGTGTCTTTATTTTTTCAGCACTTGTGAAACAAAAGGTAAGTCAAATTTTTGCTTCTAAATTATGATAAAATATATACATTTCGAATTCAAATTTATTACAACCCCAGCGAGCGAAAGCAGAAGAAAATAAAGTTTCAGAGCAGTGATTTTGAAGCTAATTGAAGACGACTGCTTGTGTTGCGATTGAAACGTGGTAGTTTTTTGTTATTTTCTTTGAACCTATCTACCGAAAGACCCAAGAATATTAATTCATGCAGTCACGAAAGCTTTAAGTCAAGATTTAATTGAAGGTGAGTTAAATACAGTGCTACGGTGACATGAAGTGAGGCGTTTAACGACGTAGTTTTGTGCAACAATCACGTTAATACAGTACAACAGTGAAATGCAGTTATGTTTGATTACATCGTTTTATGCAAGATTTACTGCCATTAAATTTACACAAGATACAATAATACTCTGGTACATTTTTTTGTAACTACAATGCTTATGTTTGGTCTTCTTTAATTGAAAACTTACTTCTGACAGTATCAGCAGTCTACTTTCTTCACTCTTTGCAATCTGTTCTAGGACGGGCAAAATGCTAGTTACTAATAAAATGAGCCAAGAATGTGTGTCCCGTGCGTGACGTTACTCCACACGAGCCCCAACCCCTGCATGACGTCACTCCACACGAGGCCCACCCCCGTCATTAATAATCATGAGTGGGTGGATTTTTACACTCCCGCAGAAGAAGGTCGAGCGGAAATAAATATTGTTACGCAAATTCGCTTTAAATTTGACGTTTCTTTATTGAAAAAGTGAATTAAATTAATAATACTATCTTTTTTGCCCATCCAAGGATGGGTGTAGATTGCAGTAAATCTGAAATATTCAATAGCTAAATTGTTCATCTCATGATTATTAATGAGGGGGGGGGGGGGTTGCCCCATGTAAAGTGACGTCACCCGTTAATGGTTATTGTGGGGGGGTGCAGCATATGGAGTGAATCCACCCGCTCATGAATATTAATGAGGGGGGGTGGGCCTCATGTAGAGTGACGTCAAGCGGGGGGGGGGGGGGCCTCATGTGGAGTGACGTCACGCACGGGACACACATTCTTGGCTTATTATTTACTAAATATATTTACCCAAGAATGTCAGTGTGTAACGCTCGTGACGTCACTCCACGTCGACCAGCTCCCCTCATTAATAATTATGAACAGGTTACGTCCTGACTTAAAGCTTTCGTGACTGCAGAAATTCATATTCTTTGGGTCTTTCGGTAAAGTCACGTAAGTCACTTTTCTACGTGACTTTACCAAAAGATCCAAAGAATAGGTTACGTCCTCCACATGGACCCGCCCCTCACGAATAATCATGAGCGGGGACATCACTCAGCAAGGAGAACCCCTCCCCTCATTAATAATCATGAGCAGGTGACGTCACTCCACATCGAACAGCCCCCCTCATTAATAATCATGAAGAGGTGACGTCTTCCAAATGGACACCCCACTTACAACCCTCACTACAAAGGCAGAACCCTCACGTCACGCGATCTCCGTAACGCTGTTGAGACATCAAAGTAAAAAGGACGTCATGATGAACGAGGGACGATAACCTTTAAATGAAATTAGTCTGTGTCACTGCGGCCTTACAAATTGCACACGAATGTATGCAATTAATATCACGTCGCAGTCTGCTCTTCGCTTGCAAGTTTCAGATTTACAGTAATACACCCGTTCTTGGACGGGCAAAAGGCTAGTTATATAAGCGACATTTAGGGAAATTACTCATCTTCATAGCACCCACATCATATGAAGGTGATGGTTTTGATTGGGTCCTCAAATGGTTCCCTCCCTATTGTTGGGGATACAGCTTTGCGTATTGTGCGATCCGAATATCCATTCATCTTGAGGGCTTGGCGGTCGTGCTCAAGTTCACTGGATAGGCGGTGCTGGTCGGTGATGCAATGGGCCCGATGGTGCAGTGTTTTGATGAGGGAATTCTTCTCGGCTGGATGGTGGTGGGAATCAACGACCTTAACCACAATTTGACGGGCACATCAGCCTATGTCACCCGCATATGCTG